CTGCTTATTTTGGACAAGGAACAGGACCGGTATGGTTGAACACAGTGCAATGCAATGGGACTGAGAACTCGTTGGTGAACTGTACATCCTCTCAATGGGGAATACAGAGTGGTAACCATTCAAAAGACTCCGGAGTCATCTGTAACAGTGAGTGCCAAAGACGCAGATGCACTTTGCATAATGCCTTAAAGCCTAAGTTAAAACAATCATGTAAATTCTGTTTGTACTCATTTTTTGAGTATGTCATTCTGTGCTGTTGTTTTATTTCTAAAACTTTGTATCAGGCCAAAAATACTTTTGGTCTGACAAATACTTTAAAGCATTAAGCAGTTACAAGACAATAAATAAACACGTATTCCGATTTCGGTTCTTTAACACATTTCCAAAAAAGTTAGAACAGTAAAGCATTTACCACTTTATAATGTTGCCATTCTTTTTAACAACACTTAAAATACCTTTAGGAACTGAAGACACCAAGTGTTGAAGTGTTTCAGGTGTAATTCTGTCCCATTCTTCCTGCTAACAAGTCTTAAGGTGAGCAACAGTATGGGGTCTTTTTTTTTGCGCTTCAAAATGCGCCACACATTCTCTGTTGGAGACAGGTCAGGACTGCAGGCAGGCTAGTCAAGTACCTGTATCCCCTTCCTCCGCAGCCAGGACTGCATATTGTGTGCAGAATGTTGTTTTGCATTGTCTTGTTGGAAGATGCATGGGCATCCCTGGAAAAAAAGGCAGCATATTGTGCTCCAAATCTTTACTTTTCAGCATTAATGGTGCCATCACAGAAGTGCAAGTTACCTTTGCTGAGGACCTGACACAACCCCAATACCATCACGGACCCTGGCTTTTGGACTTGTTGCTGGTCTGGAGGATTCTTTTCTTCTTTGGTCTGGTGCACATGGGGTCAATTTCTTCCCAAAAATACTGATTCATGTGACCAAACTTCTAGTTGCGGAGGAAGAGGAAAACGGGAACTTGACTGGCCTGCCTGCAGTCCCGACCTGTCTTCTATAGAAAATGCGTGGGGTATTTTAAAATACAAAATGTGACAACGAAGAGCCCATGCTGTTGCCCACCTTAGGACATGTTTGAAGAAAATATGAGACAAAATTACACTTACTTGGTGCCTTCAGTCCCTAAAGGTCTTTTAAGTGTTGTTAATAGGAATGGCAACATTACAATGTGGTAATTGCTTTACTGCTCCATGTGTTAAAAGAGCCAAAATTGAAATACGTACTTAATTAAAATAACAACAACAACAACACGAGAAACACATTAAATAATGTGCTGTTGTATTATCAGCAATGAAATACAACTTTCTTTTTTATTGACTGTTTTTCATAGTGTCCCAACTTTTTTGATTTGGAGTTAAGTAATTAACAACTAAGTGTTACATCATACATTTACGAATACACTATTTAAAACAATCTAGTTTATAGGGGAACTGTAGCCAGCAACTTATTGCTCAGATTTAATTGTTAGAAAGGACTCAGCGTTGTTTGTGTGTGACCCTGTTTGATCAGATGTGAAGCTGGTGAGCGGCTCCAGTGCGTGTGATGGCAAAGTTCAGATTCTGCATCAAAATATCTGGGGCTTAGTGTGTTCCTACAACTGGGACAAAACGGATGCTTCAGTCGTGTGTCAACAGCTGAACTGTGGTGATACTGTACAGCTGTTAACATCAGTTCTTAATGCTTATGATTACTATCATGTCTGGATGAGTAATGTGGCCTGTACAGGAGACGAGTTGTCACTGCAAAACTGCCCTTTTCCTGGATGGGCTGCCGGCTACTGTTCAACTGGCTCTACTGCAGGAGTGCTTTGCCAAAGTAAGATCATCTCACTTGTGAGTTTCTCGAATCACAATGGCCGTATGAAATCAAAACTGACATGTTTTATTTGATGGTTTATTTCAATTGCACTTTTACAGTGTAGGTTGTGTAAAAACTCTGTATAAAGTGCTATAGAAATAATAGATTAATGTATTATTGTAAGTTATTTATCCATGCCCATTATTATTTCTTCATTATTTCTTTATTAATATTTCTTTTTTTTCTGATGACACGTCTAGTATTAGGGCAGGATCATCTTACATGATTTCATGTCACTCGCGTGAAATCCACCAATAGCAAACCACAATCCTCAAAGACAAAATCACTGGTGTTCTTCATTCAAGAAACACTTTTACTCAACCATAAGTCACAATACAGTGTAAAACTATATATTTTTAGTGTTTCCTTTTTGTTTACTTATTCAAATTGCATTTTGTACCCTTCGGATACTGTCTTCAAGCAGTTTGTCAGTGTTCAATTCATAAACAGAGCTAAATAATGATATTTATCACTCTTTTTCTATCTTCTATTTTAGACCTGCAATCTTAATGCAAAAATGCTAACCTGAAAAATAATTCATCTTGTAAAGCTTATGTCAATGTTTTACTTTTCAGAAACTGTGAAGCAAGTTGCGGTGAGGATTGCGTTGAATGTCCAGGACGGAGTAAATGTCAATGATCCAGAGATTAAAAAGAAACTTCTAGAGAAGGTGAGTTGAATGTTAACAACCTGGCAAATAATAATAGACTGAAGTAGAACATTTTGAACCACTTTACAGAAAAATCACATTAGCTAAAGACTATACATCTATTTTATATCTAAATATAAATAAACATTGTCTCAAATATTTGCATGCATATATTAAAAAATTAAGTTGTCTCAACAAAACCTCAAGAATTGTGTTTTTTCAGATAATTTTAAATAAGTAGTTTGAACGAGCAGCAAAAATAGTTTTGAGTGGACATATATTGTGTAATTCAATCATAATAAATTTTTGCTCAGCACCAGTATTTTAATAAACAACTTTTTGTGATTTTAGAAGTTAACATCTACTAAGATTATTAAATGCTGTAGATCTATTCATCATTGTTCATTTACATCAGCATTAGCAAAAATGTGCGTTACCAAAAGTGCAAAGATCAAAAATATTAAGAAAGAGAGCGCTCCTCTATTAGGAGTTTATTAAGACTGATCATGAAATGCTCTTCCTAAAATGTCACTGAATTTCACAGATAAGGAATGTAACTCAAAGTAAAGGAGTATATAGCGTGAACTGGAAAACCCAACCTAATGAACAGGTCTTTGAACAGAAAAAATCCTCAGGTTTGTAAACTGAGAGTTGTTGGGTTTTATTTGTAATAAGTTGTTTATTATGGGCTTTTATTGACTTTAATTATAAACTTGTGTTCACAGGTCTTTTTTGAATAACTGGAGAGAAAGAAAACACAAACTCAAACTGTTAGCAATATATTTGATGCTCAGTCTTTACTAATTTATTGATAGTTATCATTTGATATAGAAAATTAGTTGTCTTATTTACTTTAAAAAATTATGTTTGCAAAAATAAGATGATATTTAAGTCATTTAGAAGGAAATGTCTGTCTTTTTAAATTAATAAATATTATATATATATATATATATATATATATATATATATATATATATATATATATATATATATATATATATAATTTTTATTTGCATAATATACATCTATATTTTATATCTAAATATAAATAAACATCTTCTCAAATATATGCATGCATGTGTTTACTTATACATACATAATAAATATACCCAGTACACACACACTGTAAAAATACTAATTTATTGATAGTTATTATTTGAAATAGAAAATTAGTTGTCTTATTTACTTTAAAAAATTCTGTTTGCAAAAATAAGATGATATTTAAGTCATTTAGAAGGAAATGTCTGTCTATTTAAATTAATAGATATTCAATATATTGTATATAGAATAAATATTCTATATATGGAAATGAAATGTGCACAGAGTAGTGTGCATACAGTAATGTAATGATGGTTCCTGGTGTCACAAAAAATTAAAGATTTGTTTTTTTTTCTCAAAATAAGGCACACTACCTGATAAAAGTGCTGTCACCTATTCAAGTTTTAGGAACAACAAATAATAACTTGACTTCTAGTTGATCATTTGATATCAAAAGTGGTTTATATGCGAAGCAAAGGCCTCTAGATTATGCTTATTTTACCAAAATAAAATATGATCATGCCATTATTTATAATGATTTGATGAGGACAGTAAGGTCTGACTTTGCTTAAAAAGTCTTGTCACATTACAGAAATAATGTCCAGTATAGAATATAAAGACATGCTGCAGTGGAAAAAACAATTGATATTGTGTATGACTCCATCATAAGCTTGGAGGACTGCATCTCTGCAATGACTCAACTTATTAATAAAGTCATCTGGAATGGCAAAGAAAGCGTTCTTGCAGGACTCCCAGAGTTCATCAAGATTTTTTGGATTCATCTTCAATGCCTCCTCCTCTGTCTTACCCCAGACATACTCAATAATGTTCATGTCTGGTGACTGGGCTGGCCAATCCTGGAGCACCTTGACCTTCTTTGCTTTCAGGAACTTTGATGTGAAAGCTGAAGTATGAAAAGGAGTCCTATCCTGCTGAAGAATTTGCCCTCTCCTGTAGTTTAGAATGTATAATCTTGGATCCATGCAGGTTCCAATAGGTCTTCTGCAGTATTTGTGATGCAGTTCAACAGATGATTCATCAGAAAAATCAACTTTTTGCCACTTTTCCAAGTGATCAACTAGAAGTCAAGTTATCATTTATTGCTTTTACAACTGGGGTCGATGACAATACTTTTGTCAGGTAGTGTACATTCTATGACATTTAGTTTATTGGCATTACACCTGATGAATTTGTTTATGTAAAGTGATCTAACACCGTATACACAAATTAACAGTTAAGCAAATAATCTCACAGAATAGATATTGTTATTTTGTTAATCAATAGATAATGAAAATTGTTAAGATTGTGTTGTATAAAACATGAATTATATATTGCAGCAAACAAAAGCAAATAAACATTTTACAAAGCTCTGCATTTTAATTTTTTATTATACTTACATTTAATATAAATTTTACATTTAATATAAAATGAAAAGTCATAAACAGGACACCATACGCTGGTTTCACATTTAAGTGGATTAAACATAAAACAATTAAGTTGTTCCCAAACAGACCTCAAGATTTGTGTAGTTTCAACTCATTTTAAATAAGTAGTTTGAACAAACAGCAAGCATCATTTCTGAGTGTATTAAATGAATCTCAAGTCTGTTATCACCAGCTTAAAACTAGGAAACAGCTCCACCTAGTTTTTCACCCCTGGTAAGACATGAGAAAAGAGAAGTCAACGAATTTCCAGCCTTAATCATTTAGTTAAAGATGGACAAACATATACGATTAATACTATTTATCATAATCAAAATCTCTTAAAGCACACTCACCTGACAGATAAAGGGAAGTTTCTCATAGCAGCAGGCATCCATCCATCCAAATGTGCTGTTTTCTCTCTGGAGCTTTCCACAAAATCTGCTTCCTGCATCCACTGGATACAATTCATTCCAGGCTTTATAATCCACATTCGGCCCACCAGTCCACAACCAGGGTGAGCAAGCATAAAGCATATCCCGTTCAAGTCCAATCCACACTCCACCGCTGATTTGTTTAGCTTGCAGCATTTGTGTGATATACTGTTGTGCAGTGCCGTTTAAAATGTGCACCAGAGTCTGGTGGTGAGCTTTGCAGTATCGTAGTGCATCAATCCAACTTTGTGATTGATTTATAAAGATGAAGTTAACTGAAATAGACAGGAAGCAAACATTGTTATGTTATTATTATCGTAAAGGAATATTGATATTTTGTTCTTTGCTAGTTATGAGTGTGTAATTGCAGTATTTGTACAGCTATTGTTGTATAACCTTTATATAGGTATTTCAGAATGGATATATTTAGAGAGGACAGATCCTTAAACCAAATATTTAAATTAACAAGATAATATGGCTGATTCTGCAGTGTGTATTATTGGAAGATAATTTTTGGCACTAGATGGCTATACGCTTACTGTAGAAAAGCTCCAAAATACCATTTGGGAAAATATCAATGGTGCACATCTACCATTGATGCCCTCCTGAATAATTTACCTATCTGTATATTTTTTCCCCAATTTCTGTTTGATAAAAAGGAGAATTTGTTTCAACACATTTCTAAACATAATAGTTTTAATGACTCATTTCTAATAATTGATTTCTTTTATCTTTGCTATGATGACAGTAAACAATTTCTATGTAGTAAAATAGTAAACTATTTAAGATACTAGTATTCACCTTAAGCATTTAAAGGCTTAACTAGGTTATTACGTTGAAGTTATGGTATTTAGGCAAATCAATACACCAATGGTTTGTTCTGTAGACAACCGAAAAAAATATATGGCTTAAGGGCGTTAATAATATTGACCTTAAAATGGTTTTAAAAAAATTAAAAACTGCTTTTATTCTTGCTGAAATAAAACAAATAAGACTTCCTCTAGAAGATAAAAATGTTATAGGAAATACTGTGAAAATCCCTGCTCTGTTGAACATCATTTAGGAAATATTTGAAAAAGAAAAAAATAATTAACAGGAGGGTGAATAATTCTGACTTTAACTGTCTGAAAAAGGCATTAAATAAATAATAACTGGCTGTAAATCTTGTCTATGCTTTGCATGTTGTCTAAAAAAAGCAAATGATGACGTACAAGAGATTGAAGAGATGTCTGTTAGAGAGCTGGTGGTGTGCGCAGCAGATGTAGACGTCACTTTTGTTGTTGAGCTTGACTTTGCAGTTGTTGAAGACGAACTGTCATCTGTCAAAAGCATGAATAATGATGAAATGTAGCTTGTGTCAGTGCATAAACAAGGATGAGTACAGTTGAAGTCCAAATTAATAGCCCTCCTGTGAAATATTTATTCTTTTTCAAATATTGATATTTAATAGAGCAAAGAAATGTTAACAGTATTTCCGATAATATTTCTTTTTCTAGAGACAGTCTAATTAGGGTTTGTTTGGCTAGAATAAATGCAGTTGTGATTTTTTTAAAATCTCAAACCATCAATTGGTCCAAACCATGTGGATCAAACCACATTTATAATAATTCACGAAGGCTGATAACTGTAACTTCAACTGTATTGTTCTGGTTGGTTGAGTATGTGAATGTCTTTGACTCACTTTGGCAGATGACTCCAGCATCTTTAGAATGATCACAGTTCTGTACGTCCCATCCACTTGATCTGCATCTCTTTAGAGTGATCTCGTTCCCATTACAGTTCAGATTATTCATCCATACGGGTCCCGAGCCTTTCCCAAAAAAAGCCCCATTTTTGGCCTCTTTAGCATTTCCACAGCCAATTTCTCCACATACCACTTTAGCATCTTGTAGGTCCCAGCCATCATCACACACTGTTCCCCAGGTTCCGTTATGAAGAACCTCCACTCGTCCAGAACATGAGCTTGAACCGTTCTGCAGACGAAGTTTGGCTAACAGACATTTAAAGACAGGTTAGAAAAGCCGTTTATGATTACATCTAACTTCACTGTAAGACATTTTTTACTGCCATTATTGGTTCTATGAAAGGCAAAATTCTGACTTTTACTTTCTTTTCTTAAGCACAATATAGATTGCACTTCACCCCGCTTCATTTCCAGCTGGTTAAATTCATTTGTTATTTAATGTGTAAATGTTCATCCATTCATTCATTTTCAACTAAGCAGTCTTGGGTGAGAACCCCAGCCCTCCCTCTCCCCAGACACTTCCTCCAACTGCTGCTGGGGGATCCTGAGGTGTTCCCAGGCCAGCTGAGAAACGTAGTCCCTCCAGCTTGTCTTAGGTCTTCCCCGAGGCCTCCTCCCCGTGGGACAAGCCTGGAACACCTCCTTTTAGGCATCCAAGAGGCATCCAAAACAGATGCCCGAGCCACATCAGCTGACTTCTTTCATTGAGGAGGAGCAGTGGCTCTATTCTAAGCTCCTCCCGGGTGACAGAGCTCCTCACCCTATCTATAAAGGTGCGCCTTGCCACCGTGCAAAGGAAACTCATTTCGGCCGCTTGTGTCCGAGATCTTGTCCTTTCGGTTATGACCCAAAGCTCATGACCATAGGTGAGAGTAGGAACGTTGATTGACCGGTAAATAGAGAGCGTTATCTTTCGCCTCAGCTCCTTCTTTACCACAACGGACTGATACATCGACCGCATTACTGCTGCCGCTGCACCAGTCCGCCTGTTAATCTCACGTTCCATCTTTACCTCACTCGTGAACAAAACCCCACGATACTTGAACTCCTCCACCTGGGGTAAAGAGCTTCCTCCAACCTGGAGTATATAGATAAGTACATTTATTGTATTTTGTTTGAAGAATTGTTTTAGGTGGTATTCTGTTAAGAATAAATAAATCGAATCAATAAGCATGCATATCTAAAGAAAGACTGCATCAAAAAAGTTCCAGAATGTTTTGTAGATTATTGAAATGTGCTTTACACTTAAGATTCTTTTCGCTGAAAGGTTTAAATGGAGCTATAAATGGTTCTTTCGTAGCATTACATACAAATACTTTTAAATGTGTTATTTAAATTGTTTTATATAATAAACCTGAACTAATACACTACAAATATATACATATACACAGCATTTTTTTTTCGCTATTTTGTCTTTTGTGATTTTAAAATTATTTTGAATTGCACTATAGATTTTACATTTTTATTGACATTTTAATAAGTCATTAAATAGTTTTAAAAGTCATTAAGTCATAAATTACAGTACAAAACATGATAATAAACTGCCAGCACTTTTCTTGCAGGCTTGTTTCTATATTCTATTCTAAATTATTTATACCATAACTATTATATTTGTGCATATACATTAGTTTAGTCAACACTGAAGCCAAATCTAGAGCTAATCCAACAAATTAATTTACAATAATGGTTTAAAATTTGTAGTTCAAATTTATGTCTAAAATACTTAAATACAAATTTCTAAAATAGCAAAAATCTTAAGAAGCAAAAATATTTACAGTTTTGTTGAAATGTTGTAGTTTGTAATTCTTTTTTCCAATATTTTACATGAGTTTTAATGTATTATCTTTCAATTTCTGTGACTGTTATATTATTTTAATAAATAATGCTGTATAATAAATCTGTTTCGTTCAAATGCACCAATATATATCACACATATTCACTGAGAAATTAATGAAAATATTCATTGTCAATATGGAGTGCACTCATATATGCCGAGATCTGTATATATTATAATAACAGTCACTTTGTTAAACTGCAGAATTAAATAGAGGTCAAAAACTGAAAATAAACAGAAAATACCTGTAAAATTAAGGAAATTGTTTGTTAATTTTACAGTGTAGGTTATGTAGTGTAGAATAATCATTGAAGTGCTATATCAGACTGGTACATTTATAATTCACTTACGGCCACAGGTAACCCCAGCATCCATTTCATGACTGCAGTTCTGTGGAATTGTTCCAGTATATGCACACTCCGGCAGTGTAGACTCTTTCCCGTTACAGCTCACATTGTTCATCCATACTTTTCCTGAGTAATTCTCAAAATAAGCAGCTCTGTTTGTTGCCAAAGCATCTCCACAGCCCGTCGCTCTACACACCACTGCAGCGTCTGTCAGATTCCAGCCATCATCACACACTGTTCCGTACACACCATTGAATCGAACCTCCACTCGTCCAGAACATGGATTAGTGCCATTAACCAATAAGACAGGAGCTGAAGCCCACGCCAAAAGAAAATATATTTTTTATGTCTATAGAAAGGGATAGTCATTTAAAAAAAAAAAGCATTGTTTAAAGTTGCAGGACTTACACTGACAGATGACTCCAGCACCTTTATTACTGCAGTTGGCAGATTGATTTGATGTGCAACTCTTTAAAGTAGATTCATTCCCATTACATTGCACAGTATAGTTCCACATTGATCCTGATCCTTGGCCAAAATAAGCGTAACTTGCATCTACGGCAGCTCCACACCCCAGTTCAGTACACACCACCTTAGAATTATTTAGATCCCAGCCATCATCACACACTCTTTTCCACTGACCTTTATCGAAAACCTCCACACGTCCAGAACAAGAGTTATCACCATCTACCAGTCTGGTTACATTTGAACAACTCACAGCTGGAAAACCTATAGGTTATAGAAAGAAATAAATGCCATTTTGTAAGGTCATGTTAACCGTTCAAAGGCATTCATTGCTTTGCTGAAAATGATCAAGTGTGTATCATGAGTGCTTTTACCCAGAAGCAGAATGAGTTGCATCAACCAAAGCATAGCTAAAAATATAGAAAATATGACACATTATTTATGTTAAATACTCACAAACGTTAGATTTTATTGCAATATCAGTATCAGTCTACTCTATTTAGTGTACATTTTCACAGTGTACAATAGCAAGATATACAGAATACATCAATGACATGAAGTTTGATTTTAATAAAAAATCCTAATCCTAAAAGTATCCTAATAAAAAAGCAGTGTATTTCCTTACCAAAATGCATGAATTAATTGCCATTTAATCTGTTTTAAGATGCGTTACACAGTATATGTTTTTAATATTTACCATACGGTACGACCATTAGCTATTTTTTGTAATTTTAATCCAAATGTGCAAGCATACTGTGTATGATGTCTATAAAGCAGGCATTTTTAACAGTATCCCCTTAAATTTAATTTAATTATGCTAACACATGCTTATTATCTATTCGCTAGCTATGACATATACATCATTAAACAAAACAAAAGTATTAACACATGAAAACACTAATGAAATATGATTAATACCTACTGGACGCATCTCTTCTGTTTCAAATTTAGTCAGTGTGTCTGAAAAATCCTTGTATATTTATTTAACGTTATTTGTTAAGCAAATTTGACTTGGTATTAGCCTGCAAGTCCTATCAAATCCATACAAGTTACAGGCATTTGCATAATGCTTGCCCATTTTGAAAACAGGATGAGATCCAACAATGAGGCTCTGTCTAAGGCTGTTTTCTTTGAATAGCAATATTATAATACCATTACGGGGAAATGTCTATACGTTAAAAAAAAAAAAATTGATATTCAGGTTTTTACACTGTCATATTTGACCCAACTAGTATGCTTTTGGTCTACTCTTATTCTATTGATATAAATAATTAATTTACTTTCAGGACCAGTTGGCATTTCTGTGTGAAGCTTGCATGTTCCCCCCGTGTTCGTGTGAGTGCTCCGGTTTCCCCTATACAGTCCAAAGACATGCGCTAGGTGAATTGGATGAGCTAAATTGGCCATAGTGTGTGTGTTTGTGAATGTGAGAGTGTATGGGTGTTTCCCAGTACTGGGCTGTGGCTGAAAGGGCATTCACTGTGTAAAACATATACCGGAATAGTTGGCGGTTCATTCCGCCTTGGCGACCCCTGATAAATAAGGGACTAAGACAAAGGAAAATTAATAATTTTGCTTTCTTACAGGCCTTTATACCAGCGGTTTTATTTCTTTACCCAATGAAGCTCTGCAATTCACTGGCATCAAGCCAACATTGTTATTAAAGCTTATCAAGAAGATTTAAAAGTATATAGAAGAATGTATAGATTAAATATTAAAACTAAAAAAATCATACATTTAATAAGATGTATTTAAAATGACACCTAAAATATCAAGTACGGACTGACAAAGGAAGAGTACTCCCGAAAAACTGTAAATGTCAAAGAACAGACATGTTTCAATGTGCATGCAAATGTTTTAGTGATGATGCCTGTGAAGACAGATGGTCTGTATGTATGCTGTATAGTTTGAACAGGGCAGTGGATGTTCTAACAACTGTTGTACTGTCATCCAAATTCATTCATTTCCCTTTATTTATCAAGGGTCGCCACAGCAGAATGAACCACCAACTTATCCAGCATATGTTTTACTCAGCGGATGCCCTTCCAGCCGCAATCTAGTACTGGAAAACACCCATACACTCTTGCATTCACACACATACACTAAGGCCAATTTAATTTTTTCAATTCATCTATATCACATGTCTTTGGACTGTGGGGAAAACTGGAGCGACCGGAGGTAACCCACACCAAGTCGGGGAGAACATGCAAACCCCACACAGAAATGCCTATTGACCCAGCTGGGGCTCGAATCAGTGCCCTTCTTGCTGTGAGGCGATCATGCTACCCACTGCACACAGTGATGCCCCATCCAAATTTGTATTATCACTATTATAAATGTATATCAAGGTGCAGATGCAATTATTTTTATCTACCCAGTAAATAACACAGACATCCGCATTTAATAATGAAAGGAATTCATACATTACTGGATATAACTGTGCTGCACATAAAGAGCAGCTTCTGTCTGAAGCGTTCTAAAGAAAACCCCGCCACATTCATTTGTTTACTGTGGTGAACTTTATTTATTTATTTTTCCTGTAAGGTCATAAAGTATGTTAATGTCCACACAGTTTGTCACAATACTGGGTTTCTTTGCACTTTCTGACTTTGTTAGTGTGTTTTAAGCCATGCATATACAGTTGAAACCAAAATTATTAGCCCTTCTGAATATTTATTTCCCCAATTTCTGTATAACGGAGAGAAGATTTTTTCATAAACACAATATTTTTAATACCTCATTTCTAATAACTGATTTCTTTGATCTTTAAATATTATATATATATATATATATATATATATATATATATATATATATATATATATATATATATATATATATATATATATATATATATATATATATATTAGTGTTCAGCTTAAAGTGACCTTTCAAAGCTTATCTTAATGAGGCAAGTTTGTTCTGAATCTGGAAAAAAAACATTGCTTAAGAGGGGGCTAATAATATTGACCTTAAAATGCTTTCAAAAAATAAAAACAGCTTTTATTCAAGCCGTAATAAAACAAATAAGATTTTCTCCAAAAGAAAAAATATAGGAAATGCTGTAAAAAATGCATTGCTTCATTCAACATCATTAGGAAAACATTTGAGGTAAAGAGGAGCTAGTAATTCTGACTTCAACTGTAGAGAGAGAATTGTCCAAACCAGGAATGTGAAGGACCTTTTTTAGTATCTACGTGTATTAAAAAATAATCCATTGTTGTGTTTATTTATACTTGTATGCTGGTTGTGCAAGTAAATACAAACAAATTGAGAGTCCTGACTTTTGGGAATTTTGCCATTTCATTTCCATGTGCTTTGCATGCCTGCAAATGTGGAAATGATGTAACATGACGCTGGTTGACCAAAATGATCCCAGTGAAATATTTTCATACAGCATACCGATAGATCTCCCTTTCACAGCTATCTGTGTATGAGGACCGTTAAATAAACAATTGGAAAGTGGTGCATTCATATGATCACAAAACGTCATGCAAACACTAGTTGAATCCTATCTGTTAGGGCAGGCTACTCCAGTTTATTGTGGGTGAGAAATTCACTACTGTATTCATGCACCTTCCTGAGATATCAATTGGGTTGCAATGTGAATGATCCTGAAAGATGGACTGTAGGACGTTAAGAGCTTTCTATCTTGTGTTGATCTTTGTCTTTTAAGGTCATCTAATGGGCGGAGCCAAGAAGATTCCATATTCAAATTAAATCACCTGGAGATCTCCTTCACTGGATATCACGCCATCACAGAGAAAACAACACTTCTGGAAGGACAGACATTAACAGGTAAAAACAAAACTATTGATGAATTGTTGCTCTTTTTTAGATGCTTACAGTATTTGAATTTATTTCAGGAATTTTTTTTTTGACTCATTAAGCAAAACTTAAACGATTAATGTTCCGGTTACACTTTAATTGAAGTCATTAACTGTGCATGTACATTTAAATTAATCATTCAGTACAATGCACTTATTATGTACGCATATGTATATGCAGTGCTCAGCATATATAAGTACACCCCTCCAAATCTCTCTTTTAAGTTCATATTTTAATAGGAAGCTATACAATATTATATATTTGTGCATATACTTTAGATTAGTCAGTACTGAAGCCAAATCTGGAGCTCATTTAACAAAATAACTTGCGTTAACAGTCCAAAAACTAGAACACCCATATTCATATGTTATAGAAAAATATTAAATACATTTCTTTAAAAGAGGAAAAATCAAGAGAAGCAAAAAAATGGAAAAATTTTGTTAAAATTTTGTAGGCTGTACATTTTTTTTTTTGTTGCAATGTTTAACTTGAATTTAATTGTATTATCATTCAATTTCCAAATATATTCGGTGACTAAAATATTATTTTAATAAATATATGTTTAATAAACCTGTTTTAATTAAATGCACCCAAATACATTGCCTATATTCACTGAGAAATGGATAAAAATATTCATTTTCAAAATGAGATGTACTCAACTATGTTGAGTACTGCACATTATACGTATAAATTTTAAGTTATTTGCATTACATCTGTAATTAATTTCTGTATAATTGCATTTGTAATTACACTGTTGACCCATCCCTTACACCTTAAACCTTCCCCTAACCCTACCCATATCCCAGCTTAATAGCCCCATTAGTGCTGCAGTACAGTATAAACACAACAGGTCAAATGTTTGTACTTATGTACTTATTTTTTTATGTAAGTACACAGTAGTTAATGTGACTAAAATTAAAGTGTAACCAATGTTCTGTTTCTTTCAGGCACAATGTTAAAGTCCTTCTTGCTAATTCTCATTATGGGTATGAAGATTTTTACAGACATATTACTTTCCGTATTTCAATATCATAATGCAACAGTAGATTTTTTTTTAATTGAGTAGTATAAGACCTTTCATGGTGTTTTATAATTCATTCCGATTTAGGGAATGGACTTCCAGTGGAAGCATCTCTGAGATTGATGAATGGTGGGAACTCTTGCTCTGGACGAGTGGAGGTTTTCTATAATGGCGCATGGGGAACGGTGTGTGATGATTCCTGGGATTTGTCAGACGCTGCGGTGGTGTGTAGAGAGATCGGATGTGGGAATGCAACTGAGGCAAAGAGCAATGCTTATTTTGGTCCAGGAACTGGATCAATATGGATGGATGATGTGCTTTGCATTGGCAGCGAGTCCTCTCTGGTAGACTGTAAGAGAAGCGCGTGGGGAATACATAACTGTGTGCATGGTGAAGATGCTGGAGTCATTTGTGAAGGTGAGTGAAGGCTGTATTTATTGAAATATACGGTCACACTTTATTTTGATGGTCCAATTGTTGAATTTAAGTCACATTGCATCTACATGCCAACTAATTCTCGTTAGATTGTAGGTAGACTGTTAGGTTGGGATTAGGGTTAATATAAGTTTACATTTACTTGCAAGGTTTTTTATAGTCAGTTAAATGTCTGTTGAAGGAGCATATCAACCAATATTAAGTGGACAATCTACTAATAGACCATCAAAATAAGGTGTTACCAAATATACAAATACTGTACACACTATGTCTGGAACTCTGTGTTATACTTCTATGTCTCTCTTTCTACATTTATACATTACATTCACCTCAAAAACTAAAGCTAAATCTATCAAATTTTATTATATTTAGGCCCTATTAGGTTGGCAAATGGCCGTGACTCTTGTTCTGGGCGAGTGGAGTGGATTCATAATAAGACATGGGGAACAGTGAGTGATGATGGCTGGGATCTGTCAGACGCTGCAGTGGTGTGTAGAGAACTGGACTGTGGGAATGTGATTGAGGCAAAGAGCGCTGCTTATTTTGGACAAGGAACAGGACCGGTATGGTTGGGCGCAGTGCAATGCTATGGGACCGAGGACTCGTTGATGAACTGTACATCCACAAAATGGGAAATACAGAGCGGTGACCATTCAAGAGATGCTGGAGTTATCTGTAACAGTGAGTAGCAAAGATGCAGATGCACTTTGCATGATGCCTTGTAAATTCCTTCAATAACTCATTACTTTATTGTGGTTTTTTATTTGTACTTTTATTTAGTGTGTATTTTAAATTGTTAAAGAACAATTTAGCAGACACTTTAGGACTAAACGTGCAGTACAACATGGTTTCATGAATTTTACATTAGTTTACCTTACATTAGCAAATTTGTTTTAACATTAGTTTACCACATTAGTTACAGCATACCAAAGACTATAGAATACACAAGACATGTCACTCCTGTAGTTTTGGTTGGGGAAGAGTGTAACATTCAATATGGAAAATGAAGCCCCACCTGCTAGTACATAAGGCTGATTATTGATCGCTATAGACTGACTATTCTTTGGAGCACCAACAGTACGCTTTTTCAACCTCTCCCTGATCAAACACAATTGAATCAACTCATCAGAACATTAGAAGAGACTCCAAAACCTGAATTTAATGGGTCAGATAAGGGAGACATCCAAAATATGTACTGTTCGTGTGCCTCTTGAAACAGGGTCGGGAAACACTGATCTGGGGCAGGGGCTTGAAACAGACGCGACTTTCAGCAGATTTTGTGTGATTCAAACGTTTAGAAAAATGAGAGACTAAGATACAGTTGCTGTTTAATTTTATTGGTGATTCTTAATATGAAATTAAATCGCAAGCTTTGCAAGAAATTTTGGAGAATTGATGTTTCCTCATTCGAACAAAATGGCTGAGCATATTGCCCGTTTGATTGACAGGCGATCCAGCAAATCAAAATACGCTTATTCTGTGCCCCTGTCACTGTCACACATTGTCAAACAAACAAAACAATGCAACTATACAGGTGTAATAGAATAACATAAGTGATTAACATGAAAATAAAATTCAATGTGCTCAAATGGGACACACACTGTAAAAAAAAAACTTGCTGCCTAAATATTTTTAGTTGAATCAAAGGAAATTGTATAGTTATTTAAGCTTACATCAGGCAAGCTGACTATCCGCTTGTTAAGTGTGATGTCACTTGAAGCGGCTTCTGGGTCCAAGTGCTCTATTCTACTGAATGGGGAGACTCATGAAATGGTAATAATAAACGTTTACAAAGTGATTTATTACTTTTGAAAATAGCGATCGCAATATATATATCCATGCCTAATATCCGATGGCCAGAAAGTGATTAATTTTTTTATAAATTGGTAAAATTTTGGTATTTGTTATGCAGCAAGCCCAGAGATTGTTGTGTACACTATGATTTTATATAAAATGAACTTTAATGTGTGATAGGAATAAAACGTGATCATAAACGAATGATTTCTCCACTCAAATGAACGACGGCTTGGACCCGTAAACAGTATTATATACGTCACCAACACGTCCCCACTTAACAAGCGGATAAATACTGTTTAACCTTTATAACTAAACATATTTAGTTCAGACCAGAATAACTCATTGATATCAGTTAAAGAAACATAAAAACATTTGTTTTCATGAATTTTTGTGATATTTTTTATTGTGCAGAAAGCAGATATGCAATTCCTAAATACATCTTAAATACAAATATCTCCTCTCTGGCTGTCATTATCAGTCTCACACAAGTATTTTCCTTTTATTTAAAAGTTTGAAAACACTTTGATGGAGATTTTCTTTTATGATTTGAGCAAAAATATGTATTTGCACATTCACTGCTCTATAAGTTTACTACAACTATGATGAATTCCACTACTGAGATAACTAGAAATGTGAAAAGAGTGAATAGATAATAGATTTTCACATATAACCCTTTATTAATGACCTCATAAACACTGAAATGAGCTCAAACCAACAAATCCTTCAGGAGAATGTTTCATTGTTTTGTTTTTTACAATTTGTCATTGCATTCATTTCATGTGCATAAAGTGTTTTTTAGAAATTTCCTCATGCTTCAAATGTGACAATGAGTTTGTACAGTGTGGCTTGTGTGTGAACCTGTTTGATCAGATGTGAAGCTGGTGAACGGCTCCAGTGCGTGTGAGGGCAGATTTCAGATCCTGCATAATGATATCTGGGGCTCAGTGTGTTCCTCGGGCTGGGACGAAAAAGACGCTTCAGTGTTGTGTCAACAGCTGGGTTGTGATGATACTGGACAGCCGAAGACATTCGCAAGTCCTTCAGTGGTGAATATCTGGATGAACAATGTGGCCTGTACAGGAGATGAGTTGTCACTGCAAACCTGTCCTTTTGCTGGATGGGGGTCAAGCTGTTTGACTGGACTTTCTGCAGGAGTGCTTTGCCAAAGTAAGATCATCTTACATGAGAGCATCACAAATGAAGGCATCATGATATCAAAACTGGTGTTTTATTGTGATACTAGAGTACAGATACACTGATACAGAGTTTGATTAACCAGCACAGTTGTGTCTGATTGGGTTGCAAATAAACTGTGCAGGCAGCCCCGCTGTAAAGCTTATCATGTCTATATTTCACTTGCAAAAATTAATTTTCTCTTGTGTTTTCAAGGACAATGCAGTTAAAAGATGCTAATGTGAAAAGTATTCCTCCTGTAATGCTTTTTGTGTCTGTATTTCACTTGTAGAAACTACAAAACAAGTTGTGGTGAGCTTTGTGTTGAACATCAACAATGGACTGGATGTCAATGATCCACAGATTAAGCAGAAATATCTGGACAAGGTGAGGTTCATGGGAACTTTTAGTAAACAACTTGACAAATACAAATACTTCCAAAAATAGTAAACAGACGTTTACATTAGTAACGGATGTAGTTTTTAACAAGAACTAAGATGATATGGATGTATCATCATCCATTTCACATATCAGTAACAAAGATCAGTGTTACCAAAAGTAAAAACTTCTGACAATTTCAGTGATAAATGGGTTAATAAGTGTGATCACTTAATGTTTTCTTAATAAAATTTCACAGATAAGGAATGTAGTTGAAGGTAAAGGAGTAAATAGTGTGAACTGGAGAACACAACCTGATGGAAAGGTGTTTCACGAACAGAAAACATCCACAGGTTTGTAAACTGAGAGGTGATGGACACTACCTAAAATACAAGTAAACATAATCAAGCATAATTGACTTTGGTTTAACTCAGTTATACTTGTTCACAGGTCCTTTATGAATAAAGGAGGAGTCAAAAACTGCTTATAACGTTTAAATCCAATGTTCATCTATTATTAAAAATTGTTCCGAATAACTGAAGAAAAATACAGCTGAAGAATCTTCTTATTTATTTACATCTTAAGGAATTTCCACAAAACTAAATGTTTATTGGGGAAGGAAATGTGTATATAATGGTATGTTGATTCCCTGGTTTCATGAAGAAAAAAAAAAATAAGAAAAATCAAGTAGATTTTTTTCAACCCGGGCTCATTGTGGAAACGTAGCCCCGCGGATGTGTGTGGAGACCGCGAAATACGTCCTGGGAGGTACGTATTCGAGCAGTTTTTGTTTTTGCGAATCCGTGAGAGGCCGCTGTGCGCGCTGTCCGTCCAACGGACTAACTGAATGACTGAACAATCGACCGGGCGGCCAATCGGTCGACCCAGCCGCCCTCCTCCTCCTCCTTCCCTCATTCGCTTTTATTTTTTTGGATTCTGTTTTCCATCTTACCTGATTTCTGGAACCGCTCTTCCCTAGACTCGATCCCGGTTGTCGCCGTGGCCGGCTCCTCCTCCCTCCGCGCCTCCGCTCCGCCGACGTAATGCTTCGAGCTAAGCGGACAAACTGGTTTAGGCGGGAAAGCCCTCTACACGGAGGCGAGCCGTCAGCCGGCGAGCACGAAGAGGAGGAGCGGAGCGGCGTCACACCGCCCCCCAGTGTTCGCTCGATAAAAAACAAAACAAAAACACGGGCATACGTACCTCCGGCCATGTAAATCGCGGTCTCCAGAAACGTCCGCGGGGCTACGTTTCCAGAATGAGCTTGGGTTGATTTTTTTTATGTACTTATTTACAATAATTGTATTTCCCCTGAAAAATGACTTTCTGTGATATTTCAATAATTGACTGTGCTCCTGATAAACTGACTAAATGATAAATGATGTGATGAGATGTAACACCATATAAACCCTAGGCCTCAAACTCAATTCCTGGAGGCCCGCAGCTCTGCACAGATTTGATCCAACCCTAATCAAACACAGCTGATTCAACTAATCAAGGTGTTCAAGACTACTATGCTGTGTCCGAAATTGCATACTTCCATACTATATAGTACGCTAAAAACAGTACAAGCCGATTTGTATGTCTGAATTTGTTAAATTCGAAAAAAAACAGTATGCGAAAAGTACCCAGATGATCTAATACTTCCAGATTCTGCTGTGTGCATCTGATGCACATTACACTATCCCATGATGCCCCGCGAGAGAACTTACGAATAGGAGTGAAGCAAAGCAGCTCACGCGGGTAGGTCACGTGATCATGACAGAACGTACTTTTTTAATGGTCGAGCAGTACATTTAAATTCCAATGCAGTAGCTACTGAGTAGTAGGCGATTTTGGACGCAGCCCTTAGACTATTAAGCAGGTGTAACTTGGAGCTGAACTTTGAACTGTGGCCCTTCAGGAATTGAGTTTGAGACCATTGGTATGAACAATTTCACGCTTAAGCAAATTTTCAGACTTTTTAAGAGATTTTGTTTTATACATTGATCAAAAATATATAGTATCAGAAAGCAAATAAACATTTAACATGTAAACCAAAACCTTTGCATTTCCATTGTTTTACACCTCCAGTCAATAAATATAATCCAATGTTGGGCAATTATCCAGAGGCACTAGAGTTAACTGGCTTAAAATTAGGATTGACCTAAAAAATTATGTTATATTTTGTTGCAAAACATATGTATTATTTAATGATAAATAGGTCAAATACATGCATTATTTAATAAATTATCATTTGTAAAGAAAGAAAACGACACACTAACTTATAAATGTATTTTTATTACCAGTATAATAAAAGTAAAGTCAAATTGGTGACACTTTAAAATAAGGTTCATTGGTTTATGCATTTACTAACATGAACTACGTATGAACAATACTGGTACAGCATTTATTAATCATAATTCAGCATTTACTAATGCATTATTAACATCCAAGTTCATGCTTGTCAATGTTAGTTAATGCACACTGAGCTAACGAACTAACAATGAACAACTGTATTTTAATTACCAACGTGAACAAATACTGTAGTAAATGTATTGTTCAATGTTTGTTTATGTTAGTAAATAACTAATACAACCTTATTGTAAAGTGTTACCATAAATGAAACATGTTGTCAGAAGTTATATTTTATTTTATCATAAACACTTCTTGAATTTCTTCTCCTGAATTTAGGAGGCTCAGTTCTCAATAGTTTTCTGTGGAAATAACAGATTGAAACACATGACACTATTTGATTAAACTTCTATATTGTTACATTTTTAAAACAATGACAAAAGTATAATTAATTTACAAAAGGTTTACAAACCTGTCATGGACCAAATAATTTCTTTTCCTGAAACACTTGTCCGTCCTGCTGCGTTCTCCAGCTGACAGAGAAATTTCCTTCCTTTTTAACCTCTTGAGTGATCTGTGTAATTCAGATGAAGGAGAACACAGTTACTAAGTGGACGAAAAAAAAAAAAAAAGTAAAATCTGTTTAATCAGAAAATTGTTAGTTACTTTGCTGAGTACTTTTGCCATCAGAAAAGGATTGTTGGGATCAACATTAGAATCAGAGTTCACCTTAATCTTGAGTACATTTATGATATCTGTGCAGGAAAGACAACATTTATAAAGTAAAAAACGGTGATACAATATGACATGTGCTCATTGCTTAAAAGATATATATTTGAAGTTTATTTATAAACAAATTTCCTGAGGATTACGTGCTTATGTTTGACCATAGCTGGTCACCGCATAAGCTAGTGCATGACTTATTAATCAGACCATTCCTAAGTCACTATAATAAATAAATAAGTTTCATACCACAGTCATCTTCGTTTTGAATAGTCCCCCCTTACTGCTCTACTCCTCCCCCTCTTTTCCTAAATAGGGCAGCACGGCGGCACAGTGTTGCCTCACAGCGAGAATGTCACTGGTTCAAGTCCTTACCAGGCCAGCCGACGTTTCTGTAGTTTTCCACGTTTCTAAGCTTACATGTTCTCCTCATGCTCGCATGGGTCTCCCCTGGTGTCCTCCCACCAGACATGCGACTTAAATTAATTGACTAATCCAAATTGGCACCATAGATGAGCTCCTAGTCAGCAGTACATCTCTTCATACAATTCCTAATTTGTCTTTAGCTTTAAACAGCAGGGGAGTTCTCAAGCTCAAACTCCCCTCTCGACATTCAAATGGGAGGGAGCCCCGGGCTTGAGGATCTTCTGAGCTTAGGGCTCTCTCCCAGGATAACATGCCAAACATGCTTCATAATCAATCATCAGCTAAGTGTGAACTCTTGAATATATTATTTTTTTACAGACGATTAGCCTATTTGATGTTCCTTTTATGTTTCAAATAGGAATACATTTCCTGATTAATATTTGCAGAAGTAGAGAAATACAGAAGCCTGTTTGCGCAATGGATTGAAATTTAAATATCTAATATAGAGGAACGCACTCACAATTCCCAGAAGAAAATAAAAACACAGATCTGGGATGTAAGCTCAGGATTAAAAGCAAATGTCTTATAGGATAACTCTTTATAAACTCTGAACTTAAAAGGAAAGAAAGTCGGAATTGCCAGATTTAATAGCTCAGAGCTATAGCTAAAAGCCTAAGGTTAGCCAGATTACATATTACATTTTTTAATTAATTTCTTACAATTCAGAGTTACATTATTTTTTTCTTAAATCATTCTGGATTTAAATATAGAAAAATAGGTGTAAAGTATAAAAATAATAAAGAATGTAAACTAAAAATATTAATAAATAGATAAAATTTGCCAGTTGTAACAAACAATTCTTGATTTTTGCAAGTTTATTTCACTGATCTGAGTTATCTTTTTACTTTTTCCCCCTCAGAATTGTGAAATAAAGTTGCTGTTACCTTTTTTTTCTATGGCAGAAACCATCTTCTACAGAGAAGTGGTGTTCTGTACAGTATTTGACTTGAACGCACCTTTGCAAATGACTCCTGCGTCATATGCATGAATGCATTGATTGTTTCCCCATCCACCAAACTGGCAGTTCCTAAGGTTGGACTCTTGACCAGTGCATCTGAGGGAATCCATCCATATGGGCCCATCACCAGCGCCAAAAACGGCATAAGAAAAGGGCTCTGCATTTTCACCACAGCCCAGCTCTCTGCACAGCACAAAAGCATCCGGGAGATCCCAGCTGTTGTGGCACACAGTCCCCCAGCGGCCATCGTGAAACACAGACACTGTGCCCTGACATGGGTTATCTGTATTCACCAACTTAACCTCTAGAAAAAGAAAAAAGTTCTTACATTTCAAAGCCCTTCATGGGACCTTTAACTATTGGAGCAAAATGGGTCTCAAAAGGCCAGAACAGCAGAAATGTGCACGAATGGATACATATTTTTGAAATGTAAAAAAATGAATGTATATGCTGTCAGGCATCTAATTTACCTCGGCACACGACACCTGCATCTTGCTCATGCACACAGCTGTTTAGTCCCCATGAGTTTGACTTGCAGTTCATCAGCGAAGACTCCGAGCCTGTGCATTGCACATTATTCAACCAAATTTGCCCTACACCGCTTCCAAAACTCTTGACCTCCACTGGAGTTCCACATCCCAGCTCTCTGCAGATGACCACAGCCTCAGTCATATCAAAGCTGTCTCCACAAACCGTTCCCCACTGATTGTTTCGAAGAACCTCCACCCTTCCAGAGCAACTGCTGCCTCCATTCACCAGCCTCACTTCTGAGAGAGAGAATGAATAACAACATATCTCAGACACGAGGCATATTTACTGTCAACACACAGAAAAGGTTTGTGTTGCTAACACTGTAAAACATCTGTTCAAATTGCAATGTTAGCTTGATCTATGCACCAACAATGTTGAATCTAGTTTAACATCTATAGTTTACCTAAAATACTTTTGGGGTGTACTCACACTAGGCACGATTTTCTTGAACCTTGCCCAGGTGCGATTGTCCCCTCTCCTCTCGGCCTGCACTCACTTTGCATTTTTGCCCTCTAAGCCCGAGCACGCTTACGTCATCAATGATGCGACTTCAGTTTTAAAGGGAAGCACTCTCGCTTAATACAGTGGAGTTTTCTTTAGTTATATTGCTTCTATTATTTTAAGTCGTGCAGTGACACGCAGTTAAATCTTTTGCTGAACAGACTCACCACTTTTGATGCTCGATAAATTTCATGAAAGTCATCGTGCTGCACGTATTAGGTTTTCTGAGGGTTCCGTTAGGGGGGTTGCATATTTAATCAAATATGACAGTTCGTGTTTATTAAAAAGTAAGAACGATTAATAAATCTGTATGCAACAGTCACTTAAAAGTGACGTCGCCTCTTCAGTTTCTCGCTTTGGCATGATTTGCACTCATACTACAAGCGTACCACGCCAAAGCCCAACCGAACTATGCTCTGGCACACCTCCAATCAGACCAGGGCTGGCTAACTGAACCAACTGATTCGGAGCACTCACATTTGTCAAATGAACTGAGAAATGCGCCCGGGCATGGTTCCAATAGTCTAGTGTGGGTACACTCTTATTATATTAAAAGTGTAACAGAGCAACTTTTATTGAAATTTTTAATATAATCTAAAATTTATTGGTCATGAAAATCTGGTACGAAATCCAGGAATCCTGGTAAAGAGCTGTCAATACTTCATTATGAATTATTGTACAGAATTATATAAAATCCAGACACTGGTAGATTATATCAACAATTTAAATGTCACTTTTTTGCCTTTTTATAATATTGCAAGATGCAAAATCAAGGCCCCATAATGCAATTCAAAAGCATGAATATATTTGTGCAATAAAAATGTTTTCCAAATTATGAGTTACTTAACTGTAATAAGGTTGTATACTGGTGTTTAACAGACAGTGTTATTGTGTGGTATTTTCATCCTGAACATTCTTAGATCAACCAATGCTTTCTGATTGCTAATTCGCTTGCATTTTACATTTTATTACAATGTGAATTTGTACGAATTAGCACCAAACTGACCAAATGTAAAATAGACCAACATACATTTACTTGATATGAAACAGAGAACAACTTTCTGCTGTAAAGTCAACTCAAAATTAAGCTGCATTTTCTTAATGTTTTTGCAGGCTATAGGATATATGAACAGTTTTTTCCCCTACCTATAAACCTCCGGTGAACAGTTAATGTGACTTTTTTCATTTTTATATGGTTTCTTTTAGAGCAGGCATGTCCAAACTCGGTCCTGGAGGGCCGATGTCCTGCAAAGTTTAGTTCCAACCCCAATCAGACACACCTGGGCTAGCTTATCAAGCTCTTATTAGGCTTTCTAGAAACATCCCTGCAGGTGTGTTGAGGCAAGTTGGAGCTAAAATCTGCAGGACACCGGCCCTCCAGGACAGAGTTTGGACACTCCTGTTTTAGAGCATTTAGGCTGTCACGTAATTAAAATTAAGCGCACGCACCATCAGGATCAATAAAATAAGACATGGTGCAGAAAATTTTAATTTAATGCAGTTCTTCTTTTACAGTCTGAGACCCACTTTATATCATATATTAATGAGGCAGTTAAGATCATTGATTTTGTTATGAAAACAGACATTAAATAATGCAATTCTGTAACAGCATACAGTTCACCGAAAGCGTTTTAACTGGATTACTGAAAATTAAAAGTTCTTTAGCATATATCCTATTGCAGCTATTGTACATAAGCACATCTGTTGATTTCAGAACTCTCTTTGTTTATATTTACCTCCACAGACAACTCCGGCATCTTGTGAATGTGTACAGGAGCTTATAGAGGCAGAGAAGCTGCATTGATTCAGCGAGGACTCGCTCCCATTGCACTGTAGATTATCCATTAGTATGTTACCGGAACCGGGGCCAAGATAAGCTCTACTGTATGTCTTATTGAAAGGACCACAGCCAAGCTCTCGACACAACACAAGACCATCCAGATCCCCCCAGTTGTTGTCACACACGGTGCCCCAATTTCCACTATAGCGAACTTGCACTGTCCCAGAGCACATGCTGGGACCATTAACCAAGCTCACCTCTGAAAATAGACAATAGTTTGTATGAATTCACATTGCAATCGACGTGCAGTATTGATGTAGTTTAGTTTGTGGTGGCGCTTACCTCTGCATATCACTCCTGCATCAGTGTTGTGGGTAACTTGTTGACTCTGGATCCCTGAAATGCAGCTTTTCAGAGAGATCTCAGTGCCAGTGCATGCACTGTTGTACGTCCAAATGCTCCCTTTACCCTTCTTTAAAAAAGACCTATTCGTGACACTCAATGCAGTCCCACAGGAGAGCTGTTTGCAGATCACATCTCCACCCAGCAGATTCCAGCCATCATTATAAACCGTTCCCCAGCCATAACCATCATACAGGACCTCCACCCTCCCAGAGCAGTTGTTTTGTCCATCTGCAAACCTGACCTCTACAAGACAAAAAAAAAGACCCTACTAGCTTGTGCATTTACATTTAGTCATTTAGCAGATGCTTTTGTCAAAAGCTACTTACAATTAAGTAGGCATTCAGTGATTCAACAAGAAAAGGTAATACACACAACACAACAAGAGCTAATTATGCAAAGAAACTGTTAGTGCTCAGAGAATGAAGTGCTCAGGGGAGAGGGCTTTTAGAGAAAGAAAGAGAGAGGACTGTTATATATATATATATACATATATATATATATATATATATATATATATAGAGAGAGAGAGAGAGAGAGAGAGAGAGAGAGGGAAAGAGAGAGAGAGAGAGAGAGGTTGTAAGAAAGTGTCTGCAAAACTGGTGCAAGTATCAGTTAAAGGGTCAGAGAGATGAAAGAGTGTATTTTCTACAGGTGGTTTGTCAAGCCCACTCACCTGTGTGAGGCACACTCAAGGCTGATTTATATTTCTGTGTCAAGGGCATGCGTATGGCAGCCTCTGTGTGGTCGCATAACCCTCGCCCTGGCTGACGCTAACCCTGAGTTGCACCTCTCAAAAAATATAACTAGTCAAATGTCACAACGACGCGTAGTACAAGCTCTGTAATTGGTCGGTTTGGTTGCAGTTACGTGCGTGGGCGGTGCTGAGAGGCGCGAGCCAGATGGAGCGAGTGTTTACAAGAGTTGAATCCTGTAAAGGAGCTCCAATTGGACAGTTTTGTTTGGTGTTTACTTTATGATTACAGTTGTTGCACATTCGGCGGTTCCCTCCTCTTAATGAGTTACTTTTAGCTATTTGTAGCATTTGGAAAAAACTAAATGCATGCAAAGAAACTCGACACAGAGGAACAGAAATACCTCACTGCCAGCTAGCATTTCGTAAGTACTACTAGTAAGTTTTGTAAACTGCAAGTCGTTGGTTTCGCCAATCACTCGATGCAGAAGTATAAATCAGCCTTCAGAATTGATAGAGTTTTGGGGTTATCATGTTTAAGAGGCTTTTGCACTAGAGTAATATTTTCATGGTTCCTGTAAAAGCTGGAATTTATTTGCACTGCAGAAATTTAGTTATAAGAATTTCTCTTGGGTAAAAAAAGATAAATAAATGTGGACATTTAACACAGGATTTTTTTATTAACAAAAATGTATGTACTGATATATAATGTAAAACATAACTCTTATTCCTCTCATAATTTTATCTAAACTTTTAACTTAGTGCTCCAAAATTACAGATTTGGGGATTTGGCAATAGATATTTGTGAAATCTAATTTTATGGTTAGGTTTAGAGTTATATATACAGAATAGAGATAACCATAATAGAGATATAAACAGAATAGAGATGGACATAATAGAGATATAAACAGAATAGAGATATAAACAGAATAGAAATGGACATAATAGACATATAAACAGAATAGAGATGGACATAATAGACATATAAACAGAAAAGAGATGGACATAATAGAGATATAAACAGAATAGAGATGGACATAATAGACATATATAAAGAATAGAGATGGACATAATAGATATATAAACAGAATAGAAATGGACATAATAGATATATAAACAGAAAAGAGATAGACATAATAGACATATATAAAGAATAAAGATGGACATAATAGATATATAAACAGAATAGAGATATTGATAATAGAGATATAAATAGAATAATGATGGACATAATAGAGATATAAACAAAATAGAGATGAACATAAAGAAATAAAAAGAATAGAGATGAACATAATAGAGATATAAACAGAAAAGAGATGGACATAATAGAGATATAAACAGAATAGAGATGGACATAATACATAAAACATAACATTCAAAATCTGTCATTTTAGAATTAAAATTTCCAGGAATTAGATTTGTTTGGCCTTATGAAATTTAGGGCATGCAAAAATATGTTGTGTGAAATATTTGTTTACCTTTTTCACTTTAAGTGTTTCTTTTAGATACAGTAGCAAAGCAAAAAGTCCTCAATAGATAGAGACAGTGCTCGAGGCAAAAATGACAAGTATCCTTTCATTCATCATTTATTTCATTGCCAAATGCATTTAGATCTTTGAGTAAATGCACATGTAAATGAAAATATGAATCAGATTTCAAGGTTTAGGTTTTGCAAGAACAGAACTTTCAGAATCTGCCATTTTAAATTCCACAACTTAGACTTAATGAACAAAAAACTGCTGCATGTAAACATACCCTGTTTGTTTGCTTTTACTTCAGGCTGTGATGTTTGTACCCACCTGAACATTTGACTCCAGCATCATCGGCGTGTGTACAGGTGTGCACTCCCCAACCTTTAAACACACAGCTTTCAAGTGAAGTCTCTTGGCCTGTGCAGATAATGCCATCCATCCATATTTGACCAGATCCCTGCCCGAAATAAGCATTGAAGTGTAAAGACGCTGGTGTTCCACAGCCACGTTCTGCACACGCCACCATTGCGTCCATGATATCCCAGCTGTTATCACAGACCGTTCCCCACTCTCTGCTGTGGAAGATCTCCACTCTTCCCGAACAGTTGTCGCTGCCGCCTACAAACCTTACAGTAACTGCAGATGTGAACATGTAGAAAGCATGTAATGATAACCATACTAATATCAGGATGATAAGATTGAATAATACAGTAACATTTTTAAATACAGCTATGGGGAGAAATTACGATAAAACTCATTCTCAGTTTCACTGATATACTTATGTTTGAGTAAAATGTGATTTAAGCCTTTTTTTGCAAACTACTGATGATAGTTCTTCCGAAATTTAAAATTAGAAATATAATTTAAGTTAATTTTGCATAAAATAACAAATACGTTTTTAGTGATATATATATATATATATATATATATACATCAATATATAGATGAAGACAGTTATTAGCCATCATTCATTCATTCATTCATTCATTTTCCTTAGTCCCTTTATTCATCAGGGGTCGCCACAGCAGAATGAACCGCCAACCTCTCCAACATATGTTTTACCCAGTGGATGCCCTTCCAGCTGCAACGTAATACTGGGAAACACCCAGATACTCTCACATTCACACACAGGCACCAATTTAGTTTATTCAATTCACCTACAGTGCATGTTTTTTTTTTCCTGAGCACCTGAAGGAAACACATGCGAACATGGAGAGAACATGCAAACTCCTCACAGAAATGTGAGGTGACATTGCTAACCACTGAGCCACCGTGCAGCCCCCTATTAGCCGTCATGTGAAATTCAATTATTTTATAAATAAATTTACATTCTTTTTTCTTTATTTATTTATTTATTTTAAATATTTATCTTTAAATAGTGATATTAACCAGACCAAAGACATTTTTCACAGTATTCCCAACCACATTTTTCTTCTGCAGAATTTCTTTTAGTTTGGATTAATGTAAAATCTGCTAATCTGCTCAATATTTTTAGCCCATAATACATATTGTTTTCCAGTTAAGTGTAGAAAAACCCACTGTTTTTTTATTACTTGCCTACACTGTAAAAAAAATATGATCAATTAGTCCTGACAGCATGTTTTTAGGTCAACTTGTTAAACCAAGTTAATCATGTTCTAACTTAATTTTTTAAGTTATATAAGCTGTTTAAGTCAGTTTAACATAATAGTTAACATTACATAAGGTTCATTTGATTCAGTCTAAAAATGTGAGGCAACCAGGATTTTTTACGGTGCAGTTAACCTAACTTGTCTAATTAACCTATAAGTATAATATTATAATTATCATGTATCATTGCAAAGATAAAAGAACTTTAAATAAGAGATTATATATATATATATATATATATATATATATATATATATATATATATATATATATATATATATATATATATATATATATATATATATATATATATATATATATATATATATATATATATATATATATATATATATATATATATATAAAAAAAATATATAGATTCATTGTTAAACATCACACCTTCACACTTGGGCTAATAATTTTGAACCTGCATAGAAATGAACAAATATTAACATTTAATTAATAATTTAGTAAATCTAGAGTGCAGGGATGCCCAAACTTTTTTATATAAAGGACCAATAGCCGAACATCAATATTAGCCGTGGGCCAAAGGTAAAGATACTAGAAACTAGATTACATTGAAGTTGTCATGGGTCATTTATTTCATAATATTTAAAAATAAATCAAAAACATTACTTTAAATCCTATTAATTAATGCAGTGTAACTTTTAAAAGGATAACTTATTGCAATTCAATTATAACAGTAAACAGCAGAGTTCAGTGCTGAATACACTAAAGCAGATTCTGCCTTTGCCTTGATTTGCTCACCAAAGTCTCTGCATTGTTCTCTATCCATCAAATGACAGTAAACTAAATTTGATCACTTTACTTTAATATTTAATAGAAACATTTCATATCGGCTAGCTTTTATCAATAAAACTAGCAAAATGTTACATTAGATTTGAAATAATGATCTCTAAAGCTTTCCCATCATTCTTTCTTTCTTCTCAGATGGGATGCCAGGCCAAATCAAAGGTTATGATGCACCAACTTTGGCCTGTGGGCCCTAGTTTGGGCATCTCTAATCTAGAGAAACTGAGAGTTTTCAAGTGGTCAATATTTTTTCCCATAGCTGTACATCCCCTTTAGCATCCAATGGAATATTGCTTTGCACAAAACATTCCTTTACTATTCCAATTGACTATTTTCTTTACCCAAAATGGCCCTCCTGTAAGCTATAATAGAAGAGTAAGAATCCATAACCTACGATCACAGTTGACTCCGACATCTTTAGTGTGGTCGCATGCATCAGTCTGATTAGCCCATTCACAGTCCAACACCGAGCTCTCGTTTCCAAAACAGTTCAGGTCATCTGTCAGCACTGATCCCGAACCCTCACCCAACGCAGCGCCAGGCACCACGCCAATGAGAGGACCACAACCTGCCTCAATGCAGACCATGTTCCCTTCAACATCGTCAAAGTCCTGATCACAAACCGTGCCCCATTCATACAAATAAATCTCAACTCTTCCAGAACAAGCATTTGCACCGTCCATCAGCCGCACTGCTGGTGGCACTGGGGCAGTTAGTAGACTGGGAATGCTGACGGATAAGCTTTCTACACTGTCTGTTTGGGAAACACAAAATCTTATTTATGCCATGTGTGTTATTTAAGCTGCAGGACTGGTGTGTGCATGCAGAAGTGTGTCTCACCCAGTAGAAGAATGATGAAGCTCAACAAGTACAGCATAGTGACTGCAAAAAAATAGTGCGCAATCAACTTCAATCATAATTTAAGTTAAAAGCTTAACAATTATCTTATAAAACAGCAGGATTTAATGCAATTCAGTAACCTTAAATAAAAGTGGGATAATTTATATTTTAATTGTTTTACCAATTAGTCAAAACATCAAAACATTGTTAAATGACTCAATGATTATTTAAAAAGGCTCCTAAAAAGGCATATAGTATGAATATTTAGCATATTTAATTAATAATATTTAATTATAAAATATGTATGCACTATTTAATTTCTAGCAATACAATATATGAAGAGTTCAGATGCAAAATCCTCTGAAATTTCCATTGAAAATTAGCATTTTTCCTCAGCTCCTATGTTGATGTTGAGTTATTTCATTTTAAAGATCTTTAAAAGAGTGTATGCTTTGAGATTACTGTAAGTAAGTAAAGGTTTATTTAATATAGCACCATTCCCAGACATTGACAGTGCTTTACAATAAGAGAAAACAACTACAAGAACACTTAACAATAAAAGAAGACATGTTAAACATATAAAAACTAATTAAATACAGAAACACTAATGCCGTTAATTAAAAGCTTGACCAAAAAGTGCGTCTTTAAATGCTTTTTAAAAAGTTCAACTAATCTCAGAGTTCTCAGTGCTATAGGGAGAGAGTTCCAGAGCCGTGGGGCCACCACACAGAAAGCACGGTCACCTTTAGTCTTAAGACGAGTTCTGGAAATGGCTAACAGGTCTTTGCCAGAAGACCTCAGAGACCGGTTACATGAGTGACTGCTTAAGAGATCTTGAATATACAGGTGTGCTTGACCATGCAGAGCTCTATATGGAATGACCAGAACCTTAAAATTTACTCTAAAACTAATAGGAAGCCTGTGAAGTGCCTTAAGCGCAGGAGTAACGTGTGACCTCCTACTGGTGTTAGTTAAAAGCCTCGCCGCTGCATTCTGCACAACTTGCAATCGATCCATAGAGGATTTGTTCAGACAAGTAAACAGAACATTACAATAATCCAATCGTGAAGAGATGAAGACATGGACAAGCATCTCCATCTCTTCCTTTGACTCAATATAGACAGGTTCCTTATAAAAATGCTCATTTTTGAAGTCAATTCCAAGCGGCTTTTGGAGGTTTTTGCATCTGAACTCTTCATATTTCAATAACATAGACTAAGAATCATGCTAATAATGATGCATAATGCCACCAAAGTCATTTAACATCTTCATCATGAAGCTAAATCAGAACTTATTACCCCAAAAAAGCAGCTCAAACCTTTTGAGATCTCTTCATCAGATGTTCACCAGCTTCAACCTTTAGTCTTTGGATGAGTGAATGTGTTCATATGTGATGTGTGTTTAGCAGGAGCACCTCCTCCTTCCCTCAGACTGATCTCAGGTGTTTATTTAGATACAAACATGCTCAGAATACCCCATTACAGTCTTCGAGCTGCTAATGGATGACTGAGGATAGCTGGGAAGTTCAAGTTAGAAATGTGAGCACTAAAGTAAGTCTGATTGCACATGTTGGATACTGGAGTCTATGATTGTACAAATGTATTTAAAGTAAAGATAAGGGGAAATTCAGAAAAAAAAAGATGGTTATGTTTTTGGGTTATTTTCTTGAAAATATCTTGAGCAGAACAGCCCCATTTGGCACTCAAATCTGAATTTAACTATTCAAATAAGCCGAAAAAGAGAAATGAATGGCCGTGCTTCAAGAATATGCAAATGAGCATCTTAAAGAAACTAAAGGACGAGGCTGGAAACATGTCAGCAACTAATCAGGTGTCCAACAGTGTCTGAAATATCAATGCTTTAAAGCAGGGGTGCCCAAAACATTTTAATGTGCCAATGAGAGCTGTGGGTTGAAGGTAAATATAACAAACTATATTATGTAAAAGTTGCATTGGGTAATTTCCTAATTGATTTCATAAGATTAAACAGTAAATAGAAAACATTATTTTAAATAACAATGCAGTATAACATTTAAAATGATAACTTATTACAATAAAAACATGAACAATCCCATTTATAACACAGTGGAGTTCAATGCTGAATATATTAGTCTAGATTAGACAGTTATATTGTATATTTGAGTCATTCGTCATTTTTCCCCTCTTAAAAGTTGCTGATGTGCTTTATTTTGACATTTGAACTACTGATCAGTTCTCGTAAAGATTTTAAGCCAACTGACTGTTGAACATAGACTGCATTTGGTTTGTTTTTGCTTATTTTTGCAGCGTGCGAATGGCAAGTGGAAGAGCCGGCTTGTAACAACTGCTCTCATAAATATTAAAATTCAGCTGACAGAGGTTTGCATATGGTGTCATAACAATGTTGAAGTAACGTCTGCATGACTCAAGGCTCACATGTTGAAATGGGTCGTTTGATTATTATTGTTTACATATAATACGTTCTATGATTGCGCTGTTCTACTTTAGAACACTAGAATGTTCGTTTGGGATCTTTTGGAAGCAGGATGTTGTCCATATATGGTGTTTTCCACAAAAAGGACCATCATTTAATAAACATTCAGGTTTCAGAGAATGAAACAAGGCCGTGAGTGAAAGTTCACTTCCATTAGAGGACGAATGCACACCTGAAACACATTATCCATAGTTATTTTGTTTGCTGTTATATCCTCTTCACCCTTGGAAGACCAGGTAGGAAAACATTCCAATTCATACGTCAAAATAACCGGCAAAACTGTTCCTCAAAGCAACAAGACACATAAATTATACAGAAATACTATAGAAGTAGGCCTGATGTTTACTATAAATAAAAATGATATATAATTATTTATTTACAGAGCTAATGATGAGTACAGAAATATTAAATGAGTTAATACTTGTAAACACTTGGAACGATTGTAACAGCAGTAGGCCTGTCTGTCACGACGTCACAACTCATTAGCATACAAGTTTTTAAATGATTTTGATTAAATCTCATTTTAATTTTGTGTCAATTAATTTTCGAAATGTTGCTGCGATGCAAAAGTTACATGCTTGCGATCAGATACGTTTCTCTGATTTCTTCTCTAATCAGGTTTTTTAAAGTAAAGGTAAAATTATTTTATACCAGGTTTTTCTTTGTATAGCCTTATAGAAATAAGTTGCATCGATGTCGTACACGACATTCGCCACAGGAAGGCGGCATTGCCTTTTCAATATTGATTTTTAAAAATTTTCAAAGAATAATTTAATAAAAGCCAAAAATGTCTCGAGTTTCATGATTGTACACAAGTCCATCAGTGTAATACACACAGTTCCCCACAGGAGGGCGGCGTTTTGTTACCTTCACTCGCATTTTTCATGTAAGATATATGTTAACTTGCGTTTTTGATGGCAATCATAATAATAAGTTAGTTGAATTTTATACTTAAATTATGATCATTAAAATGTAAAATAATATAAACTTTTTTAATAGATAAAAACGAAGCGCTTGCACCCTTTTACTCAATTCAAAAGCACATTTATAACACTACAAACATTAGCATTTTTTTTCAAAAACTTGCAATTTTTAGTTCTTTTGCACATATTATTTTCAATAATTTAGATGTTTTGATGATTTTTCAAATGCAGAAAAAATTAAAGCTCGAGTTTTACTACTTAACATAAGTGTGTCAGTGTAACACACACAATTCACCACAGGAGGGCGGTATTTCGTTCCCTTAACTCATATTTTTATGTAAGATATCTGTTAACTTTTTAATGGCAATCAGTGTTATACTTAAATATGTTATACTTAAATGAATGTTATACTTAAATTATGATCATTAACATTTTTAAATTATATATATATATATATATATATATATATATATATATATATATATATATATATATATATATATATATTTAATAGATAGAAACGAAGCGCTTGCATTTTAAGCCCACCTTTTTACTCAATTCAAAAGCACATTTTTAACACTAGAAACATAAGTGAAACATCACTATTCAACATAACTGTGTCAGTGTAATACACACAATTCACCACAGGAGGGCGGTATTTCATTCTCTTAACTTGTATTTTTATAAATAAAAAATAATATATACTTGCAATTTTTAGTTCTTCTGCACATTTTTTTCAAATATATACGTTTTGATGATTTTTCAAATACATAATAAATTAAAGCTCGAGTTTCACTACTTAACATAAGTGTGTCAGTGTAATACACAAAACTAACCACAAGAGGGCAGTATTTTGTTCTCCTAACGCATTTTTATGTAAGAAAATCACACACATATGTGATGACTGGAGTTTTTGATGTCAATCCCAATAATGTGCTTTGTTTTGTTGCAGTTTGAGCAATGATCATTATAAAAAAACTTATATATTTTAATAAATAACAACCAAGCTCTGACGCCATTTTATTTTATTCAAAAGCACATTTTTAACACTAGAAACTTTAGCATTTTAAATAATTCAGCAATTTTAATTCTTTTGCACATTTATTTTCAATAATGTAGATGTTCTGTTGATTTTTCAAACTAATCCCGAATTATTTAATAAAAAGGCTCGAGTTTCATGATTGCACACAAGTTCATCAGTGTAATACACACAGTTCCCCACAGGAGGGCGGCGTTTTGTTCCTTTCACTTGCATTTTTATGCAGGATATAAGTTAATTTGCTTTTTGATGGCAATCATAATAATAAGTTGGTTGAATTTTATACTAAATTATGATCATTAAAAATGTAAAATAATATATACTTTATTAATAGATAAAAACGAAGCGCTTACACCCTTTTATTAAATTCAAAAGCACATTTTTAACACCAGAAACTTTAGCCTTTTTAAATAAATTAGCAATTTTTAGTTCTTTTGCACATATATTTTCAATAACTTTGTGTTTGGTGTTTTGATGATTTTTCAAATACAAAAAAATTTAAGCTTGAGTTTCATTATTTTACGCAAGTGCGTCAGTGTAATATACACAACTCACCACAAGTGGGTGGTATTTCATTCTCTTAACTCGTATTTTTATGTAAGAAAATCACACAGATATAACTAGCGTTTTAATGGCAATCCTCATAAAAGTGATTTGTTTCATTGCAGTTTGGGTTCTGTAAAATAAATTAGATGAATGTTATGCTTAAATTATGTTCATTATATCTAAAAACAAATGTACATTTTTAATAAATAACAAAAGAGCACTTATGCCATTTTGTTCAATTCAAAAGCTTTTTTTCACCAGAAACTTTAGCATTTTAAGTAATTTTGCCATTTTAGTTCTTTTGCACATAATATCGAATAATTTAATGAAAAAGTCTCACCCCTAGACGATTTTTGATGGCCCGACAACCGCGCAGGTCACTGTGGGAGAGCCCCCGACCCGCTCAGAGGCGACGCCGTCCACCTAGCTCCCCCGGTGGCTGCGCGGATTGTCTTTGAAAAAGTCTTTTTTTTTTTACCCATTCTGTTGCAATCTGGGTATCGCCACGGGGTGGCAGTGGACCGACAGGAACCCCCTAAGCGGAAGCGCCGAATAGGTGAGGGCTAGGCTGTCTGTGGACATCCCACCTGTAGCTTATTAGGCTGTCTGTGGACATCCCATCTGCAGACAGCCTATTTAAGGTCCACTGAATAAGCTACAAGTATGATGTGCATTTTCCAAAGATGCTATAGTCCTCGGTGAGGTCCCAAAAGGCCACAACTTTGCTATTTACCCTATATTTCCACTTCTGATGATGTTGATTTTGGTTGATTGCATGTTGGATTTTGGTTAAACGCATTTGGTTAGTGCAGCCTCTTTTGGTCAATTTAAGCACTGACATTCATATTTCTGAACATGATATAGTACCAAGCCACCTGGGGCTTATCTGTCCAGTAGTTTTTTCCTCTTTAGAACGTGGGAAAGACTTCTGTGGCCTAAAAAAATCACTGTCCACAGACAGCCTATCTGGGCCCATTCAAATAAGTTACACGTGGGATGTTTTACATGATCCACCCACCCAAGTGGTCAAACCTCAACAGATCCCCAAACAAACCATTGGAGGTGCATCCCCACCTCCCCCTGTGTTGCCCCCTGGTGTTAACACCTCAATATTCTACTGTCCAGCAACCACCTATTGTTATGAATGGAACAGATTGCAGGTGGGATGTCCAGATCTCAGCTTCTACATGAGCTAGCAAGCTGAAACCTGGCTTCCTGTTCTAGTCTGGGCATGCCCTGTCCATGCTGTGAATTTGAAAAAGATTGAAGAAAGTCGAAAATTTGACCCAAAAAATCTATAAGGGGTACCCCTTGGAGTTTTTTTGGGTCAAATTTTCAAGTTTTTCCAATCTTCTTCAAATTCACACCCTAGACAGGGCGTGTCCAGACTAGCACAGAAACGCAGGTTTGGGCTCTCTACTGTGTCCAGAAGCTGAGATCTGGACATCCTACTAACAATCTATCCCAATGTATGAAATAGGCTGTTCGTGGACAGAGGAATTTCAACGATTCGACACCTGGAGATGGCCCAGGGGGGCTTGCATATCCACCTCAATAGGTTTTTTGGCACTTTTTTGAGGTTTTCCTGCTCTAGCAGATGGATCAAGAAAAAACATCCCACCTGTAGCTTACTTGAACAGACCTAGGTAGGCTGCCCGCGGACACCCCTGTAAAGGGTCACCATTTCCAGCAGGAACGATTTTGAAGTACATAAAGGGGAGCAGATGGGTCAGGAATCCTTGCCCAGCATTTTTACCACATCAGATTTCACCAAACAACTTCTATGGCCTAAAGAAGCACTGTCCACAGAGAGCCAAACTGGGCCCAGTCAAATCAGTTACAAGTGGGATGTTTTACTTAATTCTTTCACCCAAGTGGTCAAACCTCAACAGATCCCCAAACAAACCATTGGAGGTGGGTCCCCACCTCCCCGACTTGCCCCCTGCTGGTAAAACCTCAAAATCCCACTGTCCAGCAACCACCTATTGTTATGAATGGAACAGATTGCAGGTGGGATGTCCAGATCTCAGCTTCTACATGAGCTAGCAAGCTGAAACCTGGCTTCCTGTTCTAGTCTGGGCATGCCCTGTCCATGCTGTGAATTTGAAGAAGATTGAAGAAAGTCGAAAATTTGACCCAAAAAATCTATAAGGGGGTACCCCTTGGAGTTTTTTTGGGTCAAATTTTCAAGTTTTTCCAATCTTCTTCAAACTCACACCCTAGATAGGGCGTGTCCAGACTAGCACAGAAACGCAGGTTTGGGCTCTCTACTGTGCCCAGAAGCTGAGATCTGGACATCCTACTAACAATCTATCCCAATGTATGAAATAGGCTGTTCGTGGACAGTGGAAATTCAATGTTTTGACACCTGGAAATGGCCCAGGGGGGCTTGCATATCCACCTCAATAGGTTTTTTTTTAGGTTTTCCAGATGGATCAAGAAAAAACATCCCAACTGTAGCTTATTTGAACAGGCCTAGGTAGGCTGTTTGTGGAGACCCCTGTAAAAGGTCACCATTCACAGCAGGAACGAATTTGGGGTTCATTAGGGGGAGCAGAGGGGTCAGGAGGCCCCATCCAGCAGTGTTTTCCATGTCAGGGCTCACCAAATGGCTTCTCTGGCCTAAAAAAGCACTGTCCACAGAGAGCCTAACTGGGCCCAGTCAAATAAGTTACAAGTAGGATGTTTTACTTAATTCTTCCACCCAAGTGGTCAAACCTCAACAGATCCTCAAACAAACCATTGGAGGTGGGTCCCCACCTCCCCGATTGCCCCCTGCTGTTAAAATCTCAAAATTCTACTGTCCAGCAACCACCTATTGTTATGAATGGAACAGATTGCAGGTGGGATGTCCAGATCTCAGCTTCTACATGAGCTAGCAAGCTGAAACCTGGCTTCCTGTTCTAGTCTGGGCATGCCCTGTCCATGCTGTGAATTTGAAAAAGATTGAAGAAAGTCGAAAATTTGACCCAAAAAATCTATAAGGGGTACCCCTTGGAGTTTTTTTGGGTCAAATTTTCAAGTTTTTCCAATCTTCTTCAAATTCACACCTTAGATAGGGCGTGTCCAGACTAGCACAGAAACGCAGGTTTGGGCTCTCTACTGTGTCCAGAAGCTGAGATATGGACATCCTACTAACAATCTATCCCAATGTATGAAATAGGCTGTTCGTGGACAGAGGAATTTCTTTTTGTGGACAAAATGGTGGTCAGGGGGACCACTAGGCACTCGGGGGGGTTGATTTGTCAAATACAGAATAATTTAAAGCTCGAGTTTTACCATTGTATGCAAGTGGTGCGTCAGTGAAATACACACAATTCAACACAATTGTTTAGTTACCTTAACTCATATTTTTATATAAGAAAACCATACGATTAATAAAATGAATGCAATTGATACATCATGAACTATTTTTGCTCAAATTTTACATGTTATAATATAGAAATATATTACATTTGTTATGCTATTGTTACTAGTTTGCTAATTATTTTGCAGATATTAAAACAAAAGACTCAATTAGGACTTCCCCAGTTGAATTTTTAAAGTCTATTAAAAGCTATTTAGATGCTTGTGTTAAGATGCAATTAAATCAAACAATGACTATATTAATATATACATACATATATACATATCAAACATTATTCTCTGCATGGTGTCATTAACTCGGGAGATTTCTTTGTTGTTGGAAATAAAGATCAAGAAAGTGAAAGAGTGAGCTGATTTGCGCCATATATTTAGACATTTAATTTATTAAATGGTGTCAGATATTATATGAAACATGATATGAAGGAACTTATATAAAAGTGCAGTTTATGACTTCATTAGTATCCAAATAATTAATCCACCAAAGCAAAAGTGCAGTTTGTCCTCCGCTCCACAAGGCGGCGAGAGCGGGTTTCACCTTTAATCTGACACCTCTCAATGATGGACGACATGACGTTTGATGAAAACAACAACACATGCAGATCCTGCAGAATAAGTACAATATTGACACTTAAACAGCTCATTTTCCTGCTCATCTGCACATTAATCTGACAGGCAGACCGGTAAAATGGAGGAATCCAGCATGTCAACGCGATTCACCTCTGAGTAAGTGAATTTATCCTGTCAACAGTGATCTGGAGATATTACCTGCCACTTTTACTGTGGTATTTACATCAGAATGAGCCACACGCTCATATTAGAGCATCAATATTAGTCTGTGTTGATATTGCAGTGCTGTAGCAGCTCAGTAGACTCATGTTTGCTGTCTCTGTAAATCTCTTGTTGTGATGTTTTGTTGGTCTGACAGATTAAGAGTTTTTAGTCTGGGTTTAGTGGACAGAAATTGACTTTAATGATGGAAATCTGCACATGTTATTAACACACACACACAGCAGACAAGCATCAAACACACTTACTGAAGGAGGGAAATAGTGTTTTTGTTTCTGTTCAGTGTTTATATGTCAGTTCTGTGGCCTGTAAGAGTCATTTAATTAAAGCATCATCAGAAGTAAACAGAGAACAACAGTAGATGAATAACAGTGACTGATGGAGCATTACTGGAATATACCATCTCTCTGTCTGATGTTGCATGTTTTATATGAGATATTAACAGAGATATTTCTGAATTATCATTGACTTTAAGACATGTAGTGAGTCTAGTAATGTCTGAATGTCTCTACAGAATAACTGATGTGTTGTGGAGTGTAAAGGTGTATGACAGGCGGTGGATCATATTGATGATGACTGATGCACAGATGATGTAGATCATGTGTGTTTATATCTGTGCTAAACATATCAGTTACCATCACTGAACATTTCATACAGCTCTTTTTTTATTCAGTGTGTCAGATATAGTAAAACCTTTGTTAGTCAAGGTACTGGAAACCCCAGGGGGAGACCCTAATTCACACAAATGCTGAATAAGTGCAAAATATTTCAATTAATTACTAGATATTTGTGTAATGGTGTAATAATTAAGCAAAATTCCCACATCAGGACGAAACTATTGGCTAATTTCATTAGTATGTAGAATGGCAGCAGTGCAGTTTACATAAATCACCACAAGAGAGCGCCACGTGTTTAAGCTAATTATATTTGATGCAGAGCAATTCACAAAAAACTCCACTGGAGGGCGACACATTTATATTATATACAGTTATATTATATTATATTATATTATATTATATTATATTATATTATATTATATTATATTATATTATATTATATTTTATTTTATTATATTATATTTTATTATATTATATTATATTATATTATATTATATTTTATTATATTATATTATATTATATTATATTATATCATATTATATTTTATTATATTATATTATATTATATTATATTTTATTTTATTTTATTATATTATATTTTATTATATTATATTATATTATATTATATTATATTATATTTTATTATATTATATTTTATTATATTATATTATATTTTATTATATTATATTTTATTATATTATATTATATTATATTTTATTATATTATATTTTATTATATTATATTATATTTTATTATATTATATTATATTTTATTATATTATATTATATTATATTATATTATATTATATTATATTATATTATATTATATTATATTGAATTATATTATATTATATTATATTGACTTCTGGGTAATTCAGAAATGTGAAAGTACAATGATAAAAAGTGAAGTGCAAAATTTAAACTAAAGTGATTAATTACTAAAGTATAATACAATCAGCACTATTATATAAATATGAAATAATTGTACTTTTTTTATAACGTTAGATCAGTGTGTGTAATAATGTGTGTATTTGTGTGTCAACTACAGGATCAGTGAAGTGTTGTGGACTGTAAGCCTGTTGAACAGAAGCAGAGACGTGTGGACAGACACTGACTGTACTGATGACGATCATCTGCTGCAGCACAGGTGATGTAGATCATGTGTGTGATTGTGTGTGTCTGTTCCACATGTCGGTTACCATCATTTGCTTTGTGGAGGGTCACTCCTCTAGAAAGTAAATGATGGTAACCGAAGCGGGTGTGGAAGGGTCAGAGGTGTATTTTTTTTTACAGTTGATTTTATTTCTTTCAGGCTGTAAAGTATAACCCCTGCTGGACACGGCTCCGGAAGCTCCAGGGGGAGACCGAACTGGTATCCCCCCTTCTTCAGGCGCGCCTCACACTCACTCACCATTCACACATATCGCAGAGTTCTGGCTGGGACCGATACCAGCAACCCCTGAAGCCGTGGGGCAGCGCTCTTACCACAGATGATATTATCTGGATGCACACTTAGATTTGCAAGCTGAGACTGCATATGTCAGACTTGCAGTCTCAGACACAATCCACCTAATTGAGCTAGTGATGTCACTGTGAGGGGTGTGGTTAGGGGTGGGGTTAAGTGTGAGCATTAAAATAATTTCATGCCATCTGCATCCTCCTCTCGCCTCTCCTGTCTGAACACCTGCTGGAACTGATGTTTGACTGCTGACCTGTGAATTCACAATAAAGAATTGAATAAAAGCAAACTTGTGTTGACTCAATCTTCTGAAGTGGGGTTTGAACCCAGATCAACTGTGATGGATGAGATCTGATATGATGAGCTCTTACCACTGAGCCACAGATCTCTTGTCTGAACACCTGCAGGAGTTCATGTTTGACTCTTTACCTGTAGATGAGCTGCGATTTCACTATAAATATGTTACAGATCCCTCATGCTCTGAGAAGGGGTTTGATCTCAGGTCCTCTGTGAGGGTTCAGAGCTCATACCATGTGCTCTGACCACTGGACCATCATCAGCCACACTAATGCAGGAGCTTCTGGTTAACACAAGCACATTTTTAGATGTCAAATAGAAAAAAAATTTAATTAAGCATGAAAACACAATTAAATAAGATTTAAACATCAGTATATAGAAATAAACACAGAAATGTCCAAATATAAATGATTACAATCAGAATCTAACAGTTTTTCACTATCTGATGACATTAACTAGAGGATCTGGATAAACTGAGGGTCTGCATTAGCTACAGTACAGTACAGCACATGACAAAAACAATCATTAGCAGAGAAACAGATTAATCAAAGCCTCCATCACATCCTTTATGAGTCGTGATAACCCAAACATCAATAATCAGCCAGAAATTTCACTTCTCTGCAGCCTAAACAGCTCGGTCAGTGACAGAATTAATTCAGTGCAGCTCTAATTCTGAATATACTGATGTGCTCTTCATTACAGCACTCAAACATGATCATATTAACACAATAAGAGTAAATGAATGCTGAAACTCACCCACTGCTGAAGTCCAGGCTGTGCTCTGACAGGGGGCGTGTCTCTGTGCGTCTGTCAGTGCGTGACGCCGTCTAGTGGAGCGCTGGAGAACTGCAGTTCAGGATCAACACGAGCTGCAGCAGCACACAGGAGACTGAAGCTTTAAACTCATCCAGTTGTAAACAAAGTCATCGTTTTGACAGGATTTCGACTCGCAAAACATCGTGAGGTAACTCTGTGCTCTCAACTGAGAGGGTAAGACTGATGCTGTTGAATTAAGCACGTGTTCAGTGTGTACACACGGCGATCTGCCAGTAGTGTGTTTGTGTGTGTAAAGCTAATTCATCCTCAGTTCATCCTGATGTGTGTCGTGTTTGATCAGCGATTTGGATTTGTGACGCAGATTATATTAGTTTAAGCAGATCTTGTAGCTTAATTTGCTCTTTACACTTTAAATGTTTAAACATGCACATTTATAAAGTAAATAAACTCTATGTTGCACAAGTTAGTCCTGGAACTCGGAGCGGACTGATACTCAGACCGAACAGCATTGAGACTGTTCACAGTTTGTATCACTCCGCGTGTGCGTGTTTGCGAGTTCCAGACAGACGGTCAGTTTATTGCTGGAGGCGGATTTATATTAGCTGTCAATCACTGAGGAGACACACATTTGCAGAGGAGCTGTTGTAGGATATCTGAAGCATACACAGCTAGATTATAGGATTTAGGATATATTATAGGATTATATAATAATGATAATAATGCTTAAACAAAAGATAGAAGATATATACTGGGATAAATAAGTTTTTAAAGTGATATATTTATCTAAAACCCAGCTGATGAAATAAAAAATACACAATAATAACATAACATTACTACATCCTATAACGTAATTAACACAATTAATAACTTTAAAAGAGATGACTCAAGACTAATATCTGACTTTTAAAAGTCAATTTCCAGCACATGATCCTCCTGCACACTCCGATACAGTAGGTGGCGATATGCACCTGATTAGTGTTGTTTGCAGTCTGACATGAAACTAATAATAAGAAGAAGACTGATTATGTGATCAGTGCACATGATGGACGTCAGCCTTTCTGCTCCTGCACTCAGAACTGAATCAGTGGATGCAGCATCTGGTAAATAACCTCTTGATGTGTTGTTTTGTTTTACTAGATGTCTTCTGGTGATGGATCTACACTGATATCTGTTCATTACGCTGCACATGTCGTCTCTCTCTCGTCTCTGATGGACTCAGTTCAGCTCATGCAGCTCTCTGAAACACGCTGAGGATTTCAAGAAGAGAGAAGCCATGTGCAGGATCTGGAAATACAGCTTTACATGTGAACTGAAGCCATGAGGAAGAGGAAGGTGGTTCTTCATCATATCCTCACTGATGAAGCCCTGACTTTACACTCTTTACCTATAATGTCCACCTGATTACGGGCCTGTTTCAATACACACACGTCTGCTCTTGAACACATCAGAGCATCTGAACATGATATCTGAGGCTGAACGTTTCCCATCAGGCATCATGTTCTAGTTCTAGTCTTCAGTGGTAAAGTTATGCTGATAAGATCTATAATATGACAGTAATAAGAAAGAATTGCAGCATTTATGACTGTCAGAGCAGTCAGATTGAGCTCATTACTGTCACCTGATTTACAGATAATAAACTACTGCTGCAGGTAAAGTGTAGACAGAGCTAGGGCTGTGCAGTTAATCGAAAATCCGATTTCGATTATGGCTTCTAACTATTATGAAAAACCATTAATGGAGATAAACGGTTATTCCATTATTTACATCCCCCTTTCCAGTTGTCCTTACTTGTTGCTCTTAAAAGTGCGAAAGACCGCATGCTTATGTGCGTGTGTGTGCGGCGCACAGACACAGTCAGAAGCATGCGGTCTGCACTTGGTCTCATTCGCATATTGCGACAGGCAGAGAGCACAAACATCTAAAGTCATTAACGTGAGCGCTTTAATGTTCAAACAGGTGTCAAAACGCAGTGATTATTCATATTAACCCTCATTTGTGTAATAAACAAACGAGTTGAGAATCAAAAGACGCGTGAAAGCGAAACCATTAAAGTGACAGTGAACAGCTGCCGCCTTTTTTATCATGATTAATAAAACAACGAGAAAATCCCTCTCTGCTCTCGACTGAAGGACTTTTGTAGCGAAAGTGTTTTTCTTACGGTGAAGATGCTTAAAGCAGTTTTTCATATTTTTATTTTATTGTATTTATTTCTCTTTGCAGGGAGGAAAGTAATATATGCAGTTGAAGTCAGAATTATCAGCCCTCCTGAATATTAGCAACCCTTTTCCTCCCCAATTTCTGTTTAATGAAAAGTTTTTTTTTTCTACACATTTCTAATCATAATAGTTTTAATAACTCATTTCTAATAACCGATTAATTTTATCTTTGCTATGATGACAGTACATTATATTTTTAAATACAAACATTCAAATTCAAAGTGTGATTCAAATGCTTTATTAGGGTAATAAGGCAAGTCATTGTATACCAGTAATTTCTTCTGCAGACAATCAAAAATATACAGTGCCTAAAGGGGCTAATAATATTGACCTTAAAAGAGGTTTCAAAATATTTAAATCTGCTTTTACTCTAGCCAAAACAAAACAAATAAGCCTTTCATTAGAGCAAATGCTGTTAAAATTCCTTGCTCTGTTAAACATCATTTGGGAAATATTAATTTTTTTTAAATTCTCAGGAGCGCTAATAATTTTGACTTCAACTAATAATCGTTTGGAATAATCGTGATTACAATTAAGACCAAAATAATCGTGATTATGATTTTTACCAAAATCGAGCAGCCCTAGACAGAGCACACGTGTCCTGTAAGAGCATCAGACATGTCGACTCCTGCAGTCTGATATTGAACACTTGATCAAACACAGAAAACAGCAGCAAGAACACAAGAGCTCAAAGCAAAGACAGCAAGTGTTGCTATTAAGACAGGCCCGATTTTACACGTCACTGACTTATTGATTATTAATGTCTGCTGATTATTAATGTCTGCTGATTATTAATGTCTGCTGATTATTAAGATTTGCTGATTATTAATGTCTGCTGATTGTTAATGTCTGATGATTATTAATGTCTGTCATCTAAACTGAGCTTGTTGATTTGGTCAGACAGAGTCAGCTAAAGTAAGATGTTCTTACCGTCTGGTTCTTCTAGACGTCTCTTCTAGCTCAGGCTGAACGTCTGTGTGAAGATAAAGAGAGTCGAGTAGTGATGATTGATGCTTTTCAATAATTCAGCTCATTTGTTTTAAAGATCAGCTTAAACTATATTGTAGATTCATCACATCAGCGCCCTCTAGTGGAGAAACACTGACATCTCAGGATTTTGTTGAGCATCTTTCTAAAATCAGGATTGGCAGAAAGATTTGTGCTCTGAACCACTGATTCAATCAAAGAGTCAAAATAAAGATTCAAATCAAAGATTCAAATTAAAGATTCAGAGTTTAATGAATCAGTGATTCAAAAGCAGCATCACTGCAGATAAGAGATTTGTCTCACCTGTGTTTGAGTCGCGTCTTCTCTTCACACTCCTTTACTTTCCATCTGTGCTGTGAATAAAAACATACAAACATTCAGAAATGTCTGTCATTTCTGTACTGTACAGAAAACACAGATGAAGAGCTGTAAATGATCTGCTCATTTGTCAGTCTCAATAGCTCAGGTGGTAAAGCATTGCGCTTCAATCCTGGGAGTCCTGAGTTCAGATCCTGCTATTGCTGACTCTACATTGTTGTGATCAAAACAAAAAGGACTGAAAGCTCTCACTGAGTGTGAAGAGTAAATAGTGTGAGTGGATAAACACTGAAACATGTAGGAGGAGGCTGGAGAGATGTGGGTTCAAACTTTAACTAATTTATTGTCCAATCACAGCTCAGGTCAGCAGTCAAGCATCAGTTCCAGCAGGTGTTCAGACAGGAGATCTGTGGCTCTGTGGTAAGAGCGCTGCCCCACGGCTTCAGGGGTTGCTGGTATCGGTCCCAGCCAGAACTCTGCGATATGTGTGAATGGTGAGTGAGTGTGAGGCGCGCCTGAAGAAGGGGGGATACCAGTTCGGTCTCCCCCTGGAGCTTCCGGAGCCGTGTCCAGCAGGGGTTATACTTTACAGCCTGCCAAAAAATTTAAAATGAACTGTATAAAAATTCTGGACCTTCGTCCCTTCCCCACCCGTTTCGGTTACCATCATTTACTTTCTAGAGGAGTGACCCTCCACAAAGCAAATGATGGTAACCGACATGTGGAACAGACACACACATGATCTACATCACCTGTGCAGCAGCAGATGATCATCATCAGTACAGTCAGTGTCTGTCCACACGTCTCTGCTTCTGTTCAACAGGCTTACAGTCCAGAAGATTCTGCAGTCAAGACAGAAATACATTAATACACACATATCTGCTCTAGAAAGAGACAAATACAGAAAATATTGTTGGACATTTTGAATTTCAGGATTAAAACTAATAAAATTGAATATTAAAGTTTGATATTGATAAATCACAGCAGACTCTGTTATACTTCAGTGATGCTGCATCAGTGTTTTACTGTTCACTTTGGTGTTAAATACAGTTTTACAGCACAAAACAGCAACACTGAATAAAAAAGCCTGATTAAAATATTGACAGATCTCTGAACATCATCACTAGTTTACAGAAACAATGAAACGGAAGGAACAGCGGTCACTAACATCAGCAAAGTGTCCTTCATCTCATGTGTTTCATATCTGGACACTTTAAATAATCCTGTCATTTACTCTCACTACAGTGTTCAGCACTAGAAGAATTAACAGCAGAAATAAACACCAGAGCTTCACACAACGACTGCAGGATCAACACAGACACACATCTTACTCTTGATGATGTGAATATCAGTGGATTAAACACTGACAGACTGTAAATGCACCGCAACAACTATCAACACATCTGCTGTACATGAGGAAATCCACTTACTGTCGGCTGAGTCGCGTGACAAGCTCGAGTCCTCCATTGTAACGGGTTGTGTGTCGGTTTAATTTGCAGATTAGCTGGTAATATTTGTGTTTAAAGTGTTAATATTAATATCTGTCATCTGCAGGATCTGCGTGTGTTGTTGTTGTGGTTGTCGTCATCAAGCGTCATCAGGTGGTCAATCAGCAGAGGTGAAAGGGCAAAACTGCTGCGCGCCCTCCTGTGGTCACTGTAGTGAATGACACAGTTAAATAAGTTAAACGGCCATGGCTTCATCTGCACAGGATGTTATATGAAAAACATGATATGAAGTAACGTTTATAAACACGCAGTTTATGAATCAAACTGTCAAATGTGATCACGGCACTGTTAGGATTAGTGGATCAAATCAAAAGTGCAGTTTTCCCTCCGCTCCACAAGGCGGCGAGAGCGGGTTCACCTTCAGTCTGACACCTTTCAATGATGGACGACATGACGCTTGATGAAAACAACAACACATGCAGATCCTGCAGAATTAATACAATAATGACACTTAAACAGCTTATTTCCCTGCTCATCTGCACATTAATCTGACAGGCAGACCGGTAAAATGGAGGAATCCAGCATGTCAACGCGATTCACCTCTGAGTAAGTGAATTTATCCTGTCAACAGTGATCTGGAGATATTACCTGCCACTTTTACTGTGGTATTTACATCAGAATAAGCCACACGCTCATATTAGAGCATCAATATTAGTCTGTGTTGATATTGCAGTGCTGTAGCAGCTCAGTAGACTCATGTTTGCTGGAGTTTGTTGTCTCTGTAAATCTCTTGTTGTGATGTTTTGTTGGTCTGACAGATTAAGAGTTTTTAGTCTGGGTTTAGTGGACAGAAATTGACTTTAATGATGGAAATCTGCACATGTTATTAACACACACACACAGCAGACAAGCATCAAACACACTTACTGAAGGAGGGAAATAGTGTTTTTGTTTCTGTTCAGTGTTTATATGTCAGTTCTGTGGCCTGTAAGAGTCATTTAATTAAAGCATCATCAGAAGTAAACAGAGAACAACAGTAGATGAATAACAGTGACTGATGGAGCATTACTGCAATATACCATCTCTCTGTCTGATGTTGCATGTTTTATATGAGATATTAACAGAGATATTTCTGAATTATCGTTGACTTTAAGACATGTAGTGAGTCTAGTAATGTCTGAATGTCTCTACAGAATAACTGATGTGCTGTGGAGTGTAAAGCAGAGCTGTGTGTGTGTGTGTGTGGACAGACTCTGACAAATCTATTAGATTAGCAAGTGTGTAATGCAGAAATATCTCCACAGGAGGGCGAAAAGCTGAAATGAATTCAGTTAGATTTGCAGTGGTGTAATTCACCAACATCACCACACGAGGTTTTAAATTCATTACATTAGCGAAGGTGTAATTCAGAAATATCTCCACAGGAGGGCGCAATATTTCATACATGTGTAATATTTGTGTATTTGTCTATTGTTAGATCAGATATTCTGTGTGTAATAATGTGTGTCGACTCTACAGGATCAGTGAAGTGTTGTGGACTGTAAGCCTGTTGAACAGAAGCAGAGACGTGTGGACAGACACTGACTGTACTGATGATGATCATCTGCTGCTGCACAGGTGATGTAGATCATGTGTGTGATTGTGTGTGTGTTTGTCTTGCACATGTCGGTTACCATCATTTGCTTTGTGGAGGGTCACTCCTCTACAAAGTAAATGATGGTAACCGAAACGGGTGGGGAAGGGACGAAGGTCCAGAATTTTTATACAGTTCATTTTAAATTTTTTGCCAGGCTGTAAAGTATAACCCCTGCTGGACACGGCTCCGGAAGCTCCAGGGGGAGACCGAACTGGTATCCCCCCTTCTTCAGGCGCGCCTCACACTCACTCACCATTCACACATATCGCAGAGTTCTGGCTGGGACTGATACCAGCAACCCCTGAAGCCGTGGGGCAGCGCTCTTACCACAGAGCCACAGATCTCCTGACTGAACACCTGCTGGAACTGATGTTGGACTGCTGACCTGTGTGTGAGCTGATTCAATAAAACAAGAATATATGTCAGATCTGAACCCTTGTCTTTATGAGTGTCTTCCTCAGAGAACTTGTGTTTATTCACTCATCAACCATCATTAGTTTCACATCAGCGTCCATCATCTTGATGAACATAATGAACTCAGTGGGACATTAGCCATGGGGAGGTTTGAACCCGGGTCTCCTAGATTAAAGCTCGATACGTTAAGACCTGAGCCACTGAGTCTGGACAGCAAAGGAGAAGTCAGATTGGGGCTTTATCACTATTCTCATACTGACCAAGGTTTGACGCATGTTTCTTTGTAATTTGGGCCACGAAAAACCTTTTGGCAAATGTCAAACCCTGTGGCTCAAAGGATGAGCGTTCGCCTGCTATTTAGAAGTGTGAAGGATCGAATCTCATTTCTACCAAATCGAGATACAAGTCAGATTTGAACTCTTGTCTTTATGAGTCTCTTCCTCAGAGAACTTGTGTTTATTTACCCATCATGGGTTTCCTTCCATCATCAGGGGTCAGTATAATGAGGTCAAGATGGACATTAGCCATAGTGAGGTTTGAACCCGGGTCTCCTTGACTAAAGATCAATAGTTTATGACTTGAGCCACTGAGTCTAGATTGTGAACAAAGTGTCTGAATGAGGCTTTATCACTGTTTTCATCATGAACAAGGTTTGACAAATATTTCTTTGTAATTTGGCTCACAAAACAACAACTGCCTGATGTCAAGCCCTGTGGTTCAGTGGATGAGCCTCTGCCTGACATACAGGAGACACGGGTTCAAATCCCACTATTGCTTACTTTACTTTCGGTTGCTGGAATTCAATCAAACAGTGTGGCCCAAACAGCAGCTGACAGACTGAAAGCCATGATGGGCTAGTGGATGAACACAAGATTGCGGTGGACAAGGTAACGACAGAGGCCTGGGTACGAAACCCACCTCGATGTCTGGCTCACACCGCTGCAAGTGCAAGGTAATTAGAGTGGGAACACACACACAAAATTACTATGTTGTTTTTCTGATTATCTCAGCAGTAAAAGCAGCAGCAGTGCTTGGATTTGAACCCAGGTATGCTGTGACAGCTTCAGATGTCATGCTGTGTGCCCTGACCACTACACCATCACCACACACATAAACCCACATTTCTTTCTCCAATGGGAGGATAACCACATTCTACACATTTTGAAAAAAAAACTAAATAAACACAAATAATTCATATCAAATGTAAATTATTTTAAATAAATGTAAACTGCATCATATGAGAATATATTATTATATTTCACTATTCAAAATGTGACAAACATGCTTATTCTTCAATCAGACACATGAACATGTTTCAAATTATCTTACAGCTGCTTGTGGGGCTTTAAATGTCACTAAACACAATTAAACACTGTAAATATCATCATTTACCTCTAAAGTCTCCTCATACTGTACTGATGACTCTACACCAAATCTGGCCAATCACATGCTCTCTACAGAAAGTCCCTCCCCCAACATACACGCGACAGAGCAGCAGCACAACAAACACACTTTCTGGACTCTCTACTGGAAATATGAGCTCATAAATACCTTTACTGGAGCTGTGAATCCGCCTGGATGTGGAGGAGTGTGTGGAGGAGCATCAGCTGTTGAGCGCAGGTCAAAGATCTGCTGCAGAAACACAACAAACACACGTGTGTATCTTCACTGCTGCAGAGGAGAGAGAGAGAGAGCAATGACTGAACACAAACACTACAGCAACATCACTACAAACTAAACCAACAGAGCAAAGTCCCTTACAGGTGAGTCGCGTTACTCTCCATTTCTGCACTTGGTGTGGCTTTTCTTCGCTGTCGGGCTGTAATATCTGCTGTTGACTGACATTATGAGTCTGGCACTGAGCTGTCATCTGCTACTGGAGCTCAACTTGACGCCATTAAAACCGTGTACCTGGGCTGATCTGGTGTCGTTGTTGTCAAAGTTGTTCAGACTAAAAGAGCAGCTCGCTGATGCCGCCTAGTGGAGCGAATGGGATCTGCGCTTTAATGCACATACAAATACCGCCCCTCACAATGACGTCATTTGCTTCATTGAGTGCAGCGTCTGACATTGTAAGTCTGATATATGCAGTCTCAGCTTGCAAATCCAAGTCTGCATGCAGATACTATTGGAGAAAGACTGACCAAATCTGCCTCTTGCAGAATTCACAAGATTTTTTACATCCGCTCATTGCGTTTTCATTCAGCAACAGAAATACTCATAATTTAAAACTTATTGAACGGCTTAATACAATATAGGATTAAAAATAAAGCAGCCAGTCATCTTTATAAGGCATTTAGTAAAGGAAATGTGTTCATATTTTTGTTGGTAAAATTATCATTTGTGTCTGCGTCAATTAAATCTGTAAGCAATGAAAACATTCTGCATCCCCAATATAAGAGCTCGTCAAACAAGTTCTATGTGTCTTTATTGATGAGTGGCGCATTAATTACCTACAGGCTAATATTCAGGTTTCACATTACATTCGTATTGGTTTGATATTTCCACATTGTTAATCAAGCATTTGTGCTGAAGTTCAATATAAAGTGAGCACAAATAATGACCCATGAATGATTAGATGATTGAGTGTATGCTTCAATAATTATTTTGACATTGTTAGGAGGGAAATGAACAGTTGAGACCAAAACGACTGCTGTGTCAGATCAAGAGAAGACTCTGAGCCGCAGATTAAATAAAATTAAGAGAATTTACTGGAGATAGTTTGTGGTTCTGCAGCAGGAGGGCTTCACACTGGCATTGAGTTCGCTGGCCGATCTCCCTGCCTTACACTAAGACAGAAAATCTCTCCTGCATACAAAGAAAATTACTTTACAGAGAATTTACACATAAAATAGAAAAACTCAGCAATCAGTTGTTTTCAATCCACCAGGAATCCAGTTCCCCTCGAGAGCTCTCCATGACCTCTGACCTGGCTTGGTAGATGGGCCATTCTTCAACTACGAGCACTTTTAGCCTTGTGAAGTTGAGTAAAAAAACTTGTTCAAAATTAACGTAACATAGCCTCATAAGTTTAAACACTTTGTCTAGTTTTAAGATCTGTAAGAGGACAAACTTAGATAAGAAGAGAAACATTTTCTCCATCGTGAACTGAACAAATGTCAATTCCAGCACATCTCAATATACAGCTTATATTTCTAAATGACATAAATGAAGGCAGTCAAACATTGTCTAAGATCATTTTTGTTTCTAGTTTAACCAAATATTTCCACAATATCAATAATAGTTATACATTTGTCAGTGAAATAAATTAGTTGTGTGCTGAATTGTACACCTGTCACACTCTAAAACTTTATATAATTTGGTTAAGAGCTTATTAGAAAATAAATAAACTGCATTTGTATATGAAATAGAGCATGAACTCATACATTGTGATTACACTTTAATGTGTGATGAGAACTTTTTAAATGTTTTTAATAATGTGTGTGGTGATGGAAATGACATTTCAACAGTTTATTATGAAAATAATGAAAAATAGCTTCACCGATTAACTTTGACTTGATACAAGCCTTTCATGTATACAAAACACTCTTATTTACCGTCATTTTGTTTCGGTTTTAAATTTTTTTTAAGTAGGTTTGATTGTTAGTTTGACAAAGAAAGAGGAATTTGAACAAAATTGTATACATGTTTGGATATTTGATCAAAGGACATAAAAGTGCTCGTAGTTGAAGAATTACCCAGATCCTGAAAACAGAGATTTGACAGACACAGACGCTTCAGCTGAACACATCACTACATTAGGTCATGTTTAACTTCAGTCACTGATCAAAATCATGTCAAAGATTAAAAACTGATTCAAATAATCATAATAATAGAGTCAACAAGAACAGATTTTGATCTTTCGTGGAACAGATGAAGACAGAAAACGACTCGCTTCAATAAGAAGCAGATCTGTGCTCACGATGACCTCAGTTTACTCAAGCTTCGCTGTCATTTGAAGATCCCCATAAAAACTGTGTAATATTTAGCATTTGATGATAAGTCTCTATTTAATAATAATTATTTTTTTAGTTTAGACCTCAAGACTTTCTGCTTCCTTTTACACATTAAAATGTTTCTGGTTGTCAGCATCAGTGGAGGAAAATACACAGAACTACAGCTGCGCCACAGGAAGGTGAAATCTCAGTGCTTTACATTTGCTGTGCTAAAGTTCAGGAAAAACATTAGCACAATCTTTCAAATCAACTGAACTGCAAAGGTGTAATTCAGAAATATCTCCACAGGAGGGCGACATGTTTAAATTCATACTATTAGATTTGCAGTGGTGTCATTCACCAAAATCACCACACGAGGGCGAACATTTAGAATTCATCAAATTGGCAGTGGTGTAATTCAGAAATATCTCCACAGGAGGGAGAAACTTTCCTTATTTTAGAGCGGCAGCAGTGCAGTCCTCAAAAATCCCCACAAGAGGGCGAATATTTTAAATTCAGTAGATTCAAGATTTGCAAAAGTGTAGTTCAGAGAAATCTCCACAGGAGGGCGCAATATTTGATACATATGTAATATTTGTCTATTTGTCTATTGTTTGATCAGATATTCAGTGTGTGTGTAATAATGTGTGTATTTGTGTGTCGACTCTACAGGATCAGTGAAGTGTTGTGGACTGTAAGCCTGTTGAACAGAAGCAGAGACGTGTGGACAGACACTGACGATCATCTGCTGCTGCACAGGTGATGTAGATCATGTGTATGATTGTGTGTGTGTGTGTGTGTGTCTGATCCACATGTCGGTTACCATCATTTGCTTTGTGGAGGGTCACTCCTCTACAAAGTAAATGATGGTAACCGAAACGGGTGGGGAAGGGACGCAGGTCCAGAATTTTTATACAGTTCATTTTAAATTTTTTGGCAGGCTGTAAAGTATAACCCCTGCTGGACACGGCTCCGGAAGCTCCAGGGGGAGACTGAACTGGTATCCCCCCTTCTTCAGGCGCGCCTCACACTCACTCACCATTCACACATATCGCAGAGTTCTGGCTGGGACCGATACCAGCAACCCCTGAAGCCGTGGGGCAGCGCTCTTACCACAGAGCCACAGATCTCCTTGTCTGAACACTTGCTGGAACTGATGTTGGACTGCTGACCTGTGTGTGAGCTGATTCAATAAAACAAGAATATATGTCAGATCTGAACCCTTGTCTTTATGAGTCTCTTCCTCAGAGAACTTGTGTTTATTCACTCATCAACCATCATTAGTTTCACATCAGCGTCCATCATCTTGATGAACATAATGAACTCTGTGGGACATTAGCCATGGTGAGGTTTGAACCCGGGTCTCCTAGATTAAAGCTCGATACGTTAAGACCTGAGCCACTGAGTCTGGACAGCAAAGGAGTGGTCAGATTGGGGCTTTATCACTATTCTCATACCGACCAATGTTTGACACATGTTTCTTTGTAATTTGGGCCACGAAAAACCTTTCGCCAAATGTCAAACCCTGTGGCTCAAAGGATGAGCGTTCGCCTGCTATTTAGAAGTGTGAAGGATCGAATCTCATTTCTACCAAATCGAGATACAAGTCAGATTTGAACTCTTGTCTTTATGAGTCTCTTCCTCAGAGAACTTGTGTTTATTTACCCATCATGGGTTTCGTTCCATCATCAGGGGCTCCTGGTCAGTATAATGAGGTCAAGATGGACATTAGCCATAGTGAGGTTTAAACCCGGGTCTCCTTGATTAAAGATCAATAGTTTATGACTTGAGCCACTGAGTCTAGATGGTGATCAATGTGTCTGAATGAGGCTTTATCACTGTTTTCATCATGAACAAGGTTTGACAAATATTTCTTTGTAATTTGGCTCACAAAACAACAACTGCCTGATGTCAAGCCCTGTGGTTCAGTGGATGAGCCTCTGCCTGACATACAGGAGACACGGGTTCAAATCCCACTATTGCTTACTTTACTTTCGGTTGCTGGAATTCAATCAAACAGTGTGGCCCAAACAGCAGCTGACAGACTGAAAACCATGATGGGCTAGTGGATGAACACAAGATTGCGGTAGACAAGGTAACGACAGAGGCCTGGGTATGAAACCCACCTCAATGTCTGGCTCACACCACTACAAGTGCAAGGTAATTAGAGTGGGAACACACACATAAAATTACTTTGTTGTTTTTCTGATTATCTTAGCAGTAAAAGCAGCAGCAGTGCTTGGATTTGAACCCAGGTATGCTGTGACAGCTTTAGATGTCATGCTGTGTGCTCTGACCACTTCACCATCACCACACATATAAACCCACATTTCTTTCTCCAATGGGAGGATAACCACATTCTACACATTTTGAAAAAAAAACTAAATAAACACAAATAATTCATATCAAATGTAAATTATTTTAAATAAATGTAAACTGCATCATATGCGAATATATTATTATATTTCACTATTCAAAATGTGACAAACATGCTTATTCTTCAATCAGACACATGAACATGTTTCAAATTATCTTACAGCTGCTGGTGGGGCTTTAAATGTCACTAAACACAATTAAACACTGTAAATATCATGATTTACCTCTAAAGTCTCCTCATACTGTATTGAGGACTCTACACCAAATCTGGCCAATCACATGCTTTCTACAGAAAGTCCCTCCCCCAACATACACGCGACAGAGCAGCAGCACAACAAACACACTTTCTGGACTCTCTACTGGAAATATGAGCTCATAAATACCTTTACTGGAGCTGTGAATCCGCCTGGATGTGGAGGAGTGTGTGGAGGAGCGTCAGCTGTTGAGCGCAGGTCAAAGATCTGCAGCAGAAACACAACAAACACACGTGTGTATCTTCACTGCTGCAGAGGAGAGAGAGAGAGAGCAATGACTGAACACAAACACTACAGCAACATCACTACAAACTAAACCAACAGAGCAAAGTCCCTTACAGGTGAGTCGCGTTACTCTCCATTTCTGCACTTGGTGTGGCTTTTCTTCGCTGTCGGGCTGTAATATCTGCTGTTGACTGACATTATGAGTCTGGCACTGAGCTGTCATCTGCTACTGGAGCTCAACTTGTTAGTAAAACGGTGTACCTGTGTTGATCTGTGTTGCTGTTGTCAAAGTTGTTCAGACTAAAAGAGCAGCTCGCTGATGCCGCCTAGTGGAGCGAATGGGATCTGCGCTTTAATGCACATACAAACCCCGCCCCTCACAATGACGTCATTTGCTTCATTGAGTGCAGCGTCTGACATTGTAAGTCTGATATATGCAGTCTCATCTTGCAAATCCAAGTCTGCATGCAGATACTATTGGAGAAAGACTGACCAAATATGCCTCTTGCAGAATTCACAAGATTTTTTACATCCGCTCATTGCGTTTTCATTCAGCAACAGAAATACTCATAATTTAAAAGTTATTGAACGGCTTAATACAATATAGGATTAAAAATAAAGCAGCCAATCATCTTTATAAGGCATTTAGTAAAGGAAATGTGTTCATATTTTTGTTGGTAAAATTATCATTTGTGTCTGCGTCAATTAAATCTGTAAGCAATGAAAACATTCTGCATCCCCAATATAAGAGCTCGTCAAACAAGTTCTATGTGTCTTTATTGATGAGTGGCGCATTAATTACCTACAGGCTAATATTCAGGTTTCACATTACATTCGTATTAGTTTGATATTTCCACATTGTTAATCAAGCATTTGTGCTGAAGTTCAATATAAAGTGAGCACAAATAATGACCCATGAATGATTAAAGAGGTAAAGTTGGTTTTATATTCGCACATTCTGACTTTTCCCTTAATAATATAATTTCAGAAAAGTATTATTTGCAAACTCTAAACAGCGAAATGATATTAGCAGCTAATGACTATCAAAGTACAACATTGTTCATAGTAAAATAAAGAGTGTTAATGTTGTTTTCAAGTCACACTTGCATGCTAATTCTGATCGAATATTCAAAGTAACATGGTAAACAATATAGAGACTTCTAAATGAACGAATGTGTGAATATAAAACCAACTTTACCTCTATTGAATGATTAGATGATTGAGTGTATGCTTCAATAATTATTTTGACATTGTTAGGAGGGAAATGAACAGTTGAGACCAAAATGACTGCTGTGTCAGATCAAGAGAAGACTCTGAGCCGCAGATTAAATAAAATTAAGAGAATTTACAGGAGATAGTTTGTGGTTCTGCAGCAGGAGGGCTTCACACTGGCATTGAGTTTGCTGGCCGATCTCCCTGCCTTACACTAAGACAGAAAATCTCTCCTGCATACAAAGAAAATTACTTTACAAAGAATTTACACATAAAATAGAAAAACTCAGGAATCAGTTGTTTTAATCCACCAGGAATCCAGTTCCCCTCGAGAGCTCTCCATGACCTCTGACCTGGCTTGGTAGATGGGCCATTCTTCAACTACGGGCACTTTTAGCCTTGTGAAGTTGAGTAAAAAAACTTGTTCAAAATTAACGTAACATAGCCTCATAAGTTTAAACACTTTGTCTAGTTTTAAGATCTGTAAGAGGACAAACTTAGATGAGAAGAGAAACATTTTCTCCATCGTGAACTGAACAAATGTCAATTCCAGCACATCTCAATATACAGCTTATATTTCTAAATGACATAAATGAAGGCAGTCAAACATTGTCTAAGATCATTTTTGTTTCTAGTTTAACCAAATATTTCCACAATATCAATAATAGTTATACATTTGTCAGTGAAATAAATTAGTTGTGTGCTGAATTGTACACCTGTCACACTCTAAAACTTAATATAATTTGGTTGAGAGCTTATTAGAAAATAAATAAACTGCATTTGGATATTAAACAGAGCATAAACTCATACATTGTGATTACACTTTAATGTGTGATGAGAACTTTTTAAATGTTTTTAATAATGTGTGTGGTGATGGAAATGACATTTCAACAGTTTATTATGAAAATAATGAAAAATAGCTTCACCGATTAACTTTGACTTGATACAAGCCTTTCATGTATACAAAACACTCTTATTTATCGTCATTTTGTTTCGGTTTTACATTTTTTTAAGTAGGTTTCATTGTTAGTTTGACAAAGAAAGAGGAATTTGAACAAAATTATATATATGTTTGGATATTTGATCAAAGGACATAAAAGTGCTCGTAGTTGAAGAATTACCCAGATCCTGAAAACAGAGATTTGACAGACACAGACGCTTCAGCTGAACACTTCACTACATTAGGTCATGTTTAACTTCATTCACTGATGAAAATCATGTCAAAGATTAAAAACTGATTCAAATAATCATAATAATAGAGTCAACAAGAACAGATTTTGATCTTTCCTGGAACAGATGAAGACAGAAAACGACTTCGCTGTCATTTGAAGATCCCCATAAAAACTGTGTAATATTTAGCATTTGATGATAAGTCTCTATTCAATAATAATTATTTTTTTAGTTTAGACCTCAAGACTTTCTGCTTCCTTTTACACATTAAAATGTTTCTGGTTGTCAGCATCAGTGGAGGAAAATACACATAACTACAGCTGCGCCACAGGAAGGTGAAATCTCAGTGCTTTACATTTGCTGTGCTGAAGTTCAGGAAAAACATTAGCACAATCTTTCAAATCAACTGAACTGCAAAGGTGTAATTCAGAAATATCTCCACAGGAGGGCGACATGTTTAAATTCATACTATTAGATTTGCAGTGGTGTCATTCACCAAAATCACCACACGAGGGCGAACATTTAGAATTCATCAATTTCGCAGTGGTGTAATTCAGAAATATCTCCACAGGAGGGAGAAACTTTCCTTATTTTAGAGCGGCAGCAGTGCAGTTCACAAAAATCCCCACAAGAGGGCGAATATTTTAAATTCAGGAAATTCAAGATTTGCAAAAGTGTAGTTCAGAGAAATCTCCACAGGAGGGCGCAATATTTGATACATATGTAATATTTGTCTATTAGTCTATTGTTAGATCAGATATTCAGTGTGTGTAATAATGTGTGTATTTGTGTGTCGACTCTACAGGATCAGTGAAGTGTTGTGGACTGTAAGCCTGTTGAACAGAAGCAGAGACGTGTGGACAGACACTGACTGTACTGATGATGATCATCTGCTGCTGCACAGGTGATGTAGATCATGTGTGATTGTGTGTGTTTGTCTTGCACATGTCGGTTACCATCATTTGCTTTGTGGAGGGTCACTCCTCTACAAAGTAAATGATGGTAACCGAAACGGGTGGGGAAGGGACGAAGGTCCAGAATTTTTATACAGTTCATTTTAAATTTTTTGGCAGGCTGTAAAGTATAACCCCTGCTGGACACGGCTCCGGAAGCTCCAGGGGGAGACCGAACTGGTATCCCCCTTTCTTCAGGCGCGCCTCACACTCACTCACCATTCACACATATCGCAGAGTTCTGGCTGGCATCGAACCAGCAACCCCTGAAACCATGGGGCAGCGCTCTTACCACAGAGCCACAGATCTCCTTGTCTGAACACCTGCTGGAACTGATGTTGGACTGCTGACCTGTGTGTGAGCTGATTCAATAAAACAAGAATATATGTCAGATCTGAACCCTTGTCTTTATGAGTCTCTTCCTCAGAGAACTTGTGTTTATTCACTCATCAACCATCATTAGTTTCACATCAGCGTCCATCATCTTGATGAACATAATGAACTCAGTGGGACATTAGCCATGGTGAGGTTTGAACCCTGGTCTCCTAGATTAAAGCTCGATACGTTAAGACCTGAGCCACTGAGTCTGGACAGCAAAGGTGAGGTCAGATTGGGGCTTTATCACTATTCTCATACCCACCAAGGTTTGACACATGTTTCTTTGTAATTTGGGCCACAAAAAACCTTTTGGCAAATGTCAAACCCTGTGGCTCAAAGGATGAGCGTTCGCCTGCTATTTAGAAGTGTGAAGGATCGAATCTCATTTCTACCAAATCGAGATACAAGTCAGATTTGAACTCTTGTCTTTATGAGTCTCTTCCTCAGAGAACTTGTGTTTATTTACCCATCATGGGTTTCACGTCCATCATCAGGGGCTCCTGGTCAGTATAATGAGGTCAAGATGGACATTAGCCATAGTGAGGTTTGAACCCGGGTCTCCTTGATTAAAGATCAATAGTTTATGACTTGAGCCACTGAGTCTAGATGGTGATCAATGTGTCTGAATGAGGCTTTATCACTGTTTTCATCATGAACAAGGTTTGACAAATATTTCTTTGTAATTTGGCTCACAAAACAACAACTGCCTGATGTCAAGCCCTGTGGTTCAGTGGATGAGCCTCCGCCTGACATACAGGAGACACGGGTTCAAATCCCACTATTGCTTACTTTACTTTCGGTTGCTGGAATTCAATCAAACAGTGTGACCCAAACAGCAGCTGACAGACTGAAAGCCATGATGGGCTAGTGGATGAACACAAGATTGCGGTGGACAAGGTAACGACAGAGGCCTGGGTACGAAACCCACCTCGATGTCTGGCTCACACCGCTGCAAGTGCAAGGTAATTAGAGTGGGAACACACACACAAAATTACTATGTTGTTTTTCTGATTATCTCAGCAGTAAAAAGCAGCAGCAGTGCTTGGATTTGAACCCAGGTATGCTGTGACAGCTTCAGATGTCATGCTGTGTGCTCTGACCACTTCACCATCACCACACACATAAACCCACATTTCTTTCTCCAATGGGAGGATAACCACATTCTACACATTTTGAAAAAAAAACTAAATAAACACAAATAATTCATATCAAATGTAAATTATTTTAAATAAATGTAAACTGCATCATATGTGAATATATTATTATATTTCACTATTCAAAATGTGACAAACATGCTTATTCTTCAATCAGACACATGAACATGTTTCAAATTATCTTACAGCTGCTTGTGGGGCTTTAAATGTCACTAAACACAATTAAACACTGTAAATATCATCATTTACTTCTAAAGTCTCCTCATACTGTACTGATGACTCTACACCAAATCTGGCCAATCACATGCTCTCTACAGAAAGTCCCTCCCCCAACATACACGCGACAGAGCAGCAGCACAACAAACACACTTTCTGGACTCTCTACTGGAAATATGAGCTCATAAATACCTTTACTGGAGCTGTGAATCCGCCTGGATGTGGAGGAGTGTGTGGAGGAGCATCAGCTGTTGAGCGCAGGTCAAAGATCTGCTGCAGAAACACAACAAACACACGTGTGTATCTTCACTGCTGCAGAGGAGGAGAGAGCAATGACTGAACACAAACACTACAACAACATCACTACAAACTAAACCAACAGAGCAAAGTCCCTTACAGGTGAGTCGCGTTACTCTCCATTTCTGCACTTGGTGTGGCTTTTCTTCGCTGTCGGGCTGTAATATCTGCTGTTGACTGACATTATGAGTCTGGCACTGAGCTGTCATCTGCTACTGGAGCTCAACTTGACGCCAGTAAAACCGTGTACCTAGGCTGATCTGGTGTCGTTGTTGTCAAAGTTGTTCAGACTAAAAGAGCAGCTCGCTGATGCCGCCTAGTGGAGCGAATGGGATCTGCGCTTTAATGCACATACAAACCCCGCCCCTCACAATGACGTCATTTGCTTCATTGAGTGCAGCGTCTGACATTGTAAGTCTGATATATGCAGTCTCAGCTTGCAAATCCAAGTCTGCATGCAGATACTATTGGAGAAAGACTGACCAAATCTGCCTCTTGCAGAATTCACAAGATTTTTTACATCCGCTCATTGCGTTTTCATTCAGCAACAGAAATACTCATAATTTAAAACTTATTGAACGGCTTAATACAATATAGGATTAAAAATAAAGCAGCCAGTCATCTTTATAAGGCATTTAGTAAAGGAAATGTGTTCATATTTTTGTTGGTAAAATTATCATTTGTGTCTGCGTCAATTAAATCTGTAAGCAATGAAAACATTCTGCATCCCCAATATAAGAGCTCGTCAAACAAGTTCTATGTGTCTTTATTGATGAGTGGCGCATTAATTACCTACAGGCTAATATTCAGGTTTCACATTACATTCGTATTGGTTTGATATTTCCACATTGTTAATCAAGCATTTTAAGACAGAAAATCTCTCCTGCATACAAAGAAAATTACTTTACAGAGAATTTACACATAAAATAGAAAAACTCAGGAATCAGTTGTTTTAATCCACCAGGAATCCAGTTCCCCTCGAGAGCTCTCCATGACCTCTGACCTGGCTTGGTAGATGGGCCATTCTTCAACTACGAGCACTTTTAGCCTTGTGAAGTTGAGTAAAAAAACTTGTTCAAAATGAACGTAACATAGCCTCATAAGTTTAAACACTTTGTCTAGTTTTAAGATCTGTAAGAGGACAAACTTAGATAAGAAGAGAAACATTTTCTCGATCGTGAACTGAACAAATGTCAATTCCAGCACATCTCAATATACAGCTTATATTTCTAAATGACATAAATGAAGGCAGTCAAACATTGTCTAAGATCATTTTTGTTTCTAGTTTAACCAAATCTTTACACAATATCAATAATAGTTATACATTTGTCAGTGAAATAAATTAGTTGTGTGCTGAATTGTACACCTGTCACACTCTAAAACTTAATATAATTTGGTTGAGAGCTTATTAGAAAATAAATAAACTGCATTTGTATATGAAATAGAGCATGAACTCATACATTGTGATTACACTTTAATGTGTGATGAGAACTTTTTAAATGTTTTTAATAATGTGTGTGGTGATGGAAATGACATTTCAACAGTTTATTATGAAAATAATGAAAAATAGCTTCACCGATTAACTTTGAATTGATACAAGCCTTTCATGTATACAAAACACTCTTATTTACCGTCATTTTGTTTCGGTTTTAGATTTTTTTAAGTAGGTTTGATTGTTAGTTTGACAAAGAAAGAGGAATTTGAACAAAATTGTATACATGTTGGGATATTTGATCAAAGGACATAAAAGTGCTCGTAGTTGAAGAACTACCCAGATCCTGAAAACAGAGATTTGACAGACACAGACGCTTCAGCTGAACACATCACTACATTAGGTCATGTTTAACTTCAGTCACTGATCAAAATCATGTCAAAGATTAAAACCTGATTCAAATAATCATAATAATAGAGTCAACAAGAACAGATTTTGATCTTTCCTGGAACAGATGAAGACAGAAAACGACTCGCTTCAACAGGAAGCAGATCTGTGCTCACGATGACCTCAGTTTACTCAAGCTTCGCTGTCATTTGAAGATCCCCATAAAAACTGTGTAATATTTAGCATTTGATGATAAGTCTCTATTCAATAATAATAATTTTTTTAGTTTAGACCTCAAGACTTTCTGCTTCCTTTTACACATTAAAATGTTTCTGGTTGTCAGCATCAGTGGAGGAAAATACACAGAACTACAGCTGCGCCACAGGAAGGTGAAATCTCAGTGCTTTACATTTGCTGTGCTAAAGTTCAGGAAAAACATCAACACAAACTTTCAAATCAACACATCTGCAAAGGTGTAATTCAGAAATATCTCCACAGGAGGGCGACATGTTTAAATTCATACTATTATGTTTGCAGTGGTGTCATTCACCAAAATCACCACACGAGGGCGAACATTTAGAATTCATCAATTTCGCAGTGGTGTAATTCAGAAATATCTCCACAGGAGGGAGAAACTTTCCTTATTTTAGAGCGGCAGCAGTGCAGTTCACAAAAATCCCCACAAGAGGGCGAATATTTTAAATTCAGTAGATTCAAGATTTGCAAAAGTGTAGTTCAGAGAAATCTCCACAGGAGGGCGCAATATTTGATACATATGTAATATTTGTCTATTAGTCTATTGTTAGATCAGATATTCAGTGTGTAATAATGTGTTTATTTGTGTGTTGACTCTACAGGATCAGTGAAGTGTTGTGGACTGTCAGCCTGTTGAACATAAGCAGAGACGTGTGGACAGACACTGACTGTACTGATGACGATCATCTGCTGCTGCACAGGTGATGTAGATCATGTGTGATTGTGTTTGTCTTGCACATGTCGGTTACCATCATTTGCTTTGTGGAGGGTCACTCCTCTACAAAGTAAATGATGGTAACCGAAACGGGTGGGGAAGGGACGAAGGTCCAGAATTTTTATACAGTTCATTTTAAATTTTTTGGCAGGCTGTAAAGTATAACCCCTGCTGGACACGGCTCCGGAAGCTCCAGGGGGAGACCGAACTGGTATCCCCCCTTCTTCAGGCGCGCCTCACACTCACTCACCATTCACACATATCGCAGAGTTCTGGCTGGCATCGAACCAGCAACCCCTGAAACCGTGGGGCAGCGCTCTTACCACAGAGCCACAGATCTCCTTGTCTGAACACTTGCTGGAACTGATGTTGGACTGCTGACCTGTGTGTGAGCTGATTCAATAAAACAAGAATATATGTCAGATCTGAACCCTTGTCTTTATGAGTCTCTTCCTCAGAGAACTTGTGTTTATTCACTCATCAACCATCATTAGTTTCACATCAGCGTCCATCATCTTGATGAACATAATGAACTCTGTGGGACATTAGCCATGGTGAGGTTTGAACCCGGGTCTCCTAGATTAAAGCTCAATACTTTAAGACCTGAGCCACTGAGTCTGGACAGCAAAGGAGAGGTCAGATTGGGGCTTTATCACTATTCTCATACCGACCAAGGTTTGACGCATGTTTCTTTGTAATTTGGGCCACGAAAAACCTTTTGGCAAATGTCAAACCCAGTGGCTCAAAGGATGAGCATTCGCCTGCTATTTAGAAGTGTGAAGGATCGAATCTCATTTCTACCAAATCGAGATACAAGTCAGATTTGAACTCTTGTCTTTATGAGTCTCTTCCTCAGAGAACTTGTGTTTATTTACCCATCATGGGTTTCGTTCCATCATCAGGGGCTCCTGGTCAGTATAATGAGGTCAAGATGGACATTAGCCATAGTGAGGTTTGAACCCGGGTCTCCTTGATTAAAGATCAATAGTTTATGACTTGAGCCACTGAGTCTAGATGGTGAACAAAGTGTCTGAATGAGGCTTTATCACTGTTTTCATCATGAACAAGGTTTGACAAATATTTCTTTGTAATTTGGCTCACAAAACAACAACTGCCTGATGTCAAGCCCTGTGGTTCAGTGGATGAGCCTCTGCCTGACATACAGGAGACATGGGTTCAAATCCCACTATTGCTTACTTTACTTTCGGTTGCTGGAATTCAATCAGACAGTGTGGCCCAAACAGCATCTGACAGACTGAAAGCCATGATGGGCTAGTGGATGAACACAAGATTGCGGTGGACAAGGTAACGACAGAGGCCTGGGTACGAAACCCACCTCGATGTCTGGCTCACACCACTACAAGTGCAAGGTAATTAGAGTGGGAACACACACTTAACATTACTTTGTTGTTTTTCTGATTATCTCTGCAGTAAAAAGCAGCAGCAGTGCTTGGATTTGAACCCAGGTATGCTGTGACAGCTTTAGATGTCATGCTGTGTGCTCTGACCACTTCACCATCACCACACACATAAACCCACATTTCTTTCTCCAATGGGAGGATAACCACATTCTACACATTTTCAAAAAAAAACTAAATAAATAAACACAAATAATTCATATCAAATGTAAATTATTTTAAATAAATGTAAACTGCATCATATGCAAATATATTATTATATTTCACTATTCAAAATGTGAAAAACCTGCTTATTCTTCAATCAGACACATGAACATGTTTCAAATTATCTTACAGCTGCTTGTGGGGCTTTAAATGTTACCAAACACAATTAAACACTGTAAATATCATCATTTACCTCAAAAGTCTCCTCATACTGTATTGATGACTCTACACCAAATCTGGCCAATCACATGCTCTCTACAGAAAGTCCCTCCCCCAACATACACGCGACAGAGCAGCAGCACAACAAACACACTTTCTGGACTCTCTACTGGAAATATGAGCTCATAAATACCTTTACTGGAGCTGTGAATCCGCCTGGATGTGGAGGAGTGTGTGGAGGAGCATCAGCTGTTGAGCGCAGGTCAAAGATCTGCTGCAGAAACACAACAAACACACGTGTGTATCTTCACTGCTGCAGAGGAGGAGAGAGCAATGACTGAACACAAACACTACAACAACATCACTACAAACTAAACCAACAGAGCAAAGTCCCTTACAGGTGAGTCGCGTTACTCTCCATTTCTGCACTTGGTGTGGCTTTTCTTCGCTGTCGGGCTGTAATATCTGCTGTTGACTGACATTATGAGTCTGGCACTGAGCTGTCATCTGCTACTGGAGCTCAACTTGACGCCAGTAAAACCGTGTACCTAGGCTGATCTGGTGTCGTTGTTGTCAAAGTTGTTCAGACTAAAAGAGCAGCTCGCTGATGCCGCCTAGTGGAGCGAATGGGATCTGCGCTTTAATGCACATACAAACCCCGCCCCTCACAATGACGTCATTTGCTTCATTGAGTGCAGCGTCTGACATTGTAAGTCTGATATATGCAGTCTCAGCTTGCAAATCCAAGTCTGCATGCAGATACTATTGGAGAAAGACTGACCAAATCTGCCTCTTGCAGAATTCACAAGATTTTTTACATCCGCTCATTGCGTTTTCATTCAGCAACAGAAATACTCATAATTTAAAACTTATTGAACGGCTTAATACAATATAGGATTAAAAATAAAGCAGCCAGTCATCTTTATAAGGCATTTAGTAAAGGAAATGTGTTCATATTTTTGTTGGTAAAATTATCATTTGTGTCTGCGTCAATTAAATCTGTAAGCAATGAAAACATTCTGCATCCCCAATATAAGAGCTCGTCAAACAAGTTCTGTGTGTCTTTATTGATGAGTGGCGCATTAATTACCTACAGGCTAATATTCAGGTTTCACATTACATTCGTATTGGTTTGATATTTCCACATTGTTAATCAAGCATTTTAAGACAGAAAATCTCTCCTGCATACAAAGAAAATTACTTTACAGAGAATTTACACATAAAATAGAAAAACTCAGGAATCAGTTGTTTTAATCCACCAGGAATCCAGTTCCCCTCGAGAGCTCTCCATGACCTCTGACCTGGCTTGGTAGATGGGCCATTCTTCAACTACGAGCACTTTTAGCCTTGTGAAGTTGAGTAAAAAAACTTGTTCAAAATGAACGTAACATAGCCTCATAAGTTTAAACACTTTGTCTAGTTTTAAGATCTGTAAGAGGACAAACTTAGATAAGAAGAGAAACATTTTCTCGATCGTGAACTGAACAAATGTCAATTCCAGCACATCTCAATATACAGCTTATATTTCTAAATGACATAAATGAAGGCAGTCAAACATTGTCTAAGATCATTTTTGTTTCTAGTTTAACCAAATCTTTACACAATATCAATAATAGTTATACATTTGTCAGTGAAATAAATTAGTTGTGTGCTGAATTGTACACCTGTCACACTCTAAAACTTAATATAATTTGGTTGAGAGCTTATTAGAAAATAAATAAACTGCATTTGTATATGAAATAGAGCATGAACTCATACATTGTGATTACACTTTAATGTGTGATGAGAACTTTTTAAATGTTTTTAATAATGTGTGTGGTGATGGAAATGACATTTCAACAGTTTATTATGAAAATAATGAAAAATAGCTTCACCGATTAACTTTGAATTGATACAAGCCTTTCATGTATACAAAACACTCTTATTTACCGTCATTTTGTTTCGGTTTTAGATTTTTTTAAGTAGGTTTGATTGTTAGTTTGACAAAGAAAGAGGAATTTGAACAAAATTGTATACATGTTGGGATATTTGATCAAAGGACATAAAAGTGCTCGTAGTTGAAGAACTACCCAGATCCTGAAAACAGAGATTTGACAGACACAGACGCTTCAGCTGAACACATCACTACATTAGGTCATGTTTAACTTCAGTCACTGATCAAAATCATGTCAAAGATTAAAACCTGATTCAAATAATCATAATAATAGAGTCAACAAGAACAGATTTTGATCTTTCCTGGAACAGATGAAGACAGAAAACGACTCGCTTCAACAGGAAGCAGATCTGTGCTCACGATGACCTCAGTTTACTCAAGCTTCGCTGTCATTTGAAGATCCCCATAAAAACTGTGTAATATTTAGCATTTGATGATAAGTCTCTATTCAATAATAATAATTTTTTTAGTTTAGACCTCAAGACTTTCTGCTTCCTTTTACACATTAAAATGTTTCTGGTTGTCAGCATCAGTGGAGGAAAATACACAGAACTACAGCTGCGCCACAGGAAGGTGAAATCTCAGTGCTTTACATTTGCTGTGCTAAAGTTCAGGAAAAACATCAACACAAACTTTCAAATCAACACATCTGCAAAGGTGTAATTCAGAAATATCTCCACAGGAGGGCGACATGTTTAAATTCATACTATTATGTTTGCAGTGGTGTCATTCACCAAAATCACCACACGAGGGCGAACATTTAGAATTCATCAATTTCGCAGTGGTGTAATTCAGAAATATCTCCACAGGAGGGAGAAACTTTCCTTATTTTAGAGCGGCAGCAGTGCAGTTCACAAAAATCCCCACAAGAGGGCGAATATTTTAAATTCAGTAGATTCAAGATTTGCAAAAGTGTAGTTCAGAGAAATCTCCACAGGAGGGCGCAATATTTGATACATATGTAATATTTGTCTATTAGTCTATTGTTAGATCAGATATTCAGTGTGTAATAATGTGTTTATTTGTGTGTTGACTCTACAGGATCAGTGAAGTGTTGTGGACTGTCAGCCTGTTGAACATAAGCAGAGACGTGTGGACAGACACTGACTGTACTGATGACGATCATCTGCTGCTGCACAGGTGATGTAGATCATGTGTGATTGTGTTTGTCTTGCACATGTCGGTTACCATCATTTGCTTTGTGGAGGGTCACTCCTCTACAAAGTAAATGATGGTAACCGAAACGGGTGGGGAAGGGACGAAGGTCCAGAATTTTTATACAGTTCATTTTAAATTTTTTGGCAGGCTGTAAAGTATAACCCCTGCTGGACACGGCTCCGGAAGCTCCAGGGGGAGACCGAACTGGTATCCCCCCTTCTTCAGGCGCGCCTCACACTCACTCACCATTCACACATATCGCAGAGTTCTGGCTGGCATCGAACCAGCAACCCCTGAAACCGTGGGGCAGCGCTCTTACCACAGAGCCACAGATCTCCTTGTCTGAACACTTGCTGGAACTGATGTTGGACTGCTGACCTGTGTGTGAGCTGATTCAATAAAACAAGAATATATGTCAGATCTGAACCCTTGTCTTTATGAGTCTCTTCCTCAGAGAACTTGTGTTTATTCACTCATCAACCATCATTAGTTTCACATCAGCGTCCATCATCTTGATGAACATAATGAACTCTGTGGGACATTAGCCATGGTGAGGTTTGAACCCGGGTCTCCTAGATTAAAGCTCAATACTTTAAGACCTGAGCCACTGAGTCTGGACAGCAAAGGAGAGGTCAGATTGGGGCTTTATCACTATTCTCATACCGACCAAGGTTTGACGCATGTTTCTTTGTAATTTGGGCCACGAAAAACCTTTTGGCAAATGTCAAACCCAGTGGCTCAAAGGATGAGCATTCGCCTGCTATTTAGAAGTGTGAAGGATCGAATCTCATTTCTACCAAATCGAGATACAAGTCAGATTTGAACTCTTGTCTTTATGAGTCTCTTCCTCAGAGAACTTGTGTTTATTCACCCATCATGGGTTTCGTTCCATCATCAGGGGCTCCTGGTCAGTATGATGAGGTCAAGATGGACATTAGCCATAGTGAGGTTTGAACCCGGGTCTCCTTGATTAAAGATCAATAGTTTATGACTTGAGCCACTGAGTCTAGATGGTGAACAAAGTGTCTGAATGAGGCTTTATCACTGTTTTCACCATGAACAAGGTTTGACAAATATTTCTTTGTAATTTGGCTCACAAAACAACAACTGCCTGATGTCAAGCCCTGTGGTTCAGTGGATGAGCCTCTGCCTGACATACAGGAGACATGGGTTCAAATCCCACTATTGCTTACTTTACATTCGGTTGCTGGAATTCAATCAAACAGTGTGGCCCAAACAGCAGCTGACAGACTGAAAGCCATGATGGGCTAGTGGATGAACACAAGATTGCGGGGGACAAGGTAACGACAGAGGCCTGGGTACGAAACCCACCTCGATGTCTGGCTCACACCACTACAAGTGCAAGGTAATTAGAGTGGGAACACACACATAAAATTACTTTGTTGTTTTTCAGATTATCTCTGCAGTAAAAAGCAGCAGCAGTGCTTGGATTTGAACCCAGGTATGCTGTGACAGCTTCAGATGTCATGCTGTGTGCTCTGACCACTTCACCATCACCACACACATAAACCCACATTTCTTTCTCCAATGGGAGGATAACCACATTCTACACATTTTGAAAAAAAAAAACTAAATAAACACAAATAATTCATATCAAATGTAAATTATTTTAAATAAATGTAAACTGCATCATATGCAAATATATTATTACATTTCACTATTCAAAATGTGAAAAACCTGCTTATTCTTCAATCAGACACATGAACATGTTTCAAATGATCTTACAGCTGCTTGTGGGGCTTTAAATGTCACTAAACACAATTAAACACTGTAAATATCATCATTTACCTCTAAAGTCTCCTCATACTGTACTGATGACTCTACACCAAATCTGGCCAATCACATGCTCTCTACAGAAAGTCCCTCCCCCAACATACACGCGACAGAGCAGCAGCACAACAAACACACTTTCTGGACTCTCTACTGGAAATATGAGCTCATAAATACCTTTACTGGAGCTGTGAATCCGCCTGGATGTGGAGGAGTGTGTGGAGGAGCGTCAGAAAGAGGAAAGATGTGCAGCAGAAACACAACAGACACACGTGTGTATCTTCACTGCTGCAGAGGAGAGAGAGCAATGCCTGAACACAAACACTACAACAACATCACTACAAACAAACCCATGAAAGAAAGTCACTTACAGGTGAGTCGCGTTACTCTCCATTACTGCACTTTGTGTCGCTTTTCTTCACTGTCGGGCTGTAATATCTGCTGTTGACTGACAATATGTTACTGAGCTGTCATCTGCTGGAGCTCAACTTGACGCCAGTAAAACGGTGTACCTGTGTTGATCTGTGTCGCTGTTGTCAAAGGTGTTCAGGCTAAAAGAGCAGCTCGCTGATGCCGCCTAGTGGAGCGGATGGAAACTGCGCTTTAATGCCTCTTGCTGAGTTTTTTTTTCATCCACTCGTTGTGTTTTCATACAGCAACAGAAATACTTATAATTCTAAACTTGATGAATGGCTTACTACAATATATAATCTTTTAAAAAGCAGCCAGTCATCTTTATAAGGCATTTATGATCATATTTCTGTTGGTCAATTAAATCTGTAAGTAATGAAAACATTCTGCATCCCCAATATAAGAGCTAGTCAGATAAATTAAATGTGTTTATTGATAAGAGATGCATTAATTACATACAGGCTAAATGACGATCTGGAGTGAAGAACATCATAGTGAGAAAGTCACAAGCTAAAAAGTTCAATATTTATGTTTTGCACTTCATTTATCGATATTTGACGTCAAGTCTGTAGTCATCATCTTTTGGGAATTGTTTTATGTTACATTTATATTGGTTTGATATTTCCACAATGTTAATCAATAATTTGTCCTGAATTTCTGTATAAAAAGAGCTAAAATAATCCCTTATGAATGATCAGATGTTTGAGTTTAAGCTTTAAAAGGTGAAAAGTGGTTAAACACACACACACATGTTGTTAGGAGGGAAATTAACAGGTGAGACCAAAAAGAAAACTCAATTGTGCAGAATTCAGAAATATCTCCACAGGAGGGAGAAACTTTCAGCATTTTAAAACAGCAGCAGTGCAGTCCACAAAACCCCCACAAGAGGGCGAATATTTTAAATTCAGTAAATTCAAGATTCGCAAAAGTGTAGTTCAGAGAAATCTCCAAATGAGGGCGCAATATTTCCTACGTATGTAATATTTGTATATTTGTCTATTGTTAGCTCAGATATTCAGTGTGTAATCTTGTGTGTATTTGTGTGTCGACTCTACAGGATCAGTGAAGTGTTGTGGACTGTAAGCCTGTTGAACAGAAGCAGAGACGTGTGGACAGACACTGACTGTACTGATGATGATCATCTGCTGCTGCACAGGTGATGTAGATCATGTGTGTGATTGTGTGTGTGTGTGTGTTTGTTCCACATGTCGGTTACCATCATTTGCTTTGTGGAGGGTCACTCCTCTAGAAAGTAAATGATGGTAACCGAAACGGGTGGGGAAGGAACGCAGGTCCAGAATTTTTATACAGTTCATTTTAAATTTTTTGGCAGGCTGTAAAGTATAACCCCTGCTGGACACGGCTCCGGAAGCTCCAGGGGGAGACCGAACTGGTATCCCCCCTTCTTCAGGCGCGCCTCACACTCACTCACCATTCACACATATCGCAGAGTTCTGGCTGGGACCGATACCAGCAACCCCTGAAGCCGTGGGGCAGCGCTCTTACCACAGAGCCACAGATCTCCTGACTGAACACCTGCTGGAACTGATGTTGGACTGCTGACCTGTGACTTCACAATAAAGAATTGAATAAAAATAAACTTGTGTTGACTCAATCTTCTGAAGTGGGGTTTGAACCCAGATCAACTGTGATGGATGAGATCTGATATGATGAGCTCTTACCACTGAACCACAGATCTCTTGTCTGAACACCTGCAGGAGTTCATGTTTGACTCTTCACCTGTAGATGAGCTGCGATTTCATTATAAATATGTTAAAGATCCCTCGTGCTCTGAGGAGGGATTTGATCTCAGGTCCTCTGTGAGGGTTCAGAGCTCATGCCATGTGCTCTGACCACTGGACCATCATCAGCCACACTAATGCAGGAGCTTCTGGTTAACACAAGCACATTTTTAGATGTCAAATAGAAAAAAAAATAAGGAGGAAAACACAATAAAATAAGATTTAAACATCAGTATATAGAAATAAACACAGAAATGTCCAAATATAAATGATTACAATCAGAATCTAACAGTTTTTAAGATAATAACATCATTAATCATCCACACACTAACCTTCACTTCTCTGCTGCCTAAACAGCTCGATCAGCAACATCATTAATTCAGTGCAGCTCTAATTCTGAATATACTGATGTGCTCTTCATTACAGCACTCAAACATGATCATATTAACACAATAAGAGTAAATGAATGCTGAAACTCACCCACTGCTGAAGGTTTTGGCCTTCAAACGTCTCTGTTTCAGCTGCTGCTCATTAAATTTGGAGGTTTATGATGCGAGCAAAGCTTCAGCTCCTCTAAAAGACAGAAGACTGCATCTTTAGAGCAGTTATTTAAGCAGTAAACACGAGCTGATTCAGCTGTCATCATGTGTTCTGTCGCTGCTGGGGGCGTGTCTCTGTGCGTCTGTCAGTGCGTGACGCCGTCTAGTGGAGCGCTGGAGAACTGCAGTTCAGGATCAACACGAGCTGCAGCAGCACACAGGAGACTGAAGCTTTAAACTCATCCAGTTGTAAACAAAGTCATCATTTTGACAGGATTTCGACTCGCAAAACATCGTGAGTTAACTCTGTGCACTCAACTGAGAGGGTAAGACTTATGCTGTTGAATTAAGCACGTGTTCAGTGTGTACACACGGCGATCTGCCTGTAGTGTGTGTGTAAAGCTAATTCATCCTCAGTTCATCCTGATGTGTGTCGTGTTTGATCAGCAATTTGGGTTTGTGACGCAGATTATATTAGTTTAAGCAGAACTATTAGCTTAATTGGCTCTTTACACTTTAAATAATTAAATATGCACATTTACAAAGAAAATAAACTCTTTGATGCACAAATTAGTCCAGGAGTTCAGAGAGGAGTAATATTCAGACCGAACAACATTGAGACTGTTCACAGTTTGTATCACTCCGCGTGTCCGTGTTTGCGAGTTCCAGACAGACGGTCAGTTTATTGCTGGAGGCGGATTTATATTAGCTGTCAATCACTGAGGAGACACACATTTGCAGAGGAGCTGTTGTGGGATATCTGAAGCATACACATCTAGATTATAGGATTTAGGATATATTATAGGATTATATAATAATGATAATAATGCTTTAACAAAAGAAAAAAATATATACTAGGAAAAGTTCATTTTAAAAAGTAATATATTAATCTTAAGTCCAGCTGAGCTGAAAGGGATAAATAAATTACACAAAAATGGCATAACACATTTAATAACTTTAAAAGAGATGACTCAAGACTAATATCTGACGTTTAAAAGTCAATTTCCAGCACATGATCCTCCTGCACACTCCGATACAGTAGGTGGCGATATGCACCTGATTAGTGTTGTTTGCAGTCTGACATGAAACTAATAATAAGAAGAAGACTGATTATGTGATCAGTGCACATGATGGACGTCAGCCTTTCTGCTCCTGCACTCAGAACTGAATCAGTGGATGCAGCATCTGGTAAATAACCTCTTGATGTGTTGTTTTGTTTTACTAGATGTCTTCTGGTAATGGATCTACACTGATATCTGTTCATTACGCTGCACATGTCGTCTCTCTCTCGTCTCTGATAGACTCAGTTCAGCTCATGCAGCTCTCTGAAACACGCTGAGGATTTCAAGAAGAGAGAAGCCATGTGCAGGATCTGGAAATACAGCTTTACATGTGAACTGAAGCCATGAGGAAGAGGAAGGTGGTTCTTCATCATATCCTCACTGATGAAGCCCTGACTTTACACTCTTTACCTATAATGTCCACCTGATTACGGGCCTGTTTCAATACAAAAAAAATTGTAGATCCTAAAAGATAAAGTGTAGACAGAGCACACGTGTCCTGTAAGAGCATCAGACATGTCGACTCCTGCAGTCTGATACTGAACACTTGATCAAACACAGAAAATAGCAGCAAGAACACAAGAGCTCAAAGCAAAGACAGCAAGTGTTGCTATTCAGACAGGCCCGATTTTACACGCCACTGACTTATTGATTATTAATGTCTGATGATTATTAATGTCTGATGATTATTAATGTCTGATGATTATTAAGATTTGCTGATTATTAATGTCTGCTGATTGTTAATGTCTGCTGATTATTAATGTCTGATGATTATTAATGTCTGCTGATTATTAATTTCTGTCATCTAAACTGAGCTTGTTGATTTGGTCAGACAGAGTCAGCTAAAGTAAGATGCTCTTACCGTCTGGTTCTTCTAGACGTCTCTTCTAGCTCAGGCTGAATGTCTGTGTGAAGATAAAGAGAGTCGAGTGGTGATGATTGATGCTTTTCAATAATTCAGCTCATTTGTTTTGAAGATCAGCTTAAACTATATTGTAGATTCATCACATCAGCGCCCTCTAGTGGAGAAACACTGACATCTCAGGATTTTGTTGAACATCTTTCTAAAATCAGGATTGGCCGAAAAATGTGTGCTCTGAACCACTGATTCAATCAAAGAGTCAAATAAAAGATTCAAATTGAAGATTCAAATTGAAGATTCAAATTGAAGATTCAAATTAAAGATTCAAATTAAAGATTTAAATCAAAGATTCAAATCAAAGATTCTAATCAAAGATTGAAATGAAAGATTCGAATTAAAGATTCAAATAAAAGATTCAGAGCTTATTGAATCAGTGATTCAAAAGCAGCATCACTGCATTTTAGAGATTTGTCTCACCTGTGTTTGAGTCGCATCTTCTTTTCACACTCCTTTACTTTCCATCTGTGCTGTGAATAAAAACATACAAACATTAAGAAATGTCTCCTTTACTGTGCCGAAAATACATAGAAGGTGTGTGACTGTTTGGCTGATTTTTGATCTTCACTAAAAAACTTGTGAACTTCATTATAAACCCTGAAGCAGATGTCAGTCTCAGTGGCTCAGGCGAGAAGCGTTGTGTTTCAATCCTGGAGTCCTGAGTTCAAATCCTGCTATTGCTGACTCTACATTGTTGAGATCAAATAAAAGAGGACTGAAAGCGTTCTCTGAATGTGAAGAGCACAGTGGTGTGAGTGGATAAACACCTGTGCATGAAGGAGGAGGCTGGAGAGATGTGGGTTCAAACTCCAGAGCAGGCAAACTTTAACTAGTTTATTGTCCAATCACAGCTCAGATCAAGACACAGCTCAAACATCAGTTCCAGCAGGTGTTCAGACATGGAGATCTGTGGCTCTGTGGTAAGAGCGCTGCCCCACGGCTTCCGGGGTTGCTGGTATCGGTCCCAGCCAGAACTCTGCGATATGTGTGAATGGTGAGTGAGTGTGAGGCGCGCCTGAAGAAGGGGGGATACCAGTTCGGTCTCCCCCTGGAGCTTCCGGAGCCGTGTCCAGCAGGGGTTATACTTTACAGCCTGCCAAAAAATTTAAAATGAACTGTATAAAAATTCTGGACCTGCGTCCCTTCTCCACCCGTTTCGGTTACCATCATTTACTTTCTAGAGGAGTGACCCTCCACAAAGCAAATGATGGTAACCGACATGTGCAAGACAAAACACACACAATCACACACATGATCTACATCACCTGTGCAGCCGCAGATGATCGTCAGTACAGTCAGTGTCTGTCCACACGTCTCTGCTTCTGTTCAACAGGCTTACAGTCCACAACACTTCACTGATCCTGTAGAGTCGACACACAAATACACACATTATTACACACACTAAATATCTGATCTAACAATAGACAAATACACAAATATTACAGATGTATAAAATATTGCGCCCTCCTGTGGAGATATTTCTGAATTACACCTGTATTAATGTACTGAATTTAAAATGTTCACCCTCGTGTGGTGATGTTGGTGAATTACACCACTGCAAATCTGACTGAATTCATTTCAGCTTTTCGCCCTCCTGTGGAGATATTTCTGCATTACACACTTGCTAATCTAATAGATTTGTGGTGATGTTTGTCAACATCATTAGTCAGAGTCTGTCCACACACACACAGCTCTGCTTTACACTCCACAACACATCAGTTATTCTGTAGAGACATTCAGACATTACTAGACTCACTACATGTCTTAAAGTCAATGATAATTCAGAAATACCTCTGTTAATATCTCATATAAAACATGCAACATCAGACAGAGAGATGGTATATGCCAGTAATGCTCCATCAGTCACTGTTATTCATCTACTGTTGTTCTCTGTTTACTTCTGATGATGCTTTAATTAAATGACTCTTACAGGCCACAGAACTAACATATAAACACTGAACAGAAACAAAAACACTATTTCCCTCCTTCAGTAAGTGTGTTTGATGCTTGTCTGCTGTGTGTGTGTTAATAAGTGTGATCAACATGTGCAGATTTCCATCATTAAAGTCAATTTCTGTCCACTAAACCCAGACTGAAAACTCTTATTCTGTCAGACCAACAAAACATCACAACAAGAGATTACAGAGACAACAAACTCAATTTCAAACTCAAACTGAATTTCAGGATTTAAAATGATTAAATTAAATATAAATGTTTGATATTGATAAAATACAGCAGACTCTGTTATACTTCAGTGATGCTGCATCAGTGTTTTACTGTTCACTTTGGTGTTAAATACAGTTTTACAGCACAAAACAACAACACTGAATAAAAAAGCCTGATTAAAATATTGACAGATCTCTGAACATCATCACTAGTTTACAGAAACAATGAAACGGAATGAACAGCAGTCACTAACATCAGCAAAGTGTCCTTCATCTCATGTTTCATATCTGGACACTTTAAATAATCCTGTCATTTACTCTCACTACAGTGTTCAGCACTACAATAATTAACAGCAGAAATAAACACCAGAGCTTCACACAACGACTGCAGGATTAACACAGACACACATCTTACTCTTGATGATGTGAATATCAGTGGATTAAACATTGACAGACTGTAAATGCACCGCAACAACTATCAACACATCTGCTGTACATGAGGAAATCCACTTACTGTCGGCTGAGTCGCGTGACAAGCTCGAGTCCTCCATTGTAACGGGTTGTGTGTCGGTTAAATTTGCAGATTAGCTGGTAATATTTGTGTTTAAAGTGTAAACATTAATATCTGTCATCTGCAGCATCTGCGTGTGTTGTTGTGGTTGTCGTCATCAAGCGTCACCAGGTGGTCAATCACTGAAAGGTGTCAAAATGAAGTTAAAACCCACTGTGTCCGCCTAGTGGAGCGGAGGACAAACTACACTCTGCCGGAGGACAACATTTGCAAACCTCCTGTGGTGGTTTTTGTGAACTACAATTTCGCACAATTAAATAAATGTTGCGCCCTCCTCTGGTGACTTTTGTGCATCACAACTTTTTCTTTCCTGTGGTCCTTTTTGTGAACTGCAGGTTTTACAAACCGATTGTAAATAAATGTTGCGCCCTCCTGTGGTCATTTTTGTAAACTACAACTTCGCAAAGTTAAATACATTTTTTGCCCTCCTGTGGAGATTTTTGTAAACTACAACTTTGCATAATGAAATAAATGTTGCGCCCTCTTGTGGTGACTTTTGTAAACTACATATTCACAAAATAAAATAAATTTATGCCCTCTTGTGGTGATTTTTTTAAACTACAGCTTTTGCAAATTGTTTGCAAATGTTGCGCCCTCCTGTGGTCATTTTTTAAACTGCAGCTTTTGCAAACAATATTTAAATAAATGTTTCGCCCTCCTGTGATACTTTGTGTGAACTGCAGGTTTTACAAAGCGATTGCAAATAAATGCTGCGCCCACCTGTGGTCATTTTTGTATACACTTTTGCAAAATTAAATACTTTTTATGCCCTCTTGTGGAGATTTCTGTAAACTACAACTTTGAATAATGAAATAAATGTTGCGCCCTCCTGTGGTGACTTTTGTGCATCACAACTTTTGCAAATGAATTTTAAATAAATGTTTCACCCTCCTGTGGTACTTTGTGTGAACTGCAGGTTTTACAAAAGGATTGTAAATAAATGTTGCGCCCTCCTGTGGTTATTTTTGTAAACTACAACTTCGCAAAATTAAACACATTTTATGCCCTCCTGTGGAGATTTTTGTAAACTACAACTTTGCATAATGAAATAAATGTTGCGCCCTCTTTTGGTGACTTGTAAACTACAAATTCACAAAATGAAATAAATTTATGCCCTCTTGTGGTGATTTTTGTAAATTACAACTTCGCAAAATGAAATAAATTTGATGCCCTCTTGTGGTGATTTTTGTAAACTACAGCTTTTGCAAACAATATTTAAATAAATGTTGCGCCCTCCTGTGGTGACTTTTGTGCATCACAACTTTTGCAAATGAATTTTAAATAAATGTTTCACCCTCCTGTGGTACTTTGTGTGAACTGCAGGTTTTACAAAGCGATTGCAAATAAATGCTGCGCCCTCCTGTGGTCATTTTTGTAAACTACAACTTCACAAAATTAAATACTTTTTATGCCGTCTTGTGGAGATTTCTGTAAACTACAACTTTGAATAATGAAATAAATGTTGCGCTCTCCTGTGGTCATTTTTGTAAACTACCGCTTTTGCAAACAAATTCCAAATAAATGTTTCGCCCTCCTGTGGAACTTTGTGTGAACTGCAGGTTTTACAAAGGGATTGCAAATAAATGCTGCGCCCTCCTGTGGTTATTTTTGTAAACAACAACTTTGCAAAATTAAATACTTTTTATGCCCTCCTGTGGTACTTTGTGTGAACTGCAGGTTTTACAAACCGATTGTAAATAAATGTTGCGCCCTCCTGTGGTCATTTTTGTAAACTACGACTTTGCAAAATTAAATATATTTTATGCCCTCCTGTGGAGATTTGTGTAAACTACAACTTTGCATAATGAAATAATTGTTGCGCACTCTTGTGGTGACTTTTGTAAACTACAACTTAGCAAAATGAAATAAGTTTTATGCCCTCTTGTGGTGACTTTCGTAAACTACAACTTCACAAAATAAAGTAAATTTTGTGCCCTCTTGTGGTGATTTTTGTTAATTACATTTTTGCAAAATGGAATAAATTGTATGCCCTCTTGTGGTGATTTTTGTAAACTACAGCTTTAGCAAATTGTTTGCAAATGTTGCGCCCTCCTGTGGTAATTTTTGTAAACTGCAGCTTTTGCAAAAAAATTCCAAATAATTGTTGCGCCCTCCTGTGGTGACTTTTGTGCATCAAAACTTTTGCAACTTAATTTTAAATAAATGTTTCGCCCTCCTGTGGTACTTTGTGTGAACTACAGGTTTTACAAACCGATTGTAAATAAATGTTGCGCCCTCCTGTGGTAATTTTTGTAAACTACAACCTTGCAAAATTTAATAAATGTTGTGCCCCCCCCCTGTGGTGATTTTTGTGAACTACAAACTTTACAAACCAATTGCAAATAAATGTTGTACCCTCCTGTGGTTATTTTTGTAAACTGCAGATTTTACAAACTGATTGCAAATAAATGTTGCGCCTCAGTATTAAAGGGTTTCCACTTGATGCGTAGAAGTCAGCACTGCACTGGACCAGTGGATAAACGTTCTCTGGACAAGATTTAATGGAGACGTGGGTTCAAATCACACTTTATTGTTTACATTAACTTGTTTATTGTAAAATCACAGAAATTACTTTTCATCTTGGAAAAATGGTAACCCAGTGTTGGCAGAAAACATTTCATATAAAAAATTGTATGATCCAGCATGTCAGTGACATGTTACTTCAACGTTTTTCTTCAAGGCGACTTCTTTGAAGACTTTTCCACCTTCCTGAGTTTTCCAAGTCAGTGAGAAAGATCCGCTTATTTGTAGCTTCTTTTGCATCTGCGAGATTTAAATGAATGAAAACAGAGAAACAATATTAAAATAAACACCTGGAGAACGACAGTGAAAGATCCTGCTCACAGCTCTCACCTCTGTGATTTTACTCAGGGTTTTAGGGTTGTTAGGGTTGAATCGGGCGTCAGTCTTCACTTTAATCCTCAACAGGACTTTAACACTTGAGTCCTGAGTAGAGCTGATGCTAAATGAACTGGAATCTACAGAGCAGTATAAAAGATGCACAATTAGATAAAACATGATCCAATATAGATCATGACAAAATAAATATGAAATAACATTACCCTCTTTTCATTAGCCTTCCTATGAAATCTTAATTCTTTTTCAAATATTTCCCAAGTGCAATTAAACAGAGAGATTTTTTCATCATAACTGTTTTAAAGGGATAGTTTTCACAAAATAAGAAAATGTACTCATTATATGTAGGAAATAATTACAAAAGGCAAATGACTGTGCAAAGCCACCAAAAACAACACAAAACTACGATGTATATGTCGAGTTCAGCGGCTAATCAGCCGGAATCATTTGAGGTAAAGTGATCACGACCAGCAAGACTTAGCTGTCACTCATGTGGCCACGCCCCTAATTATGCAGATTTAGGATAACCTAATATGAAAGAAATGGATGAGTTATAAAAAAATGCACCCCTCACAGTTGTCATGAAGGGTGATAGCTATATGAACCAAAATCGTTCTTTGTACCAGGTTGTAAACACATTTTTTTTCTGCCATTTTAAAAGTGGGCTCAATAGAAATGTGCTCTATTATGGAGCCAGGACTAGCAGAATTTCCATGAATTGCAGTTACTTCTGTATTTCCCTCACAAGAGAGAGCAGGAGGTTGCCGCTTGGAATCATCATAACTTCCCCCCTTAGTGGCGCCCCTGGCCATGATGACAGTATATTTGTCAAGCATGATTTGACTAGATATTTTTCAAGACACTAGTATTTAGCTTAAAGTGACATTTAAAGGCTTAATTGGGTGATTAGGCAAGTCATTGTATAACGTTGGTTTGTTCAGTACACAGCCGAAAAAAAAATATATTGCTTAAAATATTGACCTTAAAATGATTTCAAAAACAAATAAATTAATTCTAACTGAAATAAAACAAATAAGACTTTCTCCGGAGGAAAAATACAATGGCAAATGCTGTGAAAATTTCTTTGCTCTGTTAAACATCATTTGGGAAGTATTTGAAATACTAACTTATAGCACATTTCATAGTATGCACATTTAAATGTGATTGACACTCACGAGTGCAGACGACTCCAGCATCATTCAGATGGTTGACGTGATTTGGCAGCCATCGATCTAAGCTACATTGTATTAGGGAAGACTCACTGCCAACACAGTCGACTAAAGTCATCCATATTGGACCAATTCCTCGTCCAAAAGCACCGCCCGTTGCCTGTACAGCATCTCCACATCCCATCTCTCTACACACCACTGCAGCGTCTGCCAGATCCCAGCCATCAGCATTCACCGTCCCCCACTGACCGTCATGAAAAACCTCCACAAGTCCAGAACATGCGTCTCTTCCACCCGTCAGCCTGACAGGGACTGATGATGACACCAATGAAAAAACAAAGACAAAAAACTGAGATTAACAACTTATGCACAATGAATTTTCCACAAGGATGATAACAAATGAATGCACAGTGGAAAAAGCATGCTGCCTAAATTTTTTAGCTGAATCAAACAAACTTTTCTAGTCATCTCAACTTAAATCAAACTGAGTAAAACAAACGTGTTACTGTTAGAGGTCTTAATTGAAATAAATAAATAAATTCTCAATAGAATAATTTACAGCAAAAATAAATGCAATGGACATTATTCAGGATAGTGCTATATATACTATTAATTTAATTACTTTCAGCTGATTATACAAAAAAAAATAGTAAAAATTATATGATCTAAATGAAGTTTATTTATAAACTAATTTAAAGAGGAGCTCGTGCTCCATTAGCTAATGTATGACCCACCGGTCAGATAAAGCCTAACTCACTATAAATCCCCAGAGCATCTTACTTTAGCCATCTTCGTGTTGAAGAATCCCCCCTTCCACCCCTACTCCTCCCCCTTTTTTTCTTTGACAAGGTGACATGGCGGCCCAGTGATTAGCACTGTTACCTCACAGCAAGAATGTCACTGGGTCAAGTCTTTACCCGGGCAATTCACATTTCTGTTTGGAGTTTACAGACATGTGACATAAGTAAATGGACCAAACCAAATCGACACAATAGAAGTGCGCTTAATACTTAATCAGTAGTATATCTATCCACAGTAATTCCTTATTTCAATTCGCCATAACAAGCAGGGGAGTTCCAACCTGAGCTCAAACTCTCCTCTCGCCCTACAACGGGAGGGAGCCCAGGGCTCGAGGATCTCATGAGTTTGGCCATTGGAAAAACGGCCATGTCCAACTGAGCCTTGTTTCTCTAAGGGTTTTTATCCTTCACTTTCGCAAATTGGTGAAGATTGTTTCTCGCTACTGGCTTGCATGGTTCAGGACTTGTGAAGTTGCGCATGGATGGAGTTTTTCTTCAGTGATTGGACTTTCAACTGTGGAAATGAACCCACCATGAACTAAACCAGGGGTTCCCAAACTTTTCAGGCCGCGACCCCAAAAATAATCATATCAGTGGCTCGCAACCCCCATTTTTCAAGGTGGTTGTACTGTAAATATGTAAACGTTGCAGACACAACAATAGGCAAATATAAACATGAGCTTATTGACAACACAAAAATGCAATAGTCTATTAGCCATATAATGTTTTTTAAAGTCATTTATGGATTTAATTACATTTTGCTTTTAAAATTAAAGGCTGATGGCTGATTGTTATTTTAATGTTGCTGTTTCTTTAATGCAACTATTAACTATTCTGTCGGTTATGAATAAAATATGGTAATTCTAATAGTTTAATAAAATTTACTTGAGTTTTGGATATCACCAAGCGACCCCTTGTCATTGTCCCGCGACCCCCCAGGGGGTCCCGACCCCCACTTTGAGAATCACTGAACTAAACTTCAACTCTGAAATCTGGACTGACACTGTTTCAATTTATAATAATCTTCTATGTTAAGCTGCTTTGACACAATCTACATTGTAAAAGCGCTATAGAAATAAAGGTGAATTGAATTGTTTCCACCTAGTATTAACATGGACTTTTAGTAATCAATCATATTTAATCACTGTTTCAACTTGAGTAAACATGCTGTGATCTACAGTATTTGTGACCCTGCACCACAAAACCAATAACAAGCATAATTTAACCAGATTTATACCTCAACTAAACTCTGAATACATAAGCTTTCCATTGATGCATTGCTTCTTAGGACAGGGATATTTGTAATCTGAGGGGTCAAAAATATTGAGAAATCCAAATATTGGGAAAATCCAAAAGAAGTCCTTAGCAAGCCATATTACTAATCAAAATGACATTTTAATATGAATAATATAAGGTTTAACGTTTATTCAGTTATTTATTTTTATTATTTTTTTCTTTATTAATCAAGGGTCGCCACAGCGGAATGAACCGCCAACAGATCCGGCATATGTTGTACGTATGCCCTTTCAACTGCAACTCATCACTAGGAAACATTTATACACACTCATTCAAACATTCACTACAGACAATTTAGCTAACAACATTCCCCTATACCACATGTCTTTGGACTTGTGGGGGAAACCCAAGGTAACACAGAGAGAACATGCAAACTCCACACAGAAATGCCAACTGACCCAGCTGAGGCTCGACCCAGTGGCCTTCTTGCTGTGAGGCAATCGTGCCACCCACTGTGCCGCCGCAGGTTTAACAAATAAGAAAAAAAAATTTGGGTAAGTTTGAACTCTTCCTCTAACCTGAATAAAAAGCTACTCACGGCGGCAGATGACTCCTGCATATTTTGGATCACAGTTATCCGGTCCCCATCCCTGAAATGCACAGGTGCTCAAAGCCGTTTCGTCTCCACTGCAGCTCACATTGTTCATCCATGTTCGCAGAGGTGTGCTGCTCCAACTATAATCAGTAAAAACGCTAACACTTTTCCAACATCCTATCTCTCTGCACACCACTGTAGCATCCGGTAGATCCCAGTCATCATCGGCACACACTGCTCCCCACGATGCATTATGGAAAACCGCCACTGTCCCAGAACAACTGTCAAAGTTGTTAAACAGCCACATTTTGGCTAATGCAAAAGAAAACAAAGTCACATGTCAAATTATAGTTATAATGATTGCTGTTCCCTTTAAATAGGCCCTATTTTAGCTACAGTACTGTGCAGAACGCGTAGTAGGAGGTGAGCTTCCCTCCCTCCATGACATCTACACCAGGCGGTGCATGAGGAAAGCCAAGAGAATTATCAATGACTCCAGCCACCCAAGCCATAGACATTTCTCTCTGCTACCCTCAGGCAGACGGTTCTGACGGTTCCACGCAGCAGCCGGCTGAAGGAAAGTTTCTTCCCTCAGACTATCAGGCTGATGAACACTTAACACACCCCACACAGACTCTTCCATACCCCTCACTGCACACCATCAATATGTAGCATGCACTGCACTTTAACCAGTCCATACTTGAAACAATACTGCCTACAACTATGTGGACACCTATTCATTGTACATATCGCTGTCAATTTCACATTGTCGTTGTATTTGCACTGTCTGTATTTTGCACTGTCATTTTATTTCCACCGTCTGTTTTTTGCACTGTCGTTGTATTTGCATCTGTATTTTGTACAATCTGGAGCCAGCACTAAAGCTTTTCACTCATCATAGCACACGTGCTGCTGATGACATGACAATAAAAGTGATTTGATTTGATTTTGATTTGAGAAGTCTCAGGCCACCACCAGCTTTGGGAATAAGCATGGGCATACCAGATTCTGATGGTATGATAACCTTGAATAAATTAAATCACATATTCCCGGTTTGATGGTATTGTGATTACTTCTCTAAAATATATTCTTTTTAAATGTCTGGATAAAAACAGGGTTCTGCAGGTTTCATCACGTCAAATTTAAGACTTTTTAAGACATTTTTAAGTCCACTATGAATGAAATTTCAGGCTTCCACAGGGCAAAACACTAATAATTTTCAATAATAATCAGTGGAATTTTTTTACTTGCCCCATTAAAATTTAAACTCAGTAATTTCTTAGCCACATATTTTAAGTAATGTGTCAAAACAAGCAAACTGTAGTTATATACATATATATTTATTTTATTAGCAAAACTTTTCTTTTTTAAAAAAGACAAGTTTTAATTGCTATAATTAAATTTTTTTTAATTATTCACAACATAAACTTATGCATAAAAACATGGAGAACTGTTAAACAAATGTTATTGTAAGAATGTAAGGAAGAGAATTAAACCATACTGCTAAATAGTTAATAAATGTTAATGTTGAATGAAAGTTTTTTGGATTTGTTGGTTGCACCAATTGGCCATAGCTTTACATGGTCAATTAGTGAAAATTAAGACCTGCTTAAAAGTATTTAAGTGAATTATTTTAGTGAATTTAAGACTTTTTAGGGGGTTAAACTTCATTCATTTATTCATTTTCTTTTCGGCTTAGTCCCTTTATTAATCTCGGGTCACCACAGCGGAATGAACCGCCAACTTATCCAGCATATGTTCCATGCAGCGAATGCCCTTTCAGCTGCAACCCATCACTGGGAAACATCCATACACACTCATTCACATTTATACACTACGGACAATTTAGCCTACCCAATTCACCTTTACCGCATGTCTTTTGGACTGTGTGATACATCACACAAAGTACCATAAATTAATAACAAATCCTGCCCAATGGGGCAAGGCCTGATTTAGTTGCTACAATAGTGTGCTGTCTTAATGTCCATGAGACACAGTTTCACAGATCTAATATACTTGTCCACATGCAGTTTCTTCTTAAAAGCGCATTCTGTAGGCACACCTTATGTTTATGTGCTCAAAAATAAGTAGTGGAAATTGACGAGGCTTCAGAGTACATGCAAATGCCTTGTTTGTTGTTGAAAGAGTAACTGAGGCATGAGCTGTAAAGGCTCCACCCTTTTCTGGAAGTAGGGCAGGGAATAGCAGTTCATTAACCTAATTCACCTAGTTAGCTTAGTTAACCCTTAATTGCACTTTAAGCTGAATACTAGCATCATGAAAATTATCTAGTAAAATATTATGTACTGTCATCATGGCAAAGACAAAAGAAATGAGTTATTAAAACTATTATGTTTAAAACTGTGCTTTTTCCCTAATGCCCTTACAAAAATTACAATTAAAATAATAATTTTGTCTTCGACTGTACATTAAATCTGTCATCATACTCAAATAAATGCAGAGCAATGTTCACTCACCCTGACAGACGACTCCAGCGTCCTCTGAATGAACACAGTTGTGCACTCCCCATCCAGCAAATTCACATTTACTCAATGCATTATCATCTCTGGAGCAGTTCACATCATCCATCAATATTTGCCCTGAACCTTCTGCAAAATAAGCATTACTCTTTGCCTCAATCACGTCTCCACATCCCAGCTCTCTACACACCACTGCAGCGTTTGTCAGACCCCAGTAATCATCACACACTGTTCCCCATAAGCCGTTATGGAAAACCTCCACTCGTCCAGAACAAGAGTTGATGCCGCTCACCAGTCTAGTTCTGGCTGATAAAGACATAAGAATTAAAACATTAGGTATGCACTGTGAAAATATCCATAAATAAGCAGTTTTCCATATTTTGTGAATTATGTTTTTAGTTTTTTGCATTTATTTATGCTTTTGAATTGCTTTACGAGAACTTGATCCTTCTTCCAGCAACTTTTAACAATGAAAGTGACTTTTGTTTACATTTTTAATAGTTTTAAGTGATATATTGTTGGGTTGGTGTTGTATAATACACTACAAACATTCCAGTACATTTTCTGTCTTACTACAGGCTTATTTCTCTATATATTATTTCTTATACATAATTTTTAACTAATAAAATGTCAATTTATAAAATAAAATAATAAAATATAATTTGTATTGAACTTTTTTTTCAATAAAGGAGCAGTAGGTGATTGTCTTGAGAAACATGTTTTGTTATGCTGGTTGTTATGCAAGTGAGTTTTCAGTAAAGAACGTGGAATTTTAGGTTGATATTGGTTTATTTTTGAACAATGACAGCCTGTGACGCGCTCCCTATATTGTTTACCAGCTACTTTAATTTCCTGCATGCTGCCACCCAACCACTAAGCAGAGTTGCTTTAGGACAGCACGTGAGAGAGCGTTGTCTGCTGTTATCTTTAAGATGCGTGTTCGTGTTGCTTTGGACAACAGGGAAGGGACTGTGTTTCAAAGATATTGTGCTAAGCGGTTAGCATTGTGGCAGATCACCTACTGCATCTTTAATGTAAGATAATTTTTAATGTATTGTTATTATTTGAACTTATGTAGATTATTTACATATTTATTTTCAGTATTTTAACCATTTGTTAGATTCCTGATGTTTCTAACATCAAAGTTTGTATTTTGTTCTCTCTATATTTCTTCCTGAAGTTCAAACAAAATCAATAAATATATTTTGGGGAAAAAAGGTCACTTTGTTAAACTGTAGAGTTGAATTTTAAACATCAAATGTCGACAGAGCAGAGATCAACATCCTATAATGCAATTCACAACCGTAAATAAACAGAAAACACTTGTGAATCACAAAATATGGCAACGTTAATAAAATTATATATTTACAGTGTGGTTTAAAAGTGTTTCTACTCACGCTGACAGATGACTCCAGCATATAAATCCTTCAGGCATCCGGTTGGTCCCAAACTCTCCATCGCACAGTCTGCCAATGATGATTCATTCCCAACACAGTTTACCCGATTCATCCATATCTGTTCTAAGCTTGGGCCAAAAAATGCTGCTACTTTCACCTCTTGCACTTCCCCACAACCCAATTGCCCACACACAACATTTCCGTCAAGCAAGTCCCAGCCATCATAACATACTATTTGCCATTCGTCAGAATGGAGAACCTGCACTCTTCCTGAACAAGAGCTGCTGCCGTCAACGAGTCTCACTTGAGGACTGACAAACAAACAGGAAATTCCTAAAACTGAAAAAACACACATTGAGAAAGAATTTTATATGTATATATATATATATATATATATATATATATATATATATATATATATATATATATATATACACACACACACACACACACACACACAAATACATACATACAGCTGAAGGCAAAATGATTAGCCCTGCTGTAAAATTGTAATTCTTTTTCTGGTTTTACTGGTTAGTTTGCAAGATATTCAAGTGCAGTTTAAAGGATTTACTAGGTTAAATAGGTTAACTAGATGAGTTAGGCTTTTCCCAGTGATGTGTTGCAGCTGGAAGGGCATCCGCTGGTTAAAACATATGCTGGATAAGTTGGCGGTTCATTCCCAGATTAATAAAGGGACTAAGCCGAACAGAAAATGAATGAATGAATGAATGAATGAATGAAGATGAGTTAGGTTATTAGGCAAGTCTTTGGAAGACAGTGAATTGAAAAAATTTATATTTCCTAAGGGGATGCTAATGTAGACCTTAAATAATATTTAAAAGTTTTAAATTGTCTTATTTTAACCAAACTAGAAGTTGGAAGAACAAATATTATAGAAACTATGTGAAAAATCGCCTTGCTCTGTTAAACATCACTTGAAAAATATTTGAAAAGAATTAACATTTCATAAGAGAGCTAATCATTTAGACTTCCATGTATATAGCTAAATAATTTAGTATGAGTAGTGTTAATGTTTACTTACTCTGAGTTAAAATGAGCCATACTGTGTACAGCAGCCCTGATGGGAAGAAACTGAGAAAAAATGATAACACTGAAAATAATAGCTGAGAACATGAAAACAAAAAGATAAAGATTCCTACTTTCGAATTTAACCTTAATCTGATGACTTTTTGTTCAGAGAATTTGTGAAAAGTCTCAGTTTACATGTATCAAATTAATATATAAAAAGACATTGATAAAATAATTGGGGTAGAAACAGTTTCAGTACACGGTAAGTTTAACAAAATAAAGCAACTAAAACTAACGTAGAAAACAGAAACAGTGAATTTATTGTGTATAATCAAGAAACGTAATAATAAATTAATATTAATTAATCATACGAATAACACAAACATATATTCCAACATAGAAATATAAAATATGTTTAAACCTATTGGGGCGTCCCATGTCTTCCTTCCTGCTCTGAAAATTAAGTCTGTATGTTAGAAATTTATAGCGCATTTCTCCAGCTCAGCCGTCTCCTCCCTTCACCTGACGCTGACACCTTTTCTGAGTATTCATTTACATGTATTTGTTAATTACAGCATATGTTCGACAGGTGTGTAAACAAATGTTCTCGTGAAAGATGCTGTGATTTGCAAATAAATAGACGTAAAAGTAATACAAGGTATCCCTCTCTGATTTGTTATCATTCCTGATTTTTAATCAGCTCGTTTTTTCATTTATACATGTTCCAAAATAAAGGTATAAAGCTGGAGTATTATCTTTTCAAAAGGTATATTTTTGTACCAAAAAGGGTCCATCATGGTAAATTAAAGAACATTATTATTACCTTAAAGTACTAATTAGTGTAAGTCTGTGCATTAGTGTGCCATGGCAAAATTTTAGGTTCTAATATGTACCTTTATGGCACCACTATAGGCCAATTTAGGTACACTAGTGTACAGAATTACACCAATTAGCACTTTTAGGTATTTATTAATTATTTAATTTACCATAATTGACCCTTTAAGTGCAAAAATGTACAGTCTAAAACAGCATTATACCTTTATTCCTAAACTGAGAGTGTAATTTTACATATTTAGGCACAAATTACTAGCTAAAACTTTTACAATAGACTGTACATTACATCCTCAGAAATAAAAGTACAAAGGCTGACATTGGAGTGATATGTTACTAAAAGGTCCATGATGAGACCATAAAGGTACATAGCTGTACTTTTTAGGTTCTAATATGTACCTTGTCAAAACTTTATGTACTAATATGTATCTAAAAGTGTCCATAATGGCACCATAACCATACATTTTGACAAGGTACATATTAGTCCCTAAATAAACAGCAGTGGTAATTAGTTTGGCATTAATATCTACCTTTAAGGTCTTATTATGGACAATTGTCATTCATTCATTCATTCATTTCATTTTCCTTTAGCTTAGTCCTTTATTTATCAGAGGTTGCCACAACGGAATGAACCGCCAATCTATCCAGCATTTGTTTTACACAGTGGATGGCCTTCCAACTGAAACCCAGTACTGGCAAACACCCATACAATCTTACTTGGACACACTCATAAACTACGGCCAATTTTGTTTACACAATTCACCTTTCAAGAGTTCACACTTAGCTGATGATTGGTTGTAAAGCATATTTGGCATGCTGTACCGGGAGAGGGCCCTAAACTCATGAGATCCTCGAGCCCGGGGCTCCCTCCCGTTTGCAGGGCGAGAGGGGAGTTTGAGCTCAGGTAGATCTTGAGAACTCCTCTGCTGTAGAAGCTAATGAACAGATAGTGATTGCTCTTAAGAGATAACTGCTTACTAGGTGTTTATGGTGCAGATTTAGATGAGTTAACTTTAGTTGCAATTTTTTTTTTTTGGACGGTGGGAGGAAACCGGGGAACCCGGAAGAACATGTAAGCTCTTCACAGAAATGTTGGCCAGCTTGGTAAGGACTAGAACCAGTGACGTTTTTGCTGTAAGGCAACAGTGCTAACCATTGGGCCAGCGTGCCACCCATTTAGGAAAGGAGGAGGAGTAGGGGTGGAAGATTGTTCAAAACGAAGATGGCTGTGATATGGAACTCAGGGAATTTATAGTGATTTAGGAATCGTATGATTGGTGAATCATGAATTGGGTGATGATTCAATCATAAGCACGTGATCCTCTTGAAATTAGTTTAGAAATGAACTTCACTTAGTGCATGTCTTTGGATTGTGGGGGAAACCGGAGCATCCACAGGAGAGAGAGTGCAAACTCCACACAGAAATGCCAACTGGCCCAGCCGGGACTCGAATCAGCAACCTTCTTGCTGTGAGGTGACAGTGTTACCACTGAGCCACCGTGCCACCCCATGGACACTTTTAAGACTTTTTAATAATGCACCACTCCAGTGACAGCTTTTGTTTGTTTATTTCTGAGATTGTCATGCTGGATTTTAAGAGTGTCGGCATGCAAGTGTCCAAACTGCTTAGTTTTTCCACAAATCCTACTCCTGTCTGAACTTTTGCTCTTGGACACAAATAACTCATTGGTGGTAAACAGAAGATTTTTGCATCTTGGTTGGGTAGTTTAAATGAGGTGTTCTTTCCTAATTAGACTGCCGGGCCTCATTAACAGGATGCAAACGGTGAAGTTTTGAATATTTACAACAATCCCAGATTCTGTATGCAAAGCTCCAAATGGGACCACAAAGACAGGACTCGTCTGCTTTAGTTGATGTCTCCTGAAGACATTTCATATGTCATATTACAGTCTGGTTTCAGTTTCTGTGTGTGGTCAGGACTTCACCCTGTTTTTAAACAATAATAGGCTGCTTTTCCTGCTAAATGCGTGCATACGTCCGTCTCAGTTCATTACAGTTGCAAATCATTCACAAAGCTTGGCACGTTCCTTTTGACAAATGTGACAAACAACAAAACATCAACAAAAAGCTTCTCAACAGTGCTATTGTGTCGGTTATGAGCCAATAATTCAGCAACTAGAATGATTACATAAACACTGAAACATTATGTTAAATTAAAAGCAACCAGTTGTCACCAAAATGGGCCCTCACCAGGAAAGCTTCTTTGCCTTTTTGAGAAACGAAAGGAGCTAAAAAAGCATGTATACAGTGTAAATACACCATCAGCTTCCTAAATAATGCACTTGTGTGTTGATCAGATAAACTAGCACCATGCAAAGGTACTAACACTTACTTGTTTGATTTAATTGCTTTTCATTAATTTTAAAAGACTTTTTAAATATAATTTAATTTCATATTTATTTACTGTCGCCTCACAGCAAGAAGGTTTCTGTGTGGAGGTGCTCCGGTTTCCCCCACAGTTCAAACACATGCACTATAGGTGGATTGAATAAACAGTAAGTGTTTAAGTGTGAATGTGAATGAATGTGTATGGGTGTTTCCTAGTTGCGGCTGGAAGGGCATCCCCTGCGTAAAAACACATTTTAGATTAGTTGGCGGTTCATTCTGCGGAGGCGACCTCAGAAATAGTGACTAAGCTGAAGGAAAATTAATGAATACATTTATTTGTTTACAAGTACTGAAATTCTAGAGGCAAACCAGCACATTAGACCAACTGTTTAATTCTATGATACGTTTAATAAACAAGAATGTTGCAAGACACATGAGTAAGGTCTGTTTGTTTGTTCATTTGTTTGTTTGTAAAAGCAAATCTTTTTTCCCCCAAAATTGTATTATATTGTATTTTGTAACACTGACTAATAAAACACCTTTAAAGCTGATTATTTGTATTATAGCAGTAATCAACATTTATTCAAAGGTATGTCTGTTTTTACTCAATCAAATACCCTTCAATAAGCATAAACAATTTTAGGAAAGTATATAGATCATTATTTAAAAGATGTATTTTAATTAAAGATGATTATTTCTATTCACTAATTTATGTTGTTGTTTTTCTGATGCCACCAAATGATTACTTTTTAAGTGTATCCAGTATAAAGTGACAACCTCCAGATAAGTTTATAATTTTTTTACACTTTATTTCTTTGCAATTTACATTTATGCCTGTGAATTGCCTTTCTGACATATTCTTTATAGTTTTTAGATGGTTTACAATTACAGTAGTTTTACAATTATAACTATTTACAATTACAAAAAAAACATGGTCACACTTTATCTGGATGGTCTGCTTGTTGAATTTAAGTTACATTGCATTTACATGGCATCTAAATCTCAATAGATTATAAGTAAGTGTTGGGATTAGAGTTGGTGTAAGTTGACATGTACTTGCTAAGTTTCTCGTAGTCAATCAAATGTCTGTTGAAGGAGCAGTATTAACATTGAGCAGACAGTCTACTAATACTCAAATGGACCGTCAAAATAAAGTGTGTCCAAAAACTTTCATACTTTACAATTATATTATGCTTATAATAGTTTACAATTACAGTGTTTACCATTTCCACAGTGATGTATTAAATAGTAGCTCTTGCAATAATTATTCCTAACAGATGAATTATACCTATTTTAAATCCTGGTTAGCAGGACGTGACCCAAAAAGATACTTTATCAGTATCTAAACACTGTCAGTGTCTAAAAATAAATATCACACTTACATTGGAAAACAAAAATAAGAGTTATATATGAAGAAATATGAGGTTATATAAGAAATATAAGCCATTAAGTTTCCTATCTGATTTCCTTGTTCCTCTGAATGCACAAGATGACCTGAGAAACCAACACCATGGTGATATTATTACTCTGATAAATATTAAATTCAGAATTAAACTAGCTTTAAGTGGACGTTGAAGTCTTACCAGGCTGTCAGGGTGCAGTTTTTTTTCTCTCATGGAAGACTTTTCCATCAGCCTGAGTTATCAGCGTTCCATTAACAGGTATTGGCACTTTCGTTCCTATCTATGAGAGTCCAATGAATGTGAATACATGGAACTGCATGTTAAGTGAACAGTTAGAAGATGTGATTTTGACTCACCTCAGTGGAAAGTTTATTCATGATTGCAGCAGTGTTTGGGTCGAGTCCAGCCACAGCCTTCACTTCAATCCTCAAAAAGATATTAAAATCTGAGAGAGTTGGAGAAAGCATAAAAGATTATATTACTTAGCCAAATATGCTGGAATTATATCATTCAATACTCAGGATTATTACAAATTGTCTTGACATCACATGGCTGTCACATACAAAATGAATAAAAATGACATAACAGAATGCATAAAACTCTATTAACACATGCAATTAAAAACATTTGTGCCTAATTTACCCGATTTCTAATATTTTTAGAAGTTCCTGTTTACAGTGGGAATTATAAATAATGGTCACAGTTACAGGTGACAAGTCTAGCGTTTACAGAAATGGTCCACAAAAGAGAAAATATCCAGTGAGCGGCAGTTCTGTGGGTGCAAATGCCTTGTTGATGCAAGAGGTCAGAGGAGAATGGCCAGACTGGTTCCAGCTTATAGAAAGGCAACAATAACTTAAATAAGCACTCGTTACAACCAAGGTATGCAGAAGAGCATCTCTGAACGCACAACACGTCCAACCTTGTGACAGATGGGCTACAGCAGCAGAAGACCAGACCGGCAGCCACTCCTGTCAGCTGAGAACAGGAAACTGAGGCTAAAATTCACACAGGCTCACCAAAACTGGACAATAGAAGATTGGAGAAATGTTGCCTGGTCTGATGAGTCTTGATTTCTGCTGCCACATTCAGATGGTCGGGTCAGAATTTGGCTTCAACAACATGAAAGCATGGACCCATCCTGCCTTGTATCAACGGTTTGGGCTGGTGGTGGTGGTGTAATTGTGTGGTTAGTACCAATTACTACTAATTAAGCATTGTGTCAACACCACAGCCTACTTGATTATTGTTGCTGACCATGTGCATCTTTTTATGACCACAGTGTACTCATCTTCTGATAGCTACCTCCAGCAGGATAACACACCATGTCATGAACCGCGAATCATCTCAGACTGGTTTCTTGAACATGACAATGAGTTCACTGTTCTCAAATGGCCTCCACAGTCACCAGATCTCAATCCAATAGAGCACCTTTGGGATGTGGTGAAACGGGATATTGGCATTATGGATGTGCAGTCGATAAATCTGCAGCAACTGTGTGATGCTGTCATATCAATATGGAGCAAAGTCTCTGAGGATTATTTCCAGTACCTTGTTAAATCTATGCCATAAGGGATTAAGGGAGTTCAGAAGGCAAAAGGAATCCAACCTGATACTATTAAGGTGTACCTAATAAAGTGGCCCGTGAGTGGATACTGACAAATGATCACATAATAAAGTATCAGCTCAAGTAGCATCTATTTTGTAAACTGTGATGTAAAATACATTTTCAAAGTAACCTTCTAAGCAGGAAACTAAATCAAATTTCCACATACTGTGCTATCATAAACACTTACACAGCAGCAGTGTAACTCAATTAAACACAAAGCATAAAGTGCATTAACCATTAATAAAAACAAAATGCTTTCTTTCCCCAAAATTATGATAATAATACCCAGTGGAACAGTGGAAAGACTCCATTATCTTTTCACATAAAACGAAAACATTTGCACTCACATCCGCAGATGACTCCAGCATCTTTCTCATGGCCACAGCTTGTTGGACTGCGTGTGTATGAACAGCTCGTCAATGCAGACTCATCCCCAAAACAGCTCACATTATTCATCCACACTGTTCCTGAGCCCTGTCCAAAATAAGCTGCTTTTTTTATTTCCAGAACAGAGCGGCAGCCCAGCCGTTTACACACCACCGCAGCATCTGCCTCATCCCAGCCGTCATCACACACTGTTCCCCACTGACCATTAAGGAGAACCTCCACTCGTCCAGAACAGGGATTGAAGCCGTTGACCAGCCTAACGTTATCTAATAGTCACAAAAAAAATGAATTATTATCAGTTTATTTAAGAGATTAATTATGATGTCAGTTTGATGTAGAGGCTGCGAAAATATCAAGAAATCCCTGGACAATTTATTATTAATTTATTAAGTATGAGTTTGAGTAAAATGTTTTGTTCAGTATGTTTGATTATAAAAAGGTCTAAGATTATTTCTCCCAAATTCTGAATACAACATTGTCATTCATTTATTTATTTATTTATTTGTTTGTTTGTTTGTTTGTTTGTTTGTTTATTTATTTAACTTTGCAAATGACAGCCGGTAAAAATAACAAATGTTTTTATGTGTTGTGATAAAAAACTGGAAGTTTACCAATATATATTGATTTCCTAAATCATCTGAAGTAAAATAAAATGGCATTGTGCCATCTAAAATTTAATATAAACTTTTTAAAAGTTGATATGTTTTTAAATGTTTATATTTAAAAAACTCATCAGATGTTTACAGAATTAAATATATATATATATATATATATATATATATATATATATATATATATATATATATATATATATATATATATATATATATACCAAAAATATTAAGAAATCACTGGACAATTTATTATTAAGTTATTAAGTATGAGTTTGAGTAAAATGTTTTGTTCAGTATGTTTGATTCTAAAAAGGTCTGAGATTATTTCTCTCAAATTCTGAATAAAACATTGTCATCTATTTATTTATTTTATTAATTAATATTAATTTCTTAAATCATTGAAGTAAAATGATAAGTTTTTTTTTCTTAGAAACTATAGTGAAGCATTTTCTAGTTTCCTTGTTTTGTCATTTGTTTATTCGGTTTGCCGCCTGAACCGACCTCTGCCTGTGTCCACGACTATGCTTCTGGATTACCCCCATTACACCATTTGTTCCAGTTTGAGCATTGCCTGCCTGACTATTCTCATTATTAAACTACACATGGATTCTCAACTCTGTTGTCAGCGTCCTAATTTTACAATTACAGTATATAATTGTAATGTGAATGGGATGCTGACAGGAGAGGTGCAGGGTATATTAGCAGAATGATCAGGTAAGCAACACTCAACACAGGGGCAAACAGAAGTATACAGGGAGTCAAAACATAAGGCGAATAGTCAGTACAGGCAACATATAAAAACAAAACAACAAAGCAAATGTCTAACACGAAAAGGTAAGGAAAACGCGTTGTAATGTTCACAAACAGTATAACAAGACTCAGCAATGAGTGTCAAAGTGAGCAGTATATATGTGTGTGTTCAGTCCATGAGCAGCATCAGCTGTGGAAGTGTAATCAATGGAGACTTGGAGCAGGTGTGTGTTGCATGACTGGAACTTGTAGTCCATATACTAGTAGTCTGATCCTGCACAGGCTGGATCGATGGTGACCGTAACAACAATAATATAAAATAAAATAAAATGTATTATAATATAATATAATATAATATAATATAATATAATATAATATAATATAATATAATATAATATAATATAATATAATATAATATAATTTATTATAATATAATATAATATAATATAAAATAATATAATATAATATAATTTATTATAATATAATATAATATAATTTATTATAAAATAATGTATTATAAAATAAATTATTATAATATAATTTATTGTAATATAATATAATATAATATAATATAATATAATACAATATAATATAATATAATTTATTATAAAATTATTTATTATAATATAATATAATATAATATAATATAATATAATATAATATAATATAATATAATATAATATAATATAATATAATTTGTCAATTGATGTCTTAAATTATTGTATAATTTTAATACATATTTAGGGGGAAATTTTTTTGTCTTACACATGAAATCCAATACATCACATTATTATTACTAAATGTTTACACTCACCATGACAGATAACTCCTGCATCGTTCTCATGTCCGCAGCTATCAATCCTCCATCCGCTTGATTTACAGTCTCGCAGCCTTGTATCAGTACTAGAGCACTGCAGATTACTTAGCCATACCGGCCCCGATCCCTGGCCAAAATAATTATCATTTTTGACCTCAATGGCATCTCCACATCCCAGATCTTTACACAGCACTGCAGCATCTGTCAGATCCCAGCCATCACCACACACTGTTCCCCACTGACCACTATAGAAAACCTCCACTCGTCCAGAACACGAGTTATTTCCATTAATGAGCCTGACAGGAGCTGAATCCACATTAATGAACAATAAAACATGTTTAGGATTGTGATAATGACTAGTAATAAATTGGTGCAAAACCAAATTTCACTCAGAAATGGCTAAACATCACAAACAATTAGAAAAAAGCAACACATTAAATTAAATATAACATTTTGCAGACATGAGGGCACAGATCCGATTTAAATCGAATATATTTCCACATATGAATAAGGCCTAAATCTGATTTGAATCCATGTGATTTCTTCCTGCTTATATGTACATGGGCCATATCTGATCTGTGCCACATGGGAGAAAAATATTGGAACTGAGTCACTTGAACCATGCAGTATAATAAATGCAGCCTTTGTTACTGGTTTGTTAATAGCTTGCATTGTACATACAAATAAAGTTACCAACATTTTTAATGTAAAACATAAATAACTGCATATCTATTTTCCTTCATTTCTCTTTTTACTTGCATAAAATATAAAAGACTTACAGTCGCAGATGACCCCAGCGTCCTTCGAATGGTCAGTACTTTTCGGCTTAAGTGATTCACAGACACTCAGTGAGGACTCATTTCCAACACAGTTTACATTGGACATGTATGTTTGTCCAGTTCCTTGTCCGAAATAAGCATTACTCTTTGCCTGTGCAGCATCTCCACAGCCCATCTCTCTACACACCACTGCAGCATCTGACAGATCCCAGCCATCATCATACACTGTTGCCCACTGGCTGTGGAGGAAAACCTCCACTCGTCCAGAACAGGAGCCGTCACCACTCGCCAGTCTCATTTTTGCTAGAAAGATTAGAGAGTTATAAGCGGATACTTTTATGGATACATTAACGTAGATAGTTCATCACAACAATGAAAATACAGTTTACTGCTATTCACTGTTTTTTAAACCACCCAAAATACACTGTAAAAAATATCCGTAAATGTGCAGTTTTCCATATTTGTGATTTAGGTTTTAATTTTTCCACGTTTATTAATGCTTTTGAATTGCATTAAGGATCTTTTTGATATTTTTTCTCAACAACTTATAACCTTAAAGTGGGAAACAATTACTTTTATGAACATTTTGAATAGTTTAAAGCAGGAGTTTTTCCAATTAAGGGCCAAAAAGCAAACTTGATTGAGAACTGTGGGCCGAATAGACACCAAACCCGATAAATTAAATCTGCCATGGGTTATTTACTGATGTATTCGCTAATATTTAAAAATAACTAGAAGATGCAGTATCATTTTGAACATTTTATAATGAATTTATTACAGTAAAAACATAAACAATCCCAATTATAACACAATGGAGCTCAATGCTGAATTCGAGCTGGGTCTTCATTTGCTCCCAGATGTCTTTTGCATTGTCCTCTATCTGTTAAGTGACCGTATTTACATTTCATTTCAGTTTGGCTTTTTTTGTAGCTCAGCAATAAATCAAAGAAACAAAAGGCTACGTTAAATTTGAAATGACGATCTCTGTCAAAAGCAAAAAAAAAACTTACTTTTCCTTTTGATTATTTTTCTTACCCATAAGCAGATTATTTAACTTATAAGGAAAAACTCAGACATTATGTAAGAAGGTTGCTGGTTCGAGCCCCAGCTAGGTCAGTTGATGTTTCTTTTGCATGTTCTCCCAGTGTTGGGTTTCCTCCTGGTGCTCAATTTTCCCCCACTGTCCAAAAAAATGTGCTATAGGTGAATTAAATTAATAAATTTGTCGTAGTGTATGAGTGTGTGTGTGTATGTGAATGAGTGTGTATGGTGTTTGCCAGAACTGGGTTGCCACTGGAAGGTCATCTGCTGTGTAAAACATATGCCAGAATAGTCTGAAATAGACTAAAGCCGAAGGAAAATTAATGAACTAACATTCCGGATGTCTAGAAAATGCTTCATGACTTATGAATTTTTAGATATTTGGACTAAAAACAAGACAAAAAAAATAAAAGAAATGATCTGTTGCAGTGAAGTTGTTAGATTTAGGATTAACACAATAACCTTTCAGTAAATTCACCTTAAATAGCATTTAATTTGTGTTGCATGGCTCTATTCTTTGATGCTTTTGCTCCTTTTTATTACAATCCGAGGACGAGCACGAGGAAGACTTTTGTTTTCATTTCATCTAATTCGGTCAGCATCAGCTAGTGTATAGTCAGTTTTAATATTTTGAACTCTCTCCTTATTTTTGTGCAAGGTGTTTGAACTCACGCTGACAGGTGACTCCAGCATCCCTCTCATGTCCACAGCTGTTTTGTCCCCATCCTTGTGAATCACAGTTTCTCAGAGTCGAGCCAGTGGCACATTTTACACCACTAAGCCATACTGGACCAGATCCCTGTCCAAAATAAGCAGCGCTTTTTGCCTCTATAACACTTCCACAGCCCAGTTCAGAACACACCGATGCAGCGTCTGACTGATCCCAGTTATCATCACACACCGTTCCCCATTGGCCATCGAAGAAAACCTCCACTCGTCCTGAGCAGGAGTTAGGGCCATTTACTAGCCTAACAAGAACTAATGGACAGACAGAGGAGACGGAAAATAAACATTATGTCATCAAAAAGCAGAAAATAATCTATGTTATTTGGATAATTTCTTATCGGAAACTTTAAATGGATGGGAAAGAGCAAACATTCCACACACAACAAAAAATCAATAATAATAACTAAAGTTTACAACTCTGTGGTGAACTACATTAGGAGATCTTAACAGCCAGACTTTGGCAGTCAACAGCCAGACAAATATCAAAGTCATCTGGTGAAATTGTATTCATATCGTGGATTGAAAAAAATATTGCAATGTTAGATTTTTCCAATATTATGCAGCCCTGATTGACTGTATCTTTAGTATTGCTTTAAATCAGTGACTTACATTGGCAGATGACTGCTGCATCCTTCAAATGCGATAAACTGTACTGTCCTACTCTGTCGAACTTACAGGCAGTGATTGTGGACTCGTTTCCAGTGCAGTTCATATTATCCAGCCATACTGGTCCTCCACCTGGACCAAAATAAGCAGCACCTTTTGCTGCCACAGCATCTCCGCATCCCACATCTCTACACAGCACTGCGGCATCTGGCAGATTCCAGCCATTATCACACACTGATCCCCACTGACTGTATCCCCACTGATTATAGTAAATCTCCACTCTTCCAGAGCAGGAGTTCCAGTTATTCGCCAGTCTAAGTTTGCCTGAATAATATCACAATGAGAGCTGTTATCATTTTTTTTTTGTCTCAATGCTTTTTAAGGCTTGTCAATAAAATTTCTGCATTATTTACAAACAGAACAGATATCTATGGATAACATTTAAGGCATAATGGGGAGAAATCTATCTGCTGCATCTACTAAAAAGACTCTGTTATACTGTTTATATATATAAAGTCATGTAAAAATAGGACACCCTATGAAAGCCTGGGTATTTTGTAAGATTTTTTAATGTATTTAATCTCAATTATACCAATACTGAAAGGTTAAAGTAACATAACTAAACAATTAAAACTGACGAAAATACTTTAAGATCTTCTGTAAATGTAAATCTACAAAAATGCATATTCTAACTGAGGAAAATTTAGGACACCCTCACCCTCAGGCTTTCCTAATTTCTTCAAATCACTGTTTATTAGTGCTGGGCAAACAATAATCACTATTAATCCCATCTAAAATAAAAGTTTCGGTCAGGCATCAAAATATTTATTCCGCTGGCAAATTCTGATTAAATACTGTAGTTTAAATGTAATTAAAAGTATAATAACTTTAAGTCTGAATTTGCAAGGGGTGTGAATAATTTTGCTAATAAATTATTGTGTTTACAATGCATATATAACAGCTTAAGTCATAATTATGAGCCCTCTTTTGAATGTTTTTTATTTCCCAAATGATTTTTATCAGAGCAAGATAAATTTCACAGTATGTCTGATAATATTTTTTCTTCCGGAAAAAGTCTTATTTGTTTTATTTCGGCTAGAATAAAAGCAGTTTTTAATTTTTAAACACCATTTTAAGGACAAAATTATTAGCCCCTTTGAGCTTTTTTTTTTTTGACAGTCTACAGAACAAACCTTCGTTATACAATAACTAATTACTCTAACCTGCCTATTTAACCTAATAACCTAGTTAAGCCTTTAAATGTCACTTTAAGCTGTATAGAAGTGTCTTGAAAAATATTTAGTCAAATATTATTTACTGTCATCATGGCAAAGATAAAATAAATCAGTTATTAGAAATGAGTTATTAAAACTATTATGTTTGGAAATGTGTTGAAAAAATCTGCTCTAAGTTAAACAGAAATTGGGGAAAAATTAACAGTGGGCTAATAATTCAGAGGGGCTAATAATTCTGACTTCAACTGTATATATACACTGGGATATAAAGAGAACAGGACCCAAATAGGACCCAAATCTCAGTGAATTTTGAGGCCCACCTCAATGTGATGAAGGAGTGCAGTTTTCCCCGCCCACCGAATTGATTGACAATCGCCATGTTTCTATAATAACATGTATACACACGTCCATAGAATTTGTTTTGCAAATTAACTGGGATTAAAATATTTGTGATTTTGTGATCTCTGTGATTTTATAAGTTTACAAGTTTAAAATCGTTTAAAAAACTAAGCAGGTTTGTAATAAAGACACTATTTAAAATCGCATGCTCAATTCGTAACCGCTATAATCACCATGGCTGCATGGTGTCAGTAAAGGCTAGGTGGAAAGGTGTGTATTGCAAACAGCATTTGTGTGAGACTCATAATTTCAGAAAGGCTTGATTAAACTTCACCACAAATACATGAAATAAACTTACTTGGTATTTTTGACTAATCACAGTTGTATTTCAGTTTCATCTACAGTAAGTCGGTCTCTATCACCGACTGCTGTTTATCTACGAAGCGCATGATGAGAAGCAGATATGCATGTGGGGACGGTGGGCAGGGAGAAACAGCTCATATGCAATTAAAGCCCCATGCTAAAAAAACAGCTACAATATACTCAGACACCAAAATTGGCAGATTCTGGAGGCTATAATAAATCATATGATGGGTATTTTGAGCTGAAACTTTACAGACACATTCTGGAGATACCAAAGGCTTATCTTACATCTTGTAAAAGAGGTAAAATAGATGCTCTTAAAAAAAAAGCACTTAACAATTCTTAACATAAAAATAAAAAGTTTAAAAAGTCTTGTTTTCTCAAAAAAATATAGAAATTAACAAGAGAAATAAATACTGGCCAGTTGAGCCAGAAAGTCAAAACTTAATTCACGATGAACGCAATATTATTTTACTAATCTCATTGGCATATTGCTTTCATAATTGGCATTATAACTGGCTTAATTTTAAAGACATTTAATTTGGATATGTTTTTTTTTCTAAATCAAGACTTAAATCTTGTCTCTCAGACAAAAGTTTCATAATTTGAAATCAATAACATATTCTATTATATATTCACTTCTCCATTAATACACCACTTGCCACAAATCCTAAACAGTGTGTGTAATAATAATAAAGGTTTTGTACTCACTCTGACAGGCAACTCCAGCATCCTTCTCATGTCCGCATGAGTTTTGTCCCCATCCATTTAAAACACACTGTCTCAGCGTGGATTCAGAATTAGAACACTGAACATCACTGAGCCACACAGGCCCTGATCCCTGGCCAAAATAAGCCCCCGTCTTTGATCCAGAGACAGAACCACAGCCCATCTCTTTACAAATCACAGCAGCATCTGACAGATCCCAGCCATCACTACACACTGTTCCCCACTGACCATCATTGAGGACCTCCACACGTCCAGAACATGGGTTAGTGCCATTCGCCAGCCTAACAAGGGCTAAAAGAGCAGTGGAAATATATCAATCATTTGTTGGTAACACTTTACTTGAAGGGGTGTTCATCAGACTGTTATGAGCCCTTTTTTATGCATACTTATGCCCTATTATTGTGTCTTCTGGAACTGTATTTGTCATTAAAATGTCTCATTGTGTCATTACTGTCAAATGCTTTTTAACAACATCATTAATATTTTATTTTAATGACAAATTCAGCTTGTACTACTGTATTTAAGGTCAAAAATATTAATGAGGCTGTTTTAAAATTCATGACACATTTATAATGGCTTTACAATAGCATTATGCCAAGTTTTGTTGTCTTGGTAATGTTAAGTCGTCATGATTAAGACAAAAACAGGTTGTGAAGCATTCATTTATGTCAAGTTATCATGACAAACAATGTCATCTTTGCATTTAAAATGTCATTAACTGAACGAATGACACTTAATGACAGTTGTAAGCATGCATAAAAATAAACATCCCTTCAAGTAAATACTTATCCAGTTGTTGCATGCAATTAAGTTCAGGTAATATTTGCAACTTACAATTACAGACAACTCCGGCATCCCTTGAATGGGCACAGTAAAACTCTCCCATTGTCTTAGATCCACAATTGCTCAATGTGGCCTCATTTCCCGAACAAGTCACACTGCTCAAATATACTATTCCAACACCTTCTCCGAAAAAAGCATTGCTATTTGCCTCTATAGCATCTCCACATCCCATCTCTCTACACACCACTGCAGCGTCTGACAGACTCCAGCCATCATCGCACACTGTTCCCCATTGAGCGTTTTTGTACTGATCGTAGAAAAAAACCTCCACTCGACCAGAGCAAGAGTTTTTACCATTCATCAGTCTGATTGTTTCACATGTGCTTGGCATGGCTTTGCCTAAAACTTAACATTGGGAGTGTTAGAAAAAGTGCCATAGTCTGTAAATTGGTGCTTGTTTGAGTGTGTTGTTACTTACTCAGAAACGAAATAAGCCACACGGAGCCTGACATAGCTCTTGATTAATTTCCACAAATGAGATGCCTAAAAAGATGGATAAATCAAATTACTGACATTAACCAGATATTAATATTGAGCCGGACATGCAGTTGAAGTCAAAATTATATAATTATTTAATGCTGTTTAACAGAGCAAGGAATTTTTCACAGTATTTGCTATAATATTTTTTCTTCTAGAGAAAGTCTTATTTGTTTTATTTAGGCTAGCATAAAAGCATAAAATAAGATCATACTTTAAAACTACTAATGAAAATTTGATATCTTAATAATAGTAAGCCAGTAGTTAACAGCATGAATTATCACCTAAACTAAAGTGTTTTCAAGTTATTTTAGGATTGTAGTAGTTTAATACTATAATATATTTGAGTCTTTAGTGTCATTTAATTAGGTTTACCTTTTTATAGACTTTCTGGATTCTCATTTTAAATTGTTTGTATATGTGTACCATACATCCATAGGTAAATGTGGAAATGAATGCAATACAAATCTTTTAAAAAATAGAAGTAGATATGAAGTGTATACCTACGATGGCCAGGTCTGCATAAGAGGCCACCCCATAGCCGATCCGAAATAGCTCAAATCAACATCAATAACCAATCAAAGGTAACCAAATGGGACCAAATTCAATAGTACACCAAATCTATCCTAATAGATGATAATTAATACCCTTAAATTAGCCCCACGGCTAATTTACTGTACTGAAGTACAATGGCCAATAAACCAAAGTCTCAAAACAAGCTCAATGGCTAATTAAAAATAATCCAAAACTAACCCTATGACCCAATGACCCGAGAAAATCTACCAAGACTAGTACTATGGCTAACAAAAATTATACCAAAACCAGTCACAAGAAATAAAAATCTAGTCCATCTAGTACAATGGCCAATCAAAAATAAACCTAAACTAGACAAAACAAACAAACAAAATCCCAAAACTAGTCCAATGGCCAATTAAAAACAAACTTAAACTAGGCAAAACAAATAAAATCCCAAGACTAGTCCAATGGCCAATCAAAAATAAACCTAAACCAGACAAAATAAACAAACAAAAACGAAGATTAGTCCAATGGCCAAACAAAAATAAAACAAAACTAGATAAAAAACAAACAAACAAACAAATCCCAGGACTAGACCAAAGGCCAATAAAAAATAAAATATCAAGATTAGTCCAATGGTCAATCAAAAATAAAACTAAACTAGACTAAACAAACAAACACAATCCCAAGACTAGTCCAATGGCCAAACAAAAGTAAATCAAAACTAGACAAAACTAACAAACAAACAAATCCCAAAACAAGTCCAATGGCCAATCAAGAATAAAATATCAAGACTAGTCCAATGGCCAATCAAAAATAAACGTAAACTAGACAAAACAAACAAAACCCCAAGAACAGTCCAATGGCCAAACAAAAGTAAACCAAAACTATACAAAACAAACAAAATCCCAAGACTAGTCCAATGGCCAAACAAAAGTAAACCTAAACTAGACAAAACAAACAATCCAAATCCCAAATCTAGTCCAATGACCAATCAAAAATCAAATCATGAGACTAGTCTAATGGCTAATCAAAAATATCCCAAAACTAGATCAATGAAAACAGTAAATTAAAAAATTACAATATACCAAAACAATCACAATGACCTATATTCAGTATATCAACACTCCAAATATGTCACCTCCATAAATGAAATAAATGTATTTTTAGTCACTCTGATGCATTATCCTAAATATCAACTTGAAAATCAACATACAGTGGCAATCATAAACATAGAGATGCAGTTTTATCATTAGAATAACATATTTCAATAAAACCATTTCATCCAACTATAAGTTCTTTATTATGTCAAAATAAACTAAATACAATGGAAACACTACTTCACAACCCTGTTTACATCATGCTATCAAATGTTTTCAATTGATCCACATTTGCAAAAAAAAAAAAAAAAAAATCACTAATAAAATAAAAAAAAAACTTTTGATATACTCACCTGCACCCTAAAATCCTCAAGCCTGCTCCACTGTTCCTAAATTGGTATGTCCAGTGCCTGATTATAAAAAAGCAATATTTAAATATCCCTCGGTTGAGGATCCTCCTAATCTTGATTTGGCTACTCCCACTGACACATTCTTCACAAAGTTGCAGATGCAATTAAATATATCTAACACAAGATAATGACATTAAGAAAACAAAACAAATGAAAAGTTCAATTAAAATCCATACAGTTTATTGATTTAAAGTTTATTACATAACTGAAGCAGACAGGGCAGATGCATACAAGTCATGCATTACACTGATTTGACTACTATTTAAATGGCATCTTAAGTCTTGTCAGTTGATTTGTTTTAGTAAGAAAATAACTTTGCATTCTGTCTCGAATTTGACCACTAATCCCTGCTGACCCTTACCCTAAAGAACCACAATTTCATTCATGCCAATGCAGCATGTTTTCTGTTGACTTGCAGAGAATTTGTTGAATTTTGCATGTGTTGTGCATCAGTGGGAAAATGTGCTCTATTAGTAAAAACACACAATACTGCAATCTAAATCAAATCTGTAAGTTGACTGAATTCAATTAAAACCAATGAGAAATATCTGATTATTATTATACAGTGATGACACTGATCTAGAATACCTGCACTCTGACAGAATGATGCTACTGTAATTTTGACAAATGCTCACATACACAAGACACCACATGAGTAAAGATATTTAAACATAAAACATTCACTTACCCCTACAACTTACTTATTCAATGTCCTGTCTTCTTTAACCTGCAGGCAAGCTTTATTCAATCACTGAACAATATGCCTTTATATATCCATACTGTTCCTGAGTCTGTCTAAAAACTCTCTTTAGAGAAAAAAAACTTTAGTACAAGTGTTATTTCCTTCAATCTTCGAGTTGCAAGCATGAAAAGATGTAGCACAGCGGCAAATATAAACTACAATACAGATTGTCCAAAATGCATGGTGAGAAAAATGTGCCTTTCAAAATGTACTAGTCCCCTTAAAAGGGACCTTATCAGCTTAATATAAAATAAAGTGAATTTTAGTACCTATGATAAAGTAATTTGTACCCTTAAGGTACTACTGAGCTCCTTCATGGGTATTTCACACTAATCCGCTACTTTGAATTTTATTCAAACAACATTTGGGTTTTAGAGTGATTTGTTCTGATGAATAAATAATGCAAAGTACTTAGTCTTGCCTTCCCGATTTAAGATACAAATGTTTTACTTTCAGCTTTTCAGTTCATTGCAACATTAAAGTTAGTGCTTAAACGCCAAACTGATTCTCATTTAGATCTAATTTCCTCATTTGGTTTGAATATAATTCACCTATAGTTCAATTTAATTTAAGTTTACTTGTAAAGCCCTTTTTACAATGATTATTGTTTCAACGCAGCTTTACAAAATGTGCACATTACTGCATTACAGTCGAATTAAGTTAGTTACAATCAAATGTAAATTATTTTATATAAATGTACTCACCCTGCATTTTTAGTGCATATAGGTGATGTCTAGGTGTACATGTTTAATGAAGTGTATTTGTCTATAAGTGCATGCTGTCCATGATGTCCACAATGATTAGCATCATTAAAGTCTACTTAGTAGTGAACCATAAGTGAATGACAGCCTAATATAAGATTGTGAATAAAACAATGCAAAACAAATGCATTGGTATGAAGAGAGCATTTATTAAAAATTGTATATCATAAAAAACAATCAAACTCAATCACCTGAGCTATATTACTTAACAGCATTTGTACTGTATGGTTTTACCTTAATATTTTAGTTTCACAAAATCTTTAGTAAGAACTTAAATTAAGCATTAAGCCTATACTAAGCCTATATTTATATTTTCATTGTGCTTTTCGACAATATAAGTCAATTACTTTAATTGCTTGTTTTTGTTTAATAGATTTAATCGCATGCATAAAAAATAATTGTATTAAACATATACATGCTGTAAAAAGTTTGACTTTAAAAAAGAGAGCAAAGTCATTGCCTTATAAAGTTAAGTCAATGGGTTTACTGTCTTTTTTAAGTAAAATCAACTCTTTACTTTTTAAGGCAACTGGTTTACTCACTTTTTTAATGTAAAGCAACTACTTGCTTTTTACAGTGTACTTTAGATTTTGAGAGCAATAATTATTAGGTGATCTACCCCTTGAAAGTGTAAGTAATCACTGCATATTTAAAGAGATGTGTTCCTATGTGTGTACAATACACTGACTCCTTGCTTTTCAAACTCAGACGGGCCAGTTCAGCTAATCATCTCGAGTCTTCATTTATCAGATAATGGCAGAGACTATGAAAATTATATCCATCCAAATTAGATTCTGTGTGGTATGGAAGCAAGTTTTCACCATTGATTTAAAAAATAAAATATAATCAACTTTTTATCCTACAATCCTGACTTTTTTCACTCCACATGTGAGTTTATATCTCACAACTCTTACATTTTCCTAGAACTGCATTATAGAAACTTTTTATTTACAGAATTGTGAAATAATCTAAAACAAAATAGTCTGTTATAAAGTCAGAAGTGCAAGATGTAAACCCGCAAATGTAAGATCCTAGTATTTTTTTTTACCTTACAATTGACTTAATGACTCGCAACTGCAATTCTGGGGAAATAGGTCCACTTTACATACTCTTTTCCTGCAATTATGAATATGTATTTCACAATTCAGTTTTAGTATGTATCATGCAACTCTAAAAAAAATATATAAAAAATAAAATAAAAAATGTTGTTAGTTTATATCTGCTCTATAAAACTTTTTTCTTGCAAATATTAAATATATTATTATTTATGAATCAAATTTTAAAACCAGAATTGCACGTTTATATCTGGGTTATACACTATTTTAACATTTTTCTTGAAATTATGATGATATATATTTCACAATTCTGTCTTAATTGTAGAGTCTGTATCATGCAGTATTTAGAAATAAAGACATGTGGGTTTTCGTCTCTGCATGATCTGAAACAAAGAGTGTTGTGTGTTGCTCAGCCTCCCACAGCACTAAATACTTTACCTGATCGATAAACATGGGTGGAAAATACCTCCATGTTCTACATTTTCTCGAACAGACTTGTACTGTAATGTTTGGGAGGTTTTTAGGATGATCATGTGACACTGATCGCTTTGGCCCATTCAGAAGGTTTGCTGTTGTATGAAATGTGGTGAGTTTCAGCTGCTGTTTTTCTTTGTGTGTTTTCCATCACCTCCTGTCCCTTAATGCTAATACCATCAGCTTGACCTGATCCTTTTCCCGCTGACCACACTGGACACTCCAGATCAGGACTCACTGAATAAGGGTTCTCCAAAACTCTAAGCACCCGTTGAACCTGAACACATTTAGAATATTGTTAATGCTTTGGCATTTAATATACAAAATTTGCAGCATATAAATTAAAACCACTGACCTCTGAGAAATCACCCTTTTCAGCTGCATCAATTGCATTCTGGGCAATATAGTTACGCAAAACCACAGCAGGATTGGTGGAGTTCATAAATCGAACCCTTTCTTTTTCTACTGAAGCAGGGTCACTTGCTTGATTACATTCAAAAGCCAGACGTTTCCTAAAGTGGTGAACAGAAAAAACGAGCTCAAAGTACTTGGATGTTTTGTTTAATACTCATATATTAATGAATATTTGAGGAGTTCAGATGCAAAAACCTCTAAAACTTTTTTCTCAGACTCTCATGTTTAGTAATTTCACTTTTATGACAAAGCATAGGTTATTTTCATTGCCTTTAATGTCAAATAACTGAAAATAAACATAGGGGACTGAGAAAAAAAATGCTCATTTTAGAAAAAAAATTGAAATGGCACTTTTTGCACGTAAACTCCTCATTTGCTTATTGATACCTGTATTGTTTGACCCATCTCTGCCAATGTTCTCTCTGCTTGACTTTTAGCTCCGCCTCACTGATCATCAGAAGCTCCCTCAGCCTGCCTATTTTCTCCAGCTGCTTAGTAACCTCTGGCTGATTGGCTACCATGTTGAACATTTCTGGATTTGTCTCCGCCATGGAGAGAATCATCTCCAACTCACTAAGAAATATAGCAGAAAATGAAATATATTAAGAAAACGTTTTAGGTAGTATTAAGTTTCTCCAAAAGAGTAGGACATCTTTTACATAGGAACACAAGGGAAAATGTAAAAAAAAAATCTTATCTTTATATTTAATGGCAGCATTCATTGACAATCTTCATGTCTAATACTATTAAAAAACATTCAGATGGACAAACACAAACTTTATTACATTTGACATTAATATAAGATACAAATTCCTAAATGTTTTCTGGCTAAATTTTACTAAACACCTTCAGTGAGCACTAGGGTAAACACAGGAGTTGAGAAAACAAAATAAATATGTTTTATTCCACGCCAACAATTATTTTGAATCAGTTTTTTTAGTTAAATTGTCTTCTTGACACTTCTCTAAGAAAATGAAATTGTTGTTTTGTTTTAATGAGAACCTACTGTATGAACATAAGGTCAACCAAACAGCTTTGATGCCAATTAAAGCATTAAAATAAGTAAATATAATTAGTGGATTATCCAGGAAAAACAATCATGCATTGTCAATATTTACATTCAATGAGGCTTTAGGACCTATAAAGTACTTGTAATCATATATTTTTAATCCTCAGGTTGTCAGTACCTATGTATGGGTCATAATGCTTCATTCTTATGCATCAATGTTTTCAGTCACTAAAACAAACTGCAATGCAAATTCATTCGGTAAACATACCAATTGTCTTGCCTTGATTTTCGTGCAATTTGCTGACAGCATTGAGAGAAGAATGCAGAGTACAAGGACATTAATTGTTTTGAAATGTTGACTAAAAAAAACAACAGAATCAAACACAGCACAGTCTGTTCATTGCATGTGTTTGCACTATTTCTGGTTACATTTTATTTTTAAACATAATAAAAGTTGTCCGACTTATTATGCAATTCTATAAGCACTTAAAGACATCAACTAGGGTTCAACTAAAATGATATTAATTTACTTATTCTCAGGGCATCTAAGATGTAGCTGATATCTTTATTCAGTTGAACACTGAGGGAGATTTTTTTGTTATTGTTGAATCTGTAATTCCTGGTTATTCATTAAATCAAAAGCTACTGGCACAAAACAAAAATAAAACACTGATAAAATAAACAAAAAAACATTTAAATACACTGATTTTTTTTTAATATTAATAACATTATTACCATTTAGTTACTTGCAAAAACAAAATGCTTTGCTAAATACTGTAATCAATTACTAGGAGCCATGGGTATTAATTGTGTTTTGCCTGTTTTTGTTTTTACTTACTCTGAAAGAAAGTTCCAGTAGACATTATCTTACAATTTACAAAACACCAATGTCCACAGATTTGGCTATTCCCTTTGCCATTACTTAAAAAATACACAGTAATACAATCAGAAACTTACTATAATAATAGAAAAGCATTGTGTTTACTGTTATCATAAAATAAATGTACAAGAATACTGCAAAATGAACTGTTACCCTATTTTTTGTTACACGACAGACACAAAGTGTTGCTCAAGCACTGGGCATGTATTTAATTACATTTAATTCCAGTCTTTTTTAGTTGTACTTGATAAGATTACAAGAATAACATAACATGTCTAACAATTTCATGATCAGGATAGCATTTCGACCTAATTATGAGCCAGGAAAAAAACCTGTTAAATGCTTCATTATCCTGATAGAAAAGCACACAACATTGTTGATTGTTATGAAGTTTAGACCCTGAGAGGGTGCCGGTCCCCTCACCCGGGCTGCATTGTAGGATGGTTTGCCACCTTTAGTTCCTCCAGCAATGCACACTGATCCACAATCAGTTCCACAACTGAGTCTGTATTGTCTTTCTCTGCAGGATCCCCAACAGGGCTGGATATGTCACTGAGCAGACGAAATGTGTTTGTGAAGTCTGCACCTGAAATGAAATCAACATTTAGATTAAACGTTTAGAGGACTCTACAACAACAAACACTTATTCCACTTCACTGAACATGAATTATCCTGTAAAATTGAAGTCAGAATTGAATGATTAGCCTGATTAATAAATAATTTATTATTAAAGTAATAATCTATTAGCCCACTGTTGTTTTTTTATATCTGTTAAACAAAAATAAGATTTTTTCAATGCACTTCTAAACATAATAGTTTTAATAATTCATTCCTGTTAACTGATTTCTTTTATCTGCCATGATGACTACATAATATTTGACTGGATATTTTATCAGGATGCTAGCATCCAGCTTAAAGTGATCACTGCACTCACATCACAGCGGCTAAAATACACACAAATGCGGTCCAACCTCTGTTTATACAGTTTATTGGCACGACTTGCACAAGTGATGGTCTTTTTGTTGCAACCATTGTATATCCAGTGCTTATAGCTGCTGTGATGTGAGCAGAGCAATCGTCACCTAGTGTCTCATCCAACCGTATGACCGCTGTCAGATGCTCCGCAAGTCTCCTGCAAATTCATGCTCTGTGACGGCTGCGAATTAGTGAAAATACCCGACGAGAGTGAATGAAAATGTGTTTTATGCATTATGCAGCTTGCAGCATCAAATTATGTATTCAATATCGGAGAATTACAATGACAAGGAATCAGTACTATGGAAAAAATGAATTAATTTTGATTACTTTTGTGTCTTTATTTTTTATTAGAAAAATGTTTAGACTAACAACAGATTAATCAATCTTTTTCTTTTGTATGATACCATAGATTGACCAGGCATACTTCTTTTTTACTGTGCTGCATACTTTTTAGAAGGAACCGCTGACAAGAGGGAAATAGCATATTTTAATAATTTAGTGCGGGGGCCCTTGTTCCAGACTGCTGTCGAATACGAAGTCTAGACATGTCACAAGGAGCATGATGCTTGTAGAAGTTGTGAAATATATTGAAGATGCACTTAATTGTTCAGTTCTGCGGAGAAGGGTTGCAGAAAGAGGAAGTATGTCTGGGGTACAAGAGCCAAAGGACTGCAAAATGACTGATAAGTGACGTTACACCAAAACTCCACCTGTTAATATCAGTTGTGTATATATGCTGGAGTCAGGGAAATGTATGTTAGTTGTGAACCTCCTGAATGTAATTCTTGTATTGCATTGGGGTAATGTAACCCAGAGCTCTGTCATCGAATTCTTCATTTGTGTCTAATAAATTATTATTTTGGCATTAAAGAAAACACTCTCCAGACTTTTTTTTTATTGAACACGCATGGAATTGGTTTGATATTGCAACAGTACTCAAAATCAACTACAAAAATCCTGATCGGAGCATCCCTAATTTAGAATTTTGAAAAACACTATATACAGTATAACTGCAGGTTAACTGTGTTTATATACTGCTAACCCTTTAAACAAGTGATTCTAAATGTAAAATAATGATGTGCCCCTTTTGTGAAGCTGCTTTGGAACGATAATTGATGTAAAAAGTGTTTTACAAATGAACTTGAATTGAATTGAGTATCATACAGTCAAACTGAAATATTTCCTTTCAGCTGTACCTGTAATGTGCATGGTCTTCAACATATCCGCCACCAGTTCCCCATCCTCTGGTTCTTGTTTTCGCAGTAGACCCAGCTTCTTCCTCATGTTGCCCAGGTAGAAGTCCTCATAAAGGGACATGAACTCATCTAAAATGACACCTGCTTTAATTGACTGGATCTCTGCACCAAGAGCTTCAGCCAAGCGTGCCAGGTTCCAGCGGCAGACATACGGCTGAGCTTCATAAGTATAGCGGCCCTTCTTATCAGAGGCATTGCACACAAACTCAGGGTCAAACCTGCAATTAAAGAGATAGTTCACTCAAAATTTTCCTCTGTTAAGCATCTAAACATAGATGGCTTGGCTACAAAAAAAGTTACATTTGGGCTGTCAGTGAAAATTTGACAGACAAAGTAACCCATAATTACACAACACATCAATGAATGAATACATATGTGAAGTTTTTTTAATCTAGTCTGTCTAGCCTGTTTAGTATGTCTGTCTAGTCTCTGCATTTGACGACTAGACTTGTCCAAACATCTAGACATCTATTAGACTTGTTTTAAACACTTGCTGGGATTCACTGTAATTTACATCGCAATTTCTGTAGCTCAATAAGAGCTTGACCAACCTGTCCATGAAGCCGAAGGGGCCATAGTCTATAGTGAGCCCCAGGATACTCATGTTGTCTGTGTTGAGAACACCATGGCAAAATCCCACACTTTGCCACAGGGCAACCAGTTTGGCAGTTCTTACAGTCACCTAGTAGGGTCACAGAACAGAGTGCATTTTTTCACTCCTTTTCATGAGGATTTTAAAAACATCTTCCTTCATAAAGTATTATAAGCCATAAAATATCACCAACCAGCTATAAGGAGAACCAAAACAATTACCAAATTAGCTTTGAAGTTATGATATCTAATCTTTAATATGCATATGTATTATATATAGACCGTATCCAACATTGTCAATGCAGTCAAATTCATAACATTCTTATAATTATAATTTAATGTCTTCTTCTAATACATACTGATTAACCCTTGCTTTAGAATAATAACAATAGTAGCACAATATATATTATAGTGAAAACCTCTCTGAAGAAGGCAGCATTCCTCTCTTTGCGGTCTAAATGTCCTCTCTGTATTTCAGGGTAGAATGTTTCAATGACATAATCCAGAAGTCCTGCACGAATATCAGGCCGTCCCACACTAGGGCCTTGTCTTCCAGTGAAATCATCCAGAGGGTGGAAGATCTCAAACGAGCCAAATCTGGCGAACAACATAGAAAAATGAAGGTCATCATAAGTCTATCTATATTATTAAGCACAGTTAGAACTATTTAAAATATTTAATGAGACTACAAGTGTGGAAGTGTTTCATCATTGGCTAATATATATATATATATATATATATATATATATATATATATATATATATATATATATATATATATATATATATATATATATATATATATATAAAAGGATGATGCCAGATAAAAATTTTTTTCCAACTTAAAAACATACTACAGTAATTTACAGTAAATACTACAGTGTTTTTGAAAAACAGTAAGGTAAAGAGTATTATACTGTATATTAAATGATAAAGAATGCTTCTGCATACTGTAGTATTAACTATAGTAAACTGATAAACAGTAATAAATACAGTAGCATACTTTAGTTTTTACTACACAATATAGTACACTATACTTACTGTATTTTATATAGTTTACATACGAGTAGCATCTAAAATTAAAGAAAAAGAGGTATAATGGGAGATTTAAAGCAACACGCTGAAAAACGCTTGAACAAAATATTACAGTTTAATGGATGTTTCAGGATTTTAGGAATTGTTTCACTTTTATAACTTGGCATTGTGTCCAAGCCATGAGTCTCAAACTCAGTATCTGGAGGGTACTTATTATTTTTAGTTGAGTTTTCAGTGTAAACTCACCACTTACACTATTTATACTACAAAATTGCGTAAAGTAGTGCATAAGAATGCAATTTGGGATGCACCTAGAGTCTCGAACACCTTGATTAGTTGCATCAGCTGTTTTTGGTTAGGGCTGGAGTGAAACTGAGCAGAGCTACGGCCCTCCAGGAATCGAGTTTGAGACCCATGCAGTAGTGTTGTGAGATTAGTAAACAGAGTTCTCAACCTGATGAAGGTGGGTGCGATTCTGAGCACCACCGAGCACCTCTCTGGTTTGGGATTGCCACTGTAAAACTCATCCCTCTGGACATAAAGGTCAGAGGTCACTAGAGATCCTGCTCGTGTTGTGGGAATTCCCAAAGCAAACATGGCCTCACTGCACAGGAACTCCCGAATGCTGGAGCGCAGCACTTTACGTCCATCAGACAGCCTAAAATATAGATATTCAAGCTTTTAAGGCATTTATTGCACTTACTAATTTTTTTAAGGTAAGTTGCTGCAAACACTTTATATGGGCTGAATTTAAACAAATTAAAGGTAGTAATGTTCAACTTCATTTGTTTTATATAAATTCAGCCCATATAAAATGCTTGCAACTTACCTTAAAAATGTAGTAAATGCAATGAATCATTTTTTTCAGAGCACATGTGTCATTATGGCTGTAAGGGTTTTATAACTCATGGAATGTTATTCTTGAATGAGAAATTTAATGCATCTATTGTTGGGTTAAGAGCGGATTAGTGCTCATTATTCAGCATGAAAAAGGGATTTCCTTGAGTTAGACCACAATCCAGCCATTGTGAGACTGAAAATCCATACAGCATGTTTCTAAGAATTCTTTTGCTGTGAAATGGAGTTTAAAAAACAAATAATTTTATTACTTAAGGATAAAAAATGAAATTAATAAAATGTCAAATAAAATATCTAATGAACATTTAAACATTAGCAAATTTTAATATTCAAAATGCAATTGTTTTATTATAGCCTATACATTTTTCTGTTAATGCACTAATATATATCTAAATATACAGCTCTTACTTGCATTTCTTTAGTAAATACAGCCTATTTAAAATGTAAGTATGAATAAATGACTGTAAATTATAATTATTTAAAGAAACTGAATGTTTGCTAAAGGATCATGTGACATGAGAACCACACAGAAAACTGTCATTTTAGCTTGCTATATATATTGCTAATTAAATATCACCCCTTTTAATAGTTTTTTAATCAGATATAAGCCTTGGTAAGCAAAAAACATGATCAAATCTTAATATTTGAAAATTTCTACTGTGCAAAATTGCATGCAATGTGAGGCATAAGCAACTCTCAAAGAATAAGTCGTCAGTCCAGCACCTTTAACCTGAGTTTCCCACTTCTTTATTAAATATAGCCTATTTAAAGTTTAAGTATAAAAAAATTACTACAAAAAAATAAGTACTTTAAAGTTTATGGAATGTTTACCGAAGGAACATGTGATCTACGAATATCTCAAAGAAAATGTATTTTTAACTTGCTATATGGTCATTTAGACCTATTTAATAATGTTTTTGATCAGAAATAAGACTTGGTAAGCAGAAATCATGATCAAATCTTAATGCTACCATACTTTAACTGTACAAAATTGCTTGCAAAGTGAGGCCAAAGTAATTACCTAGAATAAGGGGTCAGTCCAGCGCCTTTAACCTGAATTTCCCACCGACCACAAGGACTTGTTCTGTTCGGATCAGTAGTTTGCTCAGCCCCGACCTCCACCTCCACTTCCCCCAAATAACACACAGCCCCATCCCCCAGTTGTCCTGCGAACTGACCGAACTGGTGTCCACAATAGCAGTGTGCAGCGGGCTCAGACCCCTGTATCAGCCGAGACCCACTCAGATATTCTGCCGCATGTGGGTCCTGTAAAACATCTTCCACCTTCAATCCCAGTAAAGCAAGAGCCGGTCCCGACAAGGCAACAATTGTTGGTTTGATCAGCGCCTGTGGCTTTACTAGAGAAAAACATGCTGCTTTTACCGTCCTTGAGCCCGGTTCTAGAGATGAATCCACTGGCAGTGCTTTTAAAGCAACGTTATTGAACTTCAGTCTTTCCAGAGGAGTTAAACTTTGGTCCATTCTGAGACTAATGAGAGCTGCAGCTGCCCTGCTCAACAATAACATAATCCTGTAGAAGATTAATGACTCAACACTGAGCACACAGTAGGCTACACACATCCATCCTATCTATCTATCTGTATGTCTGTCTATCCATCCATCCATCCGTCCGTCCGTCCGTCCGTCCGTCCGTCCGTCCGTCCGCCCGCCCGCCCATCTATCTATCTATCTATCTATCTATCTATCTATCTATCTATCTATCTATCTATCTATCTATCTATCTATCTATCTATCTATCTATCTATCTATCTATCTATCTATCTATCTATCTATCTATCTATCTATCTATCTATCTATCTATCTATCTATCTATCTATCTATCTATCTGTCTTATCTGTCTATATATCTAATAAATGTTCCATCAATAGTCATCTAATCATCTGAGGGATCTAATCAAAGTTGCTTGCAGCTTGAGGTGGATGTAATCCTCTTTGTGCCTCAGGTCATTAAACAGGCAGACAGCAGTGACTCTCCCGGATGATTCATCACTTGCTGGTAATTGCTGTAGGGGTTGTGATGAAGAAATATAGACTCTCATAAATAAGCTTGTTTGATATTCCAGATTGAGGTTCGGCCAGCTAACTTTGGGAAATCAAAACATAAATCAGATGTCTATTCATTTTAGAAAGCAATAAAGCATAGCGCTCCGCCACGCCAGCCAGGAAACCAGATGGAGCTGCGCATAGTAAATACAAAATTGGATTGTGTCTAGTTAATAGCAGTTGGCATGCACATTTTTAGAAATGGCACATTGCAGTTAAAGAGATAGTTCAGCCCACAAAAAAAGTGCTATTAATAATAATGCTATTCAATCCTCAGGACACCCAACATAGGTATCCTTTTTCTTCAATAGCACAATACAAATGTTTTTGCTAAAAATGTGGTCTGTGGTGATTCATAAAATGCAAGACAACCAGCAATTAGAGAAAACAAACAAACAAAAAACAGACAAAACAACACAGTCGTCATAGTCAACTGTAGAAGAGTCCTGTCACATAATTTATGCATGCACAGTTTTATTATTGTTTTGGCTGTATATGTTTTTATTTTCAACTTTCAAAGTGACAGTAGCCACATTTTATGTGTCATAAATATATAATAAACATATTTTATTATCTTGTTTGTTTTAGAACATTACATGAAATGGTTTCAGAATGATCTGAAAACAGTGTCCCTAAAATAATTAGGTTTCATGCAACAACATTGTGCTCTTTGTCATGCATTGTGCCTCATAATTAGATTTAACATTAATTTTTAAGAACAAAACACATTTCTTTCTATCTTCTATCTTTTATTTAATATTTAATCAATAAACAGTTACGTTCCAGTGAAGCATTCAAGATCAAAAGAGTTAGTTTAGATGTTTCACAGTGAATAAAACGACATGCACTACAACTTCTAATGGACCATTAATAAAAACTATTTACAGAATACATATGAAACAATGGTATTGATGGCTGTTTTGTACATATTATAATATTTCAGAACATTTATGGACATATCAAAGGATTACCTTTAACTAATCTACTGACACCACTCTTTATGTTTTGTTTTACTTTAGATTACTAATGGACAAAAACACAAGTCATTCAGAGTCATGCAGGGTAAATATCCTCAATGCACAAATATTTAAGTTACGCTCTAGTCTACCTTAATGTTCAGTCAAATGTTTACGACACATTTGCGGATGTTTATTTGTCCATAAAATGTAGCTGGTAATACGAAAGTCCAGGCAAGGGAAAATCACCATGCTTTTTTTTTTTATTTCAGCGGGCTTGTCTTCGCGGTCTGGGTGAAAGACGATTGGCAAGCAAACATGCAAGAGCTATACCTGCCACCTGGGTGAATGCAAGACCCAGAACTGTTGCTGCAATGTGAAAAACGTTATCATTAACCAAGCTGAAAACCTTGCGGAAACAACCGTGACCGTGAATCCCGGCTAGCTCAATATCTGCGTCAATATATTCGGGTAAGGGTCTGTTGCGGCAGCCTTTGCGTTTCATACAGCAGCTGTCTGGTAAGGACACAACGGACGTTTCGTTTCCCACAATTCCAAAATCTTGAACAGCCCACTCGGAAATTAGCCAATCTCGCCAACTCTCAGCGCCACAGCACTTTAGCGCCCTCTGCAGGCTGTCGAGTGCATCTGCACGGCCTTCATCTTCACCATAGTCCAATACGGCTCTCTGAAGTCCACTACGAAAACCTTCGGCAATATCCTCTCTATAGAAGAGCCCCGAAAGACCCGCTGCTAATCCACCCATGAGCGTCACAAACTGAAACAAGCCATACGCTCGAAGAAGGTGCGGAAGATTAGCAGCAACTCCCAAGCATCCTAAAAAGCCCCAAGTGGTCACTGCAGCACCTGTGCCTAACAATATAATGGGAGCGTTTGGATAGCGGTTTGCCGACAGTAGCATGTAGTCGGATAGCGAAGCATGCGCCCATACGCCCAGAGTGAAGATCGCAAGGCCTGCTGCCCAAAAGAGGAAGCTGAAAATGAGGAGTGCGAGGCGCAGCAAGGGCATGACTCCCACCGCACGACAACACGGCGGTGCAGTACCAATCGTAGGCACAGGGGGCGCCAGAGATGCCTCCGAACACAGCGATAACGAAAGACGCTGCAGCTGGTCGCCGTACTCTCGGGAAGGTGACAGCAGATAACCAGGCAGCGCTGAGGGTCGTCTGGAAACTGAAGGTAGTGCAGGTCGCAGCGGAGAAGAAAGTCTCTGATTGCCGTGTAACTCTCGTTCCCAATCCTTCGCACGACAGGGACTCGGCCGAGCTGGCAGAGAGTCATACGGCGGTGCAGAGCTCATGGCCCCGTCTTTATCTACCGCCATTTCACTCTCTCTCTTACTCCTCCCTTTGTTTCTCCATCCCTCCTTCAGTTTTATGGCTGGTCATCAACCCACCGGTGCCTATTCACACCATAAATCGTCTGTGGATGAACGCATGGCAGGCTTATCTCCGTCTGCAGATTCTGTTTCGATGTTTATTTCCGACATTTCTTACACTCTCCTGCTGCTGCAGTGGCGTGTGGCTGTACTGCGTCTCTGATGGTGTGTGTGTGTGTGTGATTATATGGCTATGATGCTGTTAACCCACACCGCCCTGATCTCCCTCTACTGGTGCAGGAGGCTCCGCTTCAGGGTCATAAATGTCTGCTCTGATCAATTTGTGGCCTTAATAGGTCTTTAATAAGCAAATGTCTGTACAACACTGGTATTGATTTGTCTCTAGATTGAATCTCACAGATAGTCTGCATTAATCATTCATGCTGTGTGTACATATTCAAGGACATCGCTTTACAGCTTTACTGAAGGCTGTGAACAATTTTTTTTGTTAAGAGGATGTTGGCACATTTACTAGGACTAAAATATGCTAAACTTGTCGTTGTGTAATGCCCAAACACTATATATTGAAAAAATATCATTTAAACTTTAATATACATATAATAGATTTTGAGTTAAGTAATATGAATCTCAAGTATTTCTGCACAAGGATAATATGTGACCCTGGTCTTATGTTGTACAGGGAATAGCCAAAAATACACAGTTTGGGTCAAAATAATTTATTTTTATCTCAAAAACAATTTGTATATGAAGTGAGGAGCAAGTTCTGATTTCTGATTAGAAATTTTCATTTCTAAGAACTTAATTTCAACAACTTTAAAGGCAATTTTCTTAATATTAAGATTTTTTGTTCTCTCAGATTCCAAAAAGTGTCTCTAATAAGTGGAAAGTTCGTTCATTCAAATGTATAAGTCATGTATAAATCTCAATTACAGAAAACTGACCCTTGAATGGTTCTGTGCTTCAGTTATATTTACTGTACATTCGTCTGCACATAATATAATTAATTTAAAGCATAGGATGGAAGAAGCTTTTTACCTTAACTGTATCTTCTGTTGTCGTCCAATGTGCTCCAATTCAATTAATCTACAACAGCAAAATAAAATATTAACAGACCTCCCAACTCAAGCAATCCGACAAAACACCTTTTATATGCACTATCAATTCTCTAACCTTCACTCCAGTCATGACTACACAGATAGCATAATCTGTTCAGCCAATAAATCTACCTTTTTTGAGTAATGAAGAACAATTTCCTTGACTTGACTGAACTTTTTCAAATTATTCTTTAATAAACATTTTGTTTATCCTACACACTTTATCACACTCAAGCCAGACTATGACCTTAACATATAACAAAAAATAAGAAAATATCATCTCTATATTTTTATTTATCATTAGCACCTTGTCACAATATAGTTTGGCCTGTTGTATGCATGCACACAGGAAAGACTCGATATCACTCTTGAAGATAGGTCACCCAAAAACGAAAAATTGTTCACAAAAAAATGTTACTCACTTTCAGTCAAGTGGTTCAAAACCTTTCTGAGTTTTTCTTTTTTGTATAACACAAAATAAAATATTCTGAAAACTGTAAAAAAAAGACACACCAAACAGTTATGGAGATAAACAATTATGCACATCGCCTACAGTGCTTAGCATATTTGAGTACACCCCTTTTTGAAAATGAATATTTTTACCATTTCTCAGTGAATATAGGCAGTGTATTTTGGTGCATATATTTATTAAAATAATATTTTAGTCACCAAACTAAATTCACCAATTTAAATTCATGCAAAATGTTGCAAAAAATTACAAATTTTCCTTTTTTTGTTGTTGTTTCTCTTAATTTTTCCTCTTTTTTATTTGTATTTAATATTTTTCTATATCATAAATGTGGATGTTCTAGTTTTTAGACTGTTATTTAAAATTATTTTGCCAGATAAGCTCCAGATTTGGCATTACTACTGTTTTGTCGCACAATTAGCAAATTGCCTCATCCAAATTTACTGCCTCACCCTTTTAGTTCGGTCGAAACCCAAAACTACAAGCATTTGTGTTCTTTTACGAGACCAGGTCACTTGGTGCACGACTCTCTTTCTCCCCAATGGTGGCCCATGATGACTATCACGCAGACGCAGTTTCAGGCATTAAATAAATTATATTTAATATTTAACTCTTGTCTCCGATATGCAGTAAGTGCATTATTTTTATGATAGTGTAACAGTATTGATACCATTGCTAATTTTAGATCCTGTAGTATACCATATTACCGCCCAAGCCTAATAACTAATAACCTGAACTTTTCCTAATGCGATTTTAATGCAATAATGTGCATCTTTTGCAAAGATGAAACAATTATTGTAAAAAGTGCAATACAAAAACACTTTAATTTAATTATGGAGGTCAATAGACATATATAGAATAAATATATATATATATATATATATATATATATATATATATATATATATATATATATATATATATATATATACACACAGTTGAAGAATTACAAGGCCCCCTTTAACTGAGTAAGGAATTTTTCACAGTATGTCTGATAATATTTTTTCTTCTAGAGAAAGTCTTATTTGCTTTATTTCGGCTAGAATAAAAGCAGTTTTTAATTTTTTTAACACCATTTTAAGGTCAAAATTATATGCCCATTTAAGCATTTTTTTTTGACAGTCTACAGAACAAACCACCCTTATATAATAACTTGCCTAATCACCCTAACCTCTAAGCCTTTAAATGTCACTTTAAGCTGTATAGAAGTGTCTTGAAAAATATCTAGTCAAATATTATTTACTGTCATCATGGCAAAGATAAAATAAATCAGTTATTAGAAATGAGTTATTAAAACTATTATGTTTAGAAATGTGTTGAAAAAATCTGCTCTCTGTTAAACAGAAATTGGGGAAAAACTAAACAGGAGGTCTAATAATTTAGGGGGGCTGATAATTCTGACTTCAACTGTATATATTAATATAATATAAAAACAGATGAACTCAGACATGTTTAAAAAAACAAGTGAAAGGTGAGTAAACGATAACATAACTTAAATGCTTTGATGAACAGCCCCTATAATGAAGACGATGATCCATATTTATAACGTAATAACAGAGCAGTATCTCCCTCAGCAGATGTTCGAAACAGCTCAGGAAATGTGAGTTCCCCTTTCTACAGCCTCATTCTCCTTCATTACTCCATCCACAGAGCTTTATTACCTTCATCTCCTTAAATTAATGTGTTTATGAATGGAGGTGCTCCTCGGGAAAGCCATCTGTTGATGATAAATGGACTCTCTGTAAAGTGAGGGAATATCATGTTTAATTCCAGACCCTTTTTACGCAAGATATACTTTAATTATAACTGTATACTGTATTTTACGACTCTCCGGTTAGTTATTTTATTCTGTAAATCTAAAACTATTTTTATTGTGTATTAGGAATTCCACTGTTTTAGATTAGATTCAACGCTATTGTCATTACACATGTACAAGGCAACAAAATGCCATTTAGGTCAAACCAGAAATGCAATAGCAGCAAGTGCAGGATACAGGTATAAGTTATAAAGAGCAATTATAGAAAAACAATGGGTAATATTTATAGATGGATGTACTATGAACATACAGGTTGAACAGAGATTTATAAAAGATGAATATGTGTACAGGTCGCTACTAATAACCAGGGTATGCAGATAGATATGAACATAATTACAAATGTTATTGTATTATATGTATATAGTGGGTATTTACAATGTTTGACAGTAGAAGTTGGGTATGTTTGGACTATTTGGGTATGTTTGACAGTACTTACTCTTGAGTTAATTCCTTGTAGGTTTAAAGTTGGTCGTAACTAGTCTAATGTCCTGAATACTTCAATCCCTTGCAAATGTATTTTGTTTAACAACATGAGTTTGTCTACCGTTCTCCGCCAGACCTGAGGCGGACGGTGTCGTGCACGTTTAAACCCTTACAAAAGCGCGGAATATTGACCCACATCCGGCTACTTCCGGTTTCGCGGTTGAGCGTTGTTGTTCGTTGCTTCGGTCAACTTCACGACAATCGTACACCGTCTATTATGATTTAACCAAGTGATGCGAAGCGATCAGAGGTCGACTAAAAGACAATTATAAGTTTATTCTAACATCAAATAATGGATATCCTTAACGTAGAGAGTCGAGAGCCGGGTGAGTTTCATTAGCCTTTGAGCTAAATGCTAAGAGAGTGAAGCTAGCACAACCAATCCTATTAAAGTTACTCGCACCTCACAACTCGAGCATATTTCTTCAAACTAATATTATTTTTAAAAAGCCTTATGAATTAAAGTCGCATTTAATAATTGTAGTTGATATAACTGGCACTGTATTACTTTTGAAATTAACATTAAAACGTTCATGGTGTATAAAGAGAGACTATATTTACAATCTGACTAGTACATTAGCTCTGTTTGAAAACCAATGCTAATTGTGGAAGCTGTCATTTAAATAATATGTAAGTTATTATATTAAATTCTGCAGCATGCATGTAAAAGTTAATGCACAACCCAAAGTTTAGATTTATATAAGGTTTGCACATCTATCTTAAGCACAATTGTGAACCAGATATCTTTTTGAATAGTAGTATAGAATAACAATGGCTACTCTCTTTAAAAATTCTGACTTAATAAATGTTCTGCATGGATTCATTGCAAATCTGCAGATTAATTATTAAGATGTTGTACTTGTCTGTGATATTAATCTGCAACACTTTGTTTCTCTCCTAAGCTCTCCCTCTCTCTGCCCTGCGTCTGGTTGTTCCACCTCTCCGGCTGATGTCAGCATTTCTATGGCAGGTGATTCAGCGGCGCAATGTGACACAGTACGGGAAACTGGAGCAATTTGTAAATCTGGTGACAGAGAACGTTCCAGACATCATGAGTCGGAGTCTGGTTAATAAACTAATCTTTCACATGAGAAAAAAGGTACTTTTTTGATAAACAATTATTGTAATCTATTTTTATTTTGGTATATATTATATACTTGTTCCACATAAAGCCCAGTTTGTTTTACAGATTACTTTTTATTCTTTAGGTGATCCTAGAGCTTTGTCTGAAAGATAAAATGCCAGATCTGTGGATCATTCAGGCACATCTGGATTCTCTCCGAAATCTCACACACAAAGTAACTATTGTTGATTTTTGTAATCACACTAACCGTGCGCAAAACTTTGCACCGCATAAGTAATCAACACCTTATTTCTGCTTTGTATTTTGCAGTGTAAAGATGTGGAAAGTGAGATCATCAATAACAAATTCATTAGAACGATGCACAGCATTTTAGAAGACACAGAAAAGAAAGAGGATTTCCTCCAGGTTAGATTTACTCACCTCCTTTTTCTTGTCGTTTCTTTTCACTTCATCTTTCTGTATAAAGCATGCACAAAATTATTCATTTTCCATGTTTCACCCCGTCTTCAGCACATATTCCCTGTAGAATATGGTTCAGGATATGATGCAGTTTTACAGAGTCTTGCATGGGAGTTTCTGTCTCGAGTGGAAGATCTGCTGCCGGTGCCCAATCTTAAAGAGGTGTGTGCTCAAACCATATTGCATTCTCCATAGCATGTGTACTTATTTTGAATGAGAAATGATGCATAAATAGGGCAATTATAACCTATTTACAATTACTATGCAATATTATATTCTTTTTCGCACCATAATAATTGCTGTAATTTCGCTGTACTAAGTACTCAGTATAGTGACAACAATACAGAATCTTGAATCTAACATGCAAAAACGAAAGGTAAATCTGATCTCACGACTCTTTCAGACAGCTTCCCGGCTCTGCGGTGGCCTCTCGATGATGGAGGAGATCGTGCAGCCACTCTCAGACCCAGCTGAAATCAAGGATGTGCTCCAGCACTTTAAAAGCAAAAGACTGCACACAATAAACAATGAGGACTCTCCCAGAGTTATCAGTGAAAGTGAGCCTTACCGTGTGTTTGCTTGTTCTGAATTAAACATACAGAGATTTACATTAACATGAAACTGGCAGAATAAATAGGGATGTGCGATATTTACATGTATCTAAATATATAATTTATGCAGGATTTGTTCAATAATGATAGAGATGTTGTTTTCAAAGCTACTGACTCTATTGTCAGCTTAATAGAGTTAAAACAACAGTGAAAATATTAACAGTCAATACATCTACATTGATAGTCTCAAGCCAGAAGGCCACAGCTCTGCACAGTTCAGCTCCAACACACACTTGCTTAATAGTTTCTAGTAGTCTTAAACACCTTAATTAGCTGGATCAGCTGTGTTCAACTATAGAGCAGAGCTGCGGTCCTCCAGGAATCGAGTTTTAGACCAATGGTTTACATGGACATCAATACTCCAATTTTAATATGATTCATACAATACTCTGGTTAAGAATCTACGTATGAAAGAGCAAAGGAAGCCTCATGGTGGAGAATTTATATCCACCATTGTCTGTTTGCACGTACAGCATGCTAAATGAACGGCATTTGAAGATGTCAAATTAAAAATGAAACACTGTTGATGCATGACACTCCAAATTAAATGGATAGCGCTGTGTGGTGATGTAATTACGAGTACGTTCACTTGGACACCAATAATCAGATTTAATGCGATTTAAGACAGTACTCTGATAAAAAAGTCTACCATGTAAACAGCAATTTTTGATTCATTTACTCCGATTAAGGTCATAATCGAACTAAAGAGAAATAGAATTAAGACGTGGAGTGTGCCGATTTTAGTCGCATTATTGAAGTGCAGAACAGACATGTAAACACCGCAGTCAAACTATTACAGTCATGTAGGACTTTTCGCCGCATTTTGCAACAGGATAGTCCACACACATAGCTGCATCCAATATCTCGTTTGTCATGGGAGCATGCATAAAATGTTCCCTAAAGTGAAAGTGCTGAACTGCAGTTAAAGTCGACAAATTAAAAATGAAACGCCTGAAATTGCATGAAACTCTGGGGGAAATGTGGATAGCGCGGTGACGCAATGACGTTAATTGAGTTGTGTTATAACATGTAAAATGGGATCATGAAAGGAACATTTAAAAAGCAACTCATGTAATTACTGTCTTAATTAGCTTAAGCCAAATAATTCAAGTACTGATGTAAACGTAGTCCCTAAACGATCTACATGATATACAGTGTAAAATGGGGACATTCTAAAAGCAACTAATGTAAACCCCTTAGTTATTGTATTGTCTTATTCAGATGAATGTAAATAATTTGATTATTATTGTCCATGTAAACCAGGAGTCACCAAACTTGTTCCTGAAGGGCCGGTGTCCTGCAGATTTTAGCTCCAACCCTAATCAAACACACCTGAACACGCTAGTCAAGGTCTTACTAGGTATACTTAAAACACCCAGGCAGGTGTGTTAAGGCAAGTTGGAGCTAAATCCTGCAGAGACACCGGCCCTCCAGAACCGAGATTGGTGACCCCTGATGTAAACAGTCACTTAAGGAAAATATCGCACACCTCTAGTCTACATCATTTTTTGCCGCAAAAAATGAAATTATAAATATAGGAAGAAATGTCGCCCATAAACTTGTTGAAGGTATTGCTGTGTAGATATAATTGATAAGTTTTTGTTTTTCTTTTCATCTGAACAGTGTCCATTCCCTCTGCAGCGGAAGTAGTTTGTTTGCCTCATCCAATCGCACAAGAAACAATGTCCCCTACCATTACCATCGAGCAAGAGGAACCTCTGCCTCCCACTTCCATTGCACAAGAGACGATTATCATTGAATCCGAAGCCACAGAGAACCAATCCGAATCAGATCACGCTGCCATCGCTATAATGAGCCCCTCTCAGAGCTACACAGAAGAAGCAGAGACTTTAGCTGTCACTGAGGAGTTTGCGACAATAGAAGAAGCAGAGGACGGATTACAACAAGAGGAGACTCTCTGCGAAGAGAAAGACTCGGGTATATGTGAAGTCCAGCAGATCTATCTCACCGCCGACGGCTCTACGGTAGTGGTGTCAGAGTTTGATAATGAAGGAGAGGAAGTGCAGTTTCTCGAGCAATCAGAAATGGTGGAAACGCCTGGTGTGCGGCAGGTCAGTTTAGAGCAGTGGATATCAGAGTTGACTGGAAAGGGCGTCTCACTGCCTGTTTTGCCTCCGACTCCTGTTGAGATCGTGAGGGAGGAGACCATCTTCGTTCCTGTCATAGAAAGACCGCCATCTGTAAAGTCCATCATACACAGAAAAAGCAGTCCACCTAGAGCTGCGGTATCCAAAAAGTCAGCATCAGCCTCCCTGGAATCCCAAACAACACAGGATGAGAAAAGACACGCTTGTCCAGAGTGTCACAAAGAGTTTCGCTTCGAGTGCCTGCTCAGGAATCACATGCGCACACACACTGGCGAACGCCCGTTCCAGTGTTCGGACTGTGGAAAAAGCTTCAGGTGTCTGAGTTTCTTGACCAATCACATCAAAACACACTCGCTCGCCAGACCATTCAAATGCTCGCAATGCATCAAGACTTTCCGCAAGAAAGCCGACCTCATCAAGCACATCCGTGTGCACACTGGCGAAAAACCATACAAGTGCACAATCTGCGGCAAGAGTTTCTCGCAAGGCTCCTATTTGAAGATCCACCGCGAATGCCACACTTCAGAAAACCTCCACCAGTGTCCTCACTGCGACAAAAGTTTCCCCACAGCCTTTAAGCTGTCAATACACGTCCGCTACCATTCCATGGAGCGATCGTACAAGTGCAGCCAGTGTGGGAAGAGTTTCATCTACGCCAGCCTGCTCAGAAGACACAAAGGCTACCATGCAGGCGAGCGCCAGTATCTGTGCTCCATCTGCGGCAAGTCTTTCGTCTACATGTTCGACTTGAAAAAGCACCAGCGCAATCATGAAAGACCCAGACTTAAGATCCCGTGCACCCTTTGCCACAAGACGTTCGCTGGACCAGAGATGCTGAGATGCCACCTGCGTATACACACCGGAGAGCGGCCATTCCGTTGTAAAATATGCGGAAAGGCTTTTTCTCAGATTGGGAATATGAAGAGACATGAGCGCGTGCACACTGGCGAAAGACCGTTTACCTGTGAAAGATGCGGAAAGACTTATAAGCACTCGTCACATCTTAAGAACCACATGCTGAGCCATACAGGTGAGCGGCCGTGGCAGTGCTCCCACTGCGGAAAGAGCTTCAAGTTTGCCGGACCGCTGAAGAAGCATGAGAGGACGCATCTTGGGGAACGTGGGAATCGCAGAAGAAGCTACGACCAAACTCGGGGCCGTGCGAAGCCAGATCCCAAAAGCCCTTAACTGAACATCTCTATCTGGCTAATTAAAGTGACTAGTTAATCATGTAACTCATGGGTCTCAAACTCAATTCCTGGAGGGCCGCAGCTCTGCACAGTTTTCCTCCAAGCCTATCAAACACAGCTGATCCAATTAATCAAGGTGTTCAAAAGAGTTATGAACACCTTGATTAATGAGATCAGCTGTGTTTGATCAGGGTTGGTGTAGAGCTGCAACTCTCCAGGCCGTCGCGTTTGCGATCTATGGTGTAACTAATCACTACTTTAAAACAGGGGTGTCCAAACTCGGTCCTGGAGGGCCGGTGTCCTGCATATTTTACTTCCAACCCCAATTAAACACACCTGAACCAGATAATCAAGCTCTTTCTAGGTATACTAGAAACTTCCAGCCAGGTGTGTTGAAGGAGCTAAACTATGCAGGACACTGGCCCTCCAGGACCGAGTTTGGACACCCCTGCTTTAAAAGGAAACATGTTTTTTCAAACCATACTTGTTTAGGCAAGATACCTTTGTACTTTACATAGTTGATGGCATTTATGTTGATAACACTTAAAGGGATGATTAAAAAATTCAAATTTGCTGTTTATTTACTCTCTCTCAGGCCTTCAAATGTATTGTTGGTTGTATTTTTTTTTGTCTTTAGCATAACATTAGAAACTGTGGCCCTTGGTGATCTATAAAATAGTCAACTAGTACTTTGATGGTCACTCAAAAAAAAAGAGATGAAATAAATACCCCGTGGGTCCTGTCGAAGTACAAAGAGGCAAGATAGATGGTTGATGAGGCAGTTGAATCAAGGTCATGCTGAGTTCACACTCACAGATATTTGACTGAATAGAATATGCATATTTGGCGTGCTATGCGGGGAAAGGGCTCTGAGCTCGGGAAGACACCCTAACTCGTGTTGTTCCCTCATCAGGATAGAGCGAGATAAGGTCCGAGCCCAGTGTCTAGCCTGGCTCCAGAACGCTCCCCCCTCAGATTTAAATAGGTATCGGGTTTAATAGTGTGGAGTTGGGGTGGTGGAGGGACGCTGAAGTCGAGAGAAAACAGAGGTATGACGTGTTTGACTGTTTATAGGGGTTTGGTCATGAGCTGATTGGATAATAGAATAATTGTCTGATGAATTAGCCTGGTCAAAGACTGATCGTGCTCCTCCCGAAATTTGTTTATAAAACATTACTTTCAGCATTCAGTTACTTGTAGAATATTCAGTATTAAAGTTTTTTTTTTCCAGCATAAATTTATTTTTACTCTTGAAGGCCTGCTAGCTGTTGATTTCTAAATCACCAAGGACCAGTTTCAGCTCAAATATTCTTCAGTGTTATACTAAAGTGAAAAAGTTCATCTACATTTTGAACAGCCTGAGGGTTAGTAAGTTAATGGCAGATTTAAATATTTAGGTGAACTATCCCTTCAAGTCCAGAAAGCCTGTTGTCATAATCATTACGTTTTTTTTTTCAATCATGCTGGACAAAGAATCAGAAATAAATAATCTGTTTATTGCACAGTAAAATTCCTAAACAACACAGTGTTGGATTTAAACCATTGTTAATGTTTGTCTTGAAGCAGTATTTGTCTAGCAAAACTGTAATACTGTTCACTTTCCCATCATTGAGCAGAATGCATTGTATTGTTATATACAATTGGCTCATGCCAGTACACATTAGATATACTCTTAAAAAGAGATGGAGATGTGATCAATGAGCTTTGGCATTATCCTGTTTAACAGTGACGTAGCATTTGTATAATGTATATATTAAAATTTGTAACATCTAGCAAACATACTTTAAAAGATTATTCTTTCCTACCAAATGGTATTTCTTCAGTGTTTTATGATGCAAATATACAGTATAGGACTTTTTATGATCGGTTATGCACTTAGTTGACAGAAAAGCTCTGCAACAGGAGGAAAAAAAATGGATTGAATTTGGTCTAGTTATTTCATTATGATCCAAAATATGAAACTAATGAAATAATCCTGCTTTAAATTCAAACGCAAATCTTTTAATTCCTCAAATCAGATCTTGTGCATTATGGATGCATTAAAAATCTAAACTAAAAGAATGGCAAAACATTCAGTAAAATGACTAGTAGGCAGCTATTTACTTAAAATTTCAGTGTTTTTCCCCAGCAAGAACTTCTTTGTTTAAATAATAGATGTCTTAACTAGTACCAGGCGAAATTTGGGCTGTCAGTGAATATCTAATAGACATCTACCAATAGTGCAAAAGACAGACTTCACATGTTATCATTCAATCCTGTTTACTCTAGTTTTGAACTATTGTCTATTAGATTTTCACTTACAGCCCAAATTTAGCCTCGTTTTAGCCATGATGTCTATTTTTGGATGTCTATTGGACGTCTTTTAAGCACTAAATTGCTAAGTGGGTTTGCAGTCTGTGAAATAATAGCTCCAAACAACTTTCCCTCATGTTAACCATGTTTTTGCTTACTTCACACTACACTAATGCTGCCGCTGAGTCTCTTTGTTACTCAGTGGGCGTAATGGCAGTCACTTCTATAGTAACATCCATGCATATCCTCTTTAGTTCTGCAGATCTCTAAATTTTACCATGTGACCCTCTGAGACCAAATGACAACAGCATCATTAAAAAAAAAAAGTCCTTAATATGTAGAGCTATGCAGGATCGGTGTGCACATTTCTGTATGTCTGTTGACTGAGTGTGTTCTTACTCCGTTCTCCACAGTCCACATGATAGATACACCTCAGTTTACACTGTCTCAATGGCTCAGATATCCAGAAGTATGTCTCGCTCGGATGCATTAGTTTAGCATCGTCAGTCTGAAACAAAAAGCAACAATATTTTAACAAATGTTTTATCTAAATATCTATAGACCATTTTGAGCGATGTAAACAAAAACAATGGTCTTAACGTGTTTCCTGCTTTAAATGTTTAATTTCTATAGCTTCTAAGAATCCAAAAAGAGCCACATATTGATAAATAATGCTATGATAGCTGTTTTAACATTACATTTTGATTTAGTTGCCTCTTGTTACAGTTATGAAATAGTTTGAAAACAAGCTGGAAATTTTCATGAGCCAATGACCTGACCACATTGAAATGGTCTATGTATATATATATATGTATATATATATATATATATATGTATATATATTTCTTGGCACAAAAGTAGTTTTGGATCTGGGTCAAAGATTAAAACATTTAAAGGTAATATTTAAATAATTAAAAATAATTCTTGTACATTTGAATGTTTCCTGTTTTTACTTTCAAATATTTACGCAGATACATTTTTACCAAGCAGACATCCACTGTAAAATGTAATTTAGTGTCAGCTTACATGCAAAAAATCTGGCATTTTCAGAACGAGAATTATCTGCTAGCAAATTAAAACACTAATGCCCGATTTGCATGGAGCTTCAGCGTCAACGCTTGACAGAGGGTGTGTCTGAAGTTGGGGCTGAGGCTATCATCATAGCAGCATCAGCCAATGAAATTAGTCCGCAATCGGCTGCTCTATCTGAGCTGGAGTATTTGCATGAAGCGATCTGATTGGCTGACACTTGCAATGGCGCTTAAAAAGAAATTTCCAACTTCTGCAGTGAGCAATGCCAACAAATCCACAATTCAGATTGGAAAGCGTAACATCACCCATTCAAAGTGAAAGGGAATCGTTGGTGCTGACGCCCTGTGTAAATAGGATCACAATGTAGCCCCTAAACTTGGGTACTGTATATACAGGAATCAGAGAGTAAAATTTAATACATTTTAACACTTTTTAAAGACTCTCCATACATTTTAAAACCTCATCACCATTTTAGGCTGCATTGGCAACATTTTACTTGCAGTAAATTTACTAAATACTTACTGTAAGAAACTAATCCTGAACTATTTTTCATATGCTGAATAAAAATACTTATCCAGCAGCTAGCGCCTAATGGTGTTTCCTTGATTACTGCAGTCAACAAAGCAGCGTGATGTCCAATCTAGCGGTTGTTGCTAGATCAGATACGTTTGCGGCCGGAAGTTTACAAGAATTATTTCTATTATTTATAAAATTTCCCATTTATTGTGTTTTATTAATGTCTACTCCCACCCCAACCCTAAACCCAACTGTCACAGTAACGTAAAAACAGTGGTTGTACAGAGTATTATTTATGTTATGTATTAAATTATCCAATTAATTGTATTTTTTAATGCCTACTCCAACCCTAAACCAGTCACAGAACTGTAAAAAATATTACCTATTGTTATGCAGTGTCATAAAAAATGCTACTATATTAATATGCATATCACACTTCCGGACAGCTGCGTATTTTTTTATTTATTTATTTATTTGACATGGACATCACAATTACACTGGATAACCGAATGCATTTGTTTAAGTGTTTTAGCAAAACTTGCTAATTCCCAACACCTGTCCACAGCAGGCTTGACAAAATGGAAATATAATAAATACATATACACAACATTATAATTATTTACATGAAATTACTAAAGGCAAAAGCAGGGTGTGATCTAGACTTTACCTAATCTAGCAAGGATTGATCGATTTCAACTACACAGCATCTCGATATTCATAGATTAAATTCAGGCAAGCTTTAGCAAACAACGATACATTGTATAAACAAAAACAATGCAAAATGTAATGCCTTGTAAAAAAGCATTTAAGACTTGTTAATATTTTTAAGAGCCTTAAATTTCTCTAAATTACTTGATCAACTTTTAATACTGTTTAAGACCCTGCGGACACCCTGTATGATTATATTTTATTACTATCCTTCAAACCCTTCAATTTTGCCCATCTATCGGCAAGATCACCGTTTCTTTTATATATCTGAATAAGTGGATGTCAGAATAAGTATGTTATATTTTAAATCTTGTCTATGTCCCCTTTTGGTGTGGAAATTACATGTGCAAACAGTTAAGATTCACCTGAGCTGTGTGCTTTTGCAGACCTGCTTGGGTTTTTCCTCCAAACTGCCTTTGTCTCCTGCACTGTAGTTTCGGTATCATCTAGAGGGTATTTCTGAAATATTTTATTAAGCTGTTTGTAGAACTTCCACTCAACCTGCTCTCCTTCATTCCTATGGGATGAGGACAGCAAAAATTACAATTCATTCACAGTTTTAAACATTTAAATATTCCACTTTTATCATCAGTGATGTACTGTGCTTACCTGTAATTGTCAAGGTGCTGGCGGTAACTGGCCTTCAGTCTTTTGATCCTGGAGCGACACTGTTCATCAGTCCTGCTGTAGCCTTTCTCAGCCATAATCAACGCGATCTGCTGGAAAACTGGTTTACGTTTGACGCAGCCTTTCAGCCTCTCCTGGATGCCATCGCTGCCCCAAATGGATATTAGAGTGTGTGTCTCGCTGTCACCCCACGCCAGCTTCGGCCCGTCCGTGGTGAGAGGTTTGGAGAGAGCGAGGGAGTCTGAAAATGCAAATACATTTCAAAAGAGTAAATGAGATGGGAAATGTAAGCTTTCTAAAGCTTCAAAACAAACCAATTGCTTTGCAAAATGATTCACTGTTTCAAGGCATTTAAACACCATATGCTAGGGACACCATTCCAGTCAAAACTAGTGTTCTCTAGGCTGTCAGAAAAATGAAATGAAAATAGTGTGACACTGATAAAGGCAGGCAGTCCTTCCAGATAGCAGTTTTCAAGTCATCTGGTGAAATTGTATATACCGTATATCACGATATTTATCACACAAAAACTAAATATTACAATGTCCGATTTTTCCAACAACGTGCAGCCCTACTACAACCCCATAAAACTGATCCGAGATCCAGTAAATCCAGTGAAATGTATTAATGTAGATTTTACGATATTATTATTACACTGATCACCCTCTAGTGGAGAACTACCGAATCTGCTAAATGCTTTGAAACTGTTTTAATGTAACAAAGCCCAGTTTACTGTGAAAGATTATGCGCATTTTAGTTTGGTTACATTTACCCCAATTCTTTGTATAACGGGGTGACCGGTGCATTAACCCCCACAAACTGAGAGATGTGAACTAATGGCCTACTCACTATGCTATCCGAACCGTGCCCAGGCCCGTTTCCCGGATCGTTTGAGAAGTGTGAGTGCTCAGAATCGGGCTCAGGCATGGTTTACTTGGGCTTTGGCGCGGTACGCTTGTGTTGTGTGTGACTGCAAAACGCGCCTAAGAGCGAAACTGAAAGCGAGACGTGACTTTTAAGGGACTGTTTCCTTTGTTTATTAATCATTCTTACTGTTCAGTAAACGCAAATTGTCGTAGTTTATTAAAAACACAAACGCCTCACCGCACGACAGCTGCGTATCTTCAGCCAGCCTCCTAATTCCTGCAGCACGAGGACTTTATGATTGTTTATGAGCGTTAAAAGTGGCTGATCTGTTCAGCGAAATATTTGACTGCGTATCACTGCATGTCAAACAATATAACTAAGGAAATCTCCACTTACTGAACAGTGCAGCATCGATGACATAAGCGTGCCCAAGCCCAAATGTAATGTGATTGCGGGCCGTTAGGGAAGACGGGAGGGGGGACAAGCGTGCTTGGGCATGGTTCAAGGCAACGGTACATAGTGTGAGTACGCCCTAAATGACCCTTTTATCATGGGCGTGAGCCCTTTGAGTTCTCAATGGGTATAAGCCAAACGACAACTGAAACATCTGATAAGAGGGTCCTGCTGAGCCTCGTAAACAAAGAATGGTTTGTTTGATGCTAATATAAAGTACTGTCTCACAGACAGTACTTTGGGTTAAGTTACTTGAAGACCGACGGGTTAACATCATTGCTG